AAAAAGAAACAAGAGCGCAAGCACTTACAAGTAACCTTTGAGTCTGCGTCCGCCAAACACAAGGCCCTAGTGAGAGAAGCCAAAGCTTTACAGGAAGAAACTTGGTATCTCAAAAACCAGTTATTTGTGCATGCACAATGCGAGGACAACATATCAGCACCCAGCTGAGTGGAATGGCCAATCAATTTAAGGAGACCACCAGTGATCCATTCAGGTATTTCTCACCTCCACCATCAGCCAATACATGCTCGGAACGATCTAAAGTGGATCCTGGCGTGACCTCGGGGATCGATGATGAGGTGAAACGGGAAATGCATGGAGACAGATTGTTTACCTTTTTGGATATACCGAGTGGAATACAATATACCATTTATCCCGTTGCCAAGTAATCATCGAAAATCTTTTTTCAAAAAGCAATGAGCGAGGTGACCCATTAAAGTCAATCTGTGGACCTACACCAACCGTGGCTTTTATCGTCTAAAATGCACTACGTACTGTTTGCTGCGTCATGCTTGACTCTGCAAAAGTTTTGCTTGGAAGAAAAGACCCAGAAAAAAAAGAAGGCAAGGCCCATCGACGTACAAACAGCTAGATAACGAATGCCGCCTCCCACTACCGATAGCTATCGTGGACCTCAAGACACATCCTCTAGTCCTTTCACCCTTTAGTTTGTCCATTCGGGGGATGATACAGCGGTGGCATTAGCTGCGGTCTCTCTTCAGTCCGGCTAGGGATCTGAACGTTGCTTCATTCACAACGAGCAACTGGGTGGCTATCATGCCAATGCCCGACCAATGACGAGCGCAACCGGGCCCTCTTTCAATAATAAGTGATTCAATGATGCAGGCTTTGACGCACCTTTCTTCTTCTGGTTGGATCATTTGGAAGATACTTTTCTGGTGCTCAGAACAGTTGAAATCCGTAGCAAATTTTGCAGAGTTGGCGACGTTATGGGTCTCTCTACATTAACTCAAGGGTTTTCACGGGAATTCTGTATATTTTTGGACTTAATCGAGGGATAAAAGTATCTATGCATTCGACTTAGTTCACAAGGAAGCCTGGCTAATCTCCAGGTTTGGAATCTGAATGTCATTTCAGATAGTGAATTGGCTTAAGGAGGCAACAAATTTCCATTCCGACGAGTGTCTTTCTCCCGGAGAAAGGGGTCGAGCACCCAAAGAAGCAGAAGTCAAAGATAATGTATATAACATGTCAAGTCCTATCGAATAATCTAACTCGACGAGCAAATAAGTAGACTGGCCCTTCGCTTACGGCTCACGTTAGATTCAGAGATGACATCATCGACTTACTTTCAATGTACGGGCTTCTTAGTCCTTAGACCATTCCGAGTTTAATTATTGGATGGTTGTTGCATCCGGAGAGACCCGCGGTGGCTCTGGTCATATCCACATATCCCATCACTTGATTTAGTAACTCTTCCAAGGCCTACGGTGATTGGTTGACCTGGTGGATTTCTGGCCGCCCCACTTCCCGTCTCACATATAGTGGTAGCCGTGCCTTACCCTACGGTCTGGACACCAAACACGACTAGCCGCATTTGGTGTCCCGCAGCGCAATGTAATTCTCACCGGAATGTAATTTTTCTTTTTACACATCTTTATTACTACAAGGTACCACCTTAAATATGGCCGATTCTATTGAAACTGAGGTATCTTGTGTAAATGAGGCCGTGAAACACGCTCGAAGCCAAAAAAAGCTAAATTTACGTGAGGTCGTGCGGCAATTTGGCGTTAATTATAGATTGTTATGGCGACGTGTTAATTGCAATATGAAGCCTAAAACAGAGGTTAAACCATCGAATTATACCCTAAATGTCTATCAGGAGAAGGCTTTAGGCTATTGGATAAAGACTTTGGATGCTTCTTTTCTTCCTCCGACGCCTGCTATTATAGAGTATTGGGCTAATGCTACACTTATGTGGTCAAAGATACCCGATCGGATGGTCGGAAAAGATTAGGTATATCGCTATATTCGTTGTTTCCTAGACACTAAGATAAAGCTCAGAAGGCAGAAAATTATTGATTCTAAACGTCTAGGAATTATAGATATTGTAGAGCTTTATTATTGGTATGATTTGTTAGCTAAGGCTCTTAAGGGTATAAATCTATACAATATTTATAACTTTGATGAAACTGGCTTTTAAATTGGATAAGGACGGACCTGATATATATTTTCTAGCCAATCTGGTAAAGCTTTAGACCTCCTAGGTATAGAATATAGTAAAAGGGTAACAATCGTAGAATATATTACTGCTGATAGTTGGTGAATATAGCCCTTGGTTATCTTCAAAGGATAGTATTATATAGAGTTGTGGTATAACTATCCAATACTTAATAAATAGATAACTGTGACTGTAGAAAAAGGCTATATTATTAGTAAACTTGTTGTGTGTTGGATGGAAGAATTTGATTGTGAAACATATACTTATCTTAAAAATAGAGAGTAGTGTATTCTCTTGGTCGACGGCTGTGGCTTATATCTAATATTTGAATTTCTTGATACTACGACCAAAGCAGGTATTAAGATATTTGGATTTCTGCTGAATCGAATAAATTATCTTTAACCTTTAGATAGTAAGCCTTTCTAAGCTTATAAGGCTTATTTTAAGATATAAAATAATCAATAGGGTGGAGGTCTTCTTACATTAAAATCATCCTTTCTAAATGATCTTTACTAATTCCGAGATAAAGCCCTTATATCCCGAATATGTCGAAATGCCTTTTTAGAGCAAGGAATTTATCTAGTTGACGCAAAAAAAGTCTGTGAGAGCCTCGAAAATGCTTTTTCTTCTATTACAGATATTGAAATTGATCTATCGGGAGAGAAAATACCCTCTCCGGAACTAGATCTTTTGTTGTCAAGTCTTGAAAACATACCTTCAAAAACCTTTAAAGATGTGGAAAAAAGGCAAAAACATCTCTCTCCTCTTCTCTGCCGGCCTGATTTAACGCCCAAAGAAAAAAAAACACTCGCACAGGTCTTAGATGAGCAAGAGTTCTATTTTAACGTCTTAACCAATACTACGGCTACTATACGGGAAATGGCTGCTATCCGAGCCCTGCGGGAGAAAAAAACTACTAGACGGTATGTTATGGGCCTTAGTGATGATAGTATTATACGTGTTAAAGATGCTAAATGTAGTATAGCTGAGCGGAAGGCAAAGGAAGACAAAAAAGATGAGAGACGGGCGGTAAAAGAATTGGAGAAAAAGTACGGTGTTCCTACCACACTACGTATTACGGAGGCTTAAAGAGAGGCAGAGGCAGAACCGTTATACAGCGAGTCGGGAGAGGTTATTGGTTTTTATAATGAATTCTAAATTGCTAAAAAAAATTGTATATAAAGGCGAAAAAATTACATTCCGGTGAGAATTACATTGCGCTGCGGGACACCAAATGCGGCTAGTCGTGTTTGGTGTCCAGACCGTAGGGTAAGGCACGGCTAGTAACTAAGTGTTATTGAGTTTACTGAGTAATCTCCCACATAAAGAGTGTATTTTGCTGTATATAGAATTTCAGACGGTTACGCGTTTCCACAGTAAAATTCTACTTTGGTCGCCGTAGCTACTGATGCTCAGAGTCAGATACGAAAGATTTTTCACGTTGAAATCTGCTCACTTTGGGGTGGAAGCGAGCGACGTTTGATCATCAATTGGCTCAATGACTTCATGATAGTTGTCCCTTCCCCACAGACTTACATCAACTCGACACCTGCAAGCACTTTTGAGTCTTTCACTTCGTTTTCGCTGCTTGGTAGTGCTCGCTTAACGCGAATTGAGAAAAGTTTGGAATGATATCTATGCTCATATTCCATTGGCCGACATCCTCTCCAGCTGCCACCTTTACCCATCTCTGGGACTTTGTCGATCGGAATGGAGCCGTTGAAAACAATGGTTGTTAGTCATATTATAAGTGACGACGAGGAGCTCAAAAAGCAATTTGGAAAATTGGTGTGTGACACCTTTAGCTTCCAATTTGAACTTTCGCTGAATTACTAGACCTCTGATGAGAATTGCGAAATTCAAGGCTGGATTACGAGCAAACCTGTGGAGATACTAGGAAAGCTACACCACGCTCCCCGAGTCATCGGACCTAGTGACCATTTGAGCGCAATTATCGTCGATCCCAACTGGGGGACGGTCTTGCGAAGATCATTTTTAAGGGGCAGGAACGCGAGACTCTCCACACCCGCAGCCATGGCGGGGATGAAGCAGTTATGATCTTTTTACAGCCTGGGTTCCATTGTGTTATCACAGGTAATACTCAGGTAAAGTATATAGAAGGAGGAAGGATTCAATCGCAAAATTTGAATATTTGAGCTACCACTATAGGCCGTGGTCTTCTTGGTATGTCTCTTATAAAACATCGGTAGCTTGAACACATATAATTATTCCGCATACAGTTTCCTTGAAACCTCCGATGTTCTAGTAGTGGCATATATTCAAGTGAGTTTCTTGATTAGAGCTAGTGGCTACTTGGCTTTCAATTTTTGACCAAAAGCGTTTCGGTACGTTCGACCCTGTGCCGGACCCGCCAGATATACCTCAAGCAGAAAGGGGTGGTTGAATTGATTAGGTTTATCGCGGTCTTATTGGGGCGTTGGCAAAGACTTTGGGGGAATAAGAATGTGGAAGCGGAGCTAGTGCGGATCGAGTCGCCGGGTCTGACAGCGGCTGTCATTCGGCTTTTCGAACGACTGGTTTGTATAACATCAGTTTACGTACAAGGAGGGGATACCTCCGCATTGAACGATGCTTACAATCACCTGAGAAATGCTATCACAAAGGTACGGCGAAATACAGGGACAGTGGTGGAGATCATGATTGCGGGAGATTTTAATCGCCATGATCAACTTTGGGGTGGGGGGGGGGGGGGGGGGGCGATGATGCGTCTGTGAGTAGGCGAGGCGAAGCGGATCCGATCATTGACCTCATGAATGAATCTGCACTCAGCAGCCTACTCAAACGAGGCACCTAAGACATGGCACGGCGGAGGACAGAGTGGGACTGTGAGTCTACCATCGATCTTGTTCTGGCCTCGCAAAACTTGACGGACTCGATGGCTAAGTGCGCAATTCTGGAGGATGACCACGGCTCGGACCATGGCGCCATTGAGACTGTGTTTGATGCCCCGTGGCCGAGCCCAAAGTATCAGGAACGGCTTCTACTGAAGAACGCGCCATGGAAAGAGATTGATGCTAGAATCGCGAGCACCCTCGCTGCCACTCCACCGGAAGGCATAGTGTAGCAGAAAGCCGATCGACTCATGTCGGTGGTCTCGGACGCGGTGCACAAAGGGGCCTACAATGGTGTGTGTAAAGAATGACTGCTCCAAAGGATAAAAGCGCGAGGCATACCAGATGACTTGCTCCGGTGGGTCGAAGCTTCCTGCTCAGAACGAACGGCCACCGTCCAAATCAACGAACAACTTTCTGAGGGTCGAGGATTGCCACAGGCTGGCCTACCCCAGGGCTCACCCCTGTCTCTGATCCTATTCCTCTTCCTCAACGCAGACCTCGTGCAAAGACAGATCGACAGCCAGGGCGGAGCAGTCGCATTCGTGGATGATTTTACCGCGTGGGTGACCGGCCCGACCGCGCAGAGTAACCGGGAAGGAATTGAAGCAATTATCAATGAATCGCTTTACTGGGAAAAGAGAAGCGGTGCGACCTTTGAAGCTGAGAAAATAGCTATTTTACACATTGCGCCCAAGAGGCGTAAATCGGACCATGAGCCGTTTATCATCAAAGGACAGACGGTTGTACCCAAAGACCACGTCAAGATCCTGGGTTTGTTGATGGAAACAAGACTCAAATACAAGGAATATTGCAAGGGCCGTGTCTTAGGGTCTCGAAGCAGCAATGGAGCTGCGGCGACTTCGGGGCCTGTCCCCAGCAACAGCGCGACAGCTTTTCACATCGACGGTGGCGCCGGTCATGGACTACGCCTCCTATGTCTGGATGCCCGCGTGTAAGGACAAGGCCATGGGGCCGATCAATCGAGTCCAAAGAGTTGGAGCACAAGCCATTGTGGGGGCATTCCTCACGGTCGCGACCAGCGTAGCGGAGGCGGAGGCCCACATTGCCACCGCACGACACCGATTCTGGAGACGGGCCGTGAAGATGTGGACAGACATGCATACCCTGCCTGAAACTAACCCGCTCCGCAGGGGCACAGACCGGATCAGAAAGTTCAGACGATATCATCGCTCGCCGCTGTATCATGTAGCGGACGCGCTTAAGCATTTCGATATGGAGACACTGGAAACAATCAACCCGTTCACGTTGGCCCCCTGGGACGAACGCGTGCAGGCCAATGTTGATGGACAAGATGAGCCTCAGACTGAAGCGGGCGGATTGATGCAGATCGCGCTCAGCAGCTCGGCACGGAACGAGCTGGTGGGGTTTGGAGTCGCAAGCGAGAAACAGCCTCCTAGAAATCGAAAATTGAAGCTCAAAACCTTTTCCACCACATTGGGCGCGAGAGCAGAGCAAAACCCGTTCTCTGCAGAGCTGGCAGCCATGGCACATGTGTTGAAAATGGTAGTGGGAATCAAAGACTACAAAATTACGTTGCTCACAAGCAACAAGGCGGCGGCGCTCACGCTAAGGAACCTCGACGACAGTCTGGCCAGGAGTTGGTTTGTCAGATGTACAAGTTGACGAGAAGGTTGCGGAGAAATGGAAATCGGATCAGTTTCCACTGGATCCCTACTAGCGAAGACAGTAAGCTGTTAGGTCTGGCTAAAGAACAGGCCAGAGCTGCGACACAAGAAGATGCTCTCCCACAAGAACGCGTCCCGAGGATGAAGTCGACAACATTGAATATCGCACGGTCCCAAGCAGTCCCCAGCAGTGAGCTACCAGAGAACATAGGAAGACACGCAAAACGAGTAGATGCCGCACTGCCAGGCAAACACACCCGGCAGTTGTATGATCGCCTAATGTGGAAAGAAGCGAGCGTACTGGCCCAACTCCGAACCGGCATGGCTAGACTCAATGGATATCTCAATCAAATTAATGTTGTAGAGACGGATCAATGCGATTGCGGACAAGCAAGAGAGACCGTGGAGCACTTCCTCTTCCGCTGTCGGAAGTGGACTGCGCATCGGACGGAACTATTAGAATGCACCCAGACTCGCCGAGGAAACATCTCCTTCGCCCTTGGGGGGAAGCAGTCTTCTGATGATCAGAAGTGGACGCCAAATCTAGAGGCAGTACAGGCCTCCATACGTTTCGCCATCACGACGGGCCGACTCAAGGCTACTTGAACATATGGCCAACATAACTACCCACCCTTTTCTTCCGACCCTACTCACCCACCACCTCGTGCCACAGATGGTAGACGCGCTTCAACTGCCGAAGATAGGATGTTGAACACTTGGAGAAGCGCCTTCAAGCCAGCCTACTAACCCACTTACTAACCCACGAGAAACTCGCTGCGACACTGCTTTTTGGAATTGTCATATGTCATAAGGCATTATGTATGGGCTTTCAGGAGACACAGCATACACAGATGGACATGTACAGTAGATCAGTGATAGTTGCCCTTTCGGATCTGCCGCCGGGCGTTAATGAATTGTTTGTTTGTTTGTTTGTAAAGCAACGTCTGGATTCTGAAAATAGTACAGAACCTCTGACTTCCAGTGAGAAAACATTGCATGCGATATAAAGAGGCGCCAATCGATCACGGAAAGAAACAATCCTTCGTTTCTATTTAGCTCCTTACCACTTAGACCCGAGAAGGATGCCCAACGTCGCGTCGAGTACACATAATCCTGAGTGAACTTCCAACCCAGCATAAGAGCTGCGAGAAACATCCGCCGCTGACACTGTAGAAGCTGAAGCTCCTGGGGCACTTGAAACGGCTCAGTGGGAAACTTTTGCTTAATCGTGAACCGCAAGAGAGCTAGATAGTAAAATGTCGCGATGAGTGTACGATATGTTGTATGAGATCTCCGAAGGATATTTTTCAGATAAACCCGAAACCCCGTTGAAGTTTTGGGGCTGTCCTTCGCTAGAGGAGACCAGAGGGTAACGAGAAATCTTTCCGAGAAATCTAACAACGCAATTAGATTAGGATCACAAGTTTCTTGGTACTAGATTACTTACCAATGAGATCTTCGATAGAGACAAGCCGTCTGATTCCTTTGTGTTCCCTCAAAAATTGAGCCATGACAATCAAATTCAGGGATAGGAGAAAGAGAGATAGGCTTTTCGCCTGAATTTTGGGGGACAGGAAATGCAGAATTCCTATTCAGGGCGTTTGTAAGCATAGTTTGAAGTTGCTGGGCATCACCATACTGACCTATCAGTAGCACTCTTCTTATCCAAGCCAAGTGAGCTGGTGCGTCTTTTTGCTTCAATCTCAAAGACGAGTTCAGCTTCATTCGATACCGGAAACAAAAGTATGTTGGCTGAGGCTAAGAGCTAGGTTGACGTATTGATATATAGATTGCGTCGTCTCTAGGAGAAATCTGTAGCTGATTATGATATTGTGATTTCGATCGTGCTCGCAGAAAGAGTCATTAAGGATGAGAAGGGCTGGCTTTTTTGCGGTCCATGTCTGATTAGAGGATGTCGCGATAGCAGCTCTCTTGGTAATGAAAGCTTTGGTTTATCTATAGAGCCGCGAACTGCCTCATAACCTGCACGTTGCAGCAATCGTCGGTGACTGAGGGAAAAGCCAAGGAAATAATCCTCCAATTTGACCTGTTGCATATTGCACAGTCAAAATCGTGCTGCTGCCCATGGCTACACCAGTTTCTCCTCGGTAATGAATCATATTGGGTGTTTTTCCAATGCGACCGCATCCTTTTCATGTTGCTCAACAGCTCTGTCCCAACATTCAAACATTAACAGCTACCTTTGAAAAAATTAGCCAGACCTCCTCGCAGAGGAATGGTACCCAGCTAAAGGTTGGTGGTGAACGTTGAATCGCGTGATCGAAGCTTTTCTGCGGCATTCCCACGACTGATTAAACAGTGCCAACAGTGGCAAAAACTTTTTCATATACTGTGTCACCAAAAAACCTTGTGATCAACGATGATAATTGATAATTTCGGTGATGAATATCTGACACCTAACATCGTATGCATAAATCGGTATGTGCACTTGTCCACCAACCTATTTTGATATCATGTTGTTGAGATGTTCTATTTTCCTGCTTCCACTGTCATCAATTCCTATCTAACAAGCTATTGTGAAGGTGTTGGTTTGCATAAAACATCATGTTCTAGAGGCCCTGCAAATAACGCTAATTTTCACTCAGCAGGCAGGATAGCATGGATAGATTCTGGATTTTTGAGTGCCGGTTGAATCTACTAATAGCAATTTTTAAAATATCACGGATCTCTGAAAGAAACACGCAAGCATTTATGGTGCAATCTTTTTCCGTTAATCCGTTTTGCCGGTTCATCTCCGCCTGCCAGGCCAGCAATTAAGGCGTAGTTTCACAAATGCTTACAAGTAATCTTCTCTACAAAGGTGGCTGCATTGCGCAGGTACGTCTAGATTTTTATGCTCATTCGAGGTTCGCTCAATTGGCAGCGCTTCACAAGAACAAGGGCCTTCTGGGAGACGTGTTCTAGAAACACGGCCCTCTCAAAAGAAGATTCTTGTCCTCATCAGCTCCCCAAGAAGAAATTCTTAGGAACCAATGATTCACATGAAGATGCTGGGTGTACCGCGGACTTCCGAGCAAATTGGTTCATCGCTCTCCTGCACGTCCCAAAATGCAAGCGGCCATTGAAATCAGTTTCTCCTCCTTCCCTATTCCTTCTGTAGCCGCAATGGTTTTCTCTTCGTGGGCGGAAATCAAGAAGATCACATTGGTATCATCCGCTGTTGCTGCGCGGTAACAATGGGCTGGACGAAGGCTCTTAAGATTCCCATCGTAGAGTGTATATCCTTTGCATGAGTACTTTCGTGCGAGCCGCTCCAAGGGTGAGGGGTCGGATGGGTCTACGAGGAGACAGTCAGATTGATTCCACTGACCTCGCTCGAGTGACCAGAACTTGATCTCGATAAGTGGTTGTGTAGACGTTTGACAATTGGAGTCGACAGGTTTTGTTGTGATATGCTCGGTCTCTCTGTATGCTGCTTCCGATTGCTGGTTAGCAGAGGTCAGCAGTGACAAATCCTGAGTTTGACCTGATTGAAGCAAATCTCTGCGTGAAGCTTGATTATGATAGAGCAAATTGAGCTCTTCATTGAGCCCGTCGCTCTCCATCCTTTTTTCCAACTCCTCTTGCTCCACTTGGGCCCTCCTCAGGCCACCGAGAAAAGCTTCTTGTTCTTCAGACCTGGAGGGACGGCGTTCTTCTGACAATATTATCGTTTCTGACGAAGATCGTCGCTGTGCTGCAGGATCGATAGATGCCTGAGCAGCAATTCCAAGAACAGATCCAGTGTCGGGGTTGGGTTCCTCTCCTGTTGCTCGCTCGCCCTGACTCCATTCCATCGAGACTGTTTCCAACAAGATCTGAGTACATTCACTTCTAGCATCCCCAAGCTCTGGATTAGCCCCAGGCGAGTAGCGAGAAGGGACCATTTCCAGTACTGATTGGCTCAGTGACCCTCTGGGAGTAGATGGATTTCCATCCGATGGACTTCTTTGATCAAAGTTGTCCTGGTCGAGAGCTGACTCCAGAATATCTAAATCCATAGGCTCGGGTGCAATTTCTGAATTGTCACTCGCAGGAAACCAACTGGCGTGTTGTAGTGTTGCTCCTTCGGAGAAGAGATGACCTGCCGGATGCGTCCATGTGCCGTCCAGACGTATCCAAGCCCGGCGCCCCCGGCACACCGTCCTTTTCAACTAACAAGGGCGATTCCACTACCTCTTCCAGCCTTTGATCTGCATTCAAATTGCCACATCTTCTGTTATTGATGGGATCAGCCGTTGGCGGCTTCCCCAAAAAGGCGAAAAAGACACAACTGGGAACAAAAAAGCTAGTGATCGTATCGGCAACATCGACATCAGCATGCAATCGATCTAAGAATAACAAAGGGGCATCTTGCATATGGCTGCGGGTCTGCGGAACCCCAGAGCGAGCGTGCGCCTCGATTGATCTTGTTGGCGCGATCGACTTTGTGTTACAAAGTTATGCCCCATCCCAAAACCGATACGACATATTTGTCAACTAATCGAGGCCGAATACAACGTCAAAATTCCCGCTGCGATGGCGGGGACATCGTCTGGTGCCCTCTGTGCTGTGATTTGAGGCTCGTGCAAACCAGGAACCGAGCCGCATCACCGGAATTAATCCCCGAGATATCTGTCGAGCATCCTCTTGATTGGAAATCAATTTGATCCTCTCATTGTAAATATAGCGCCTGTTTTTCTCTCTAAAACAATAGTTTAGAAACTTTGTTGGGTTACATTAATTAACTGTTTTAGTTAGACAGCTGCTACCTCGATACCCCACGTCCTCATTTCCATGTCTTCGTTGACGACCAATCACTCACAGCTGGGGATTTCCCACTCATTGATCGAAACTGCCAAGTTGGCAGTGCCAGAGCACAGCGTGCAACATACTGCGCAGACACTTTTGGAGGGTACGACTGGCCCGTCAGGGCGGCTTTGTTGAACCCAGCGCATTCCCGCCGTAAGAACAGCAGAGATCGCTTTCAATTTCACGCAAAACGGAGTGCAGCAGCCGCCTGCTGCGAATTTTGACGGTACCGAGCTAATGTCTTCCATCCGTTCCTGGGGTGCATCAGAACACTGGCCAAAGTGCATGGTATACAGACGATGGGTCATATGCCAGAGCCAGGTGTTATCTGTTGATCCAGGGCAAACTTACCATGTGAATGTGTCTGTCCACTGACTTGACAGACGCGACAGAGATGCAATGAGACTAACACAAGTAGATTGTAGGGAGATTGTCATATTTTCTTTGCCGCAAAAAGTTTCGAACAAAAAGCCCTTGTCTGAATGCACTCTTCCCTGGGTTGCAAGTGCCTGCGTCGGGTCGCAACATATCAATTTTTAGCTAAGATATTATAGGGACTACAGATTATCTTCTACCCGCTGCAGAACGGCGTACAAATCCAATCGCTTGATCGGCTTGACGAGGAAAGTGTCAATCCCAGAACCGAAAGCCTCTTTCTGGGCAGCAGGGCTGTGCAGCCCTGTCAAAGCAGCAATGATTGTGGGCGGCAACGCCTTTCGTACCGACTCACTCAATACGGCCCGATGCTCTTCCTCAAGGCGGCGGATTTGTCGGGCCGCCTCGAAGCCATCCATGACGGGCATCGTAATATCTGATAGCACAGTATTAGCAGCAAAGAGGAAAGGGGATTTTAAATCAATGTAACGGATGAAAGAAGGAAAGCGGAGAAAGCGCTTGGGCATACCAAGGATAATTACCCGAAATTGGCCGGGGTAGGCCTCATATGTGGCGACTGCCTCGGCCCCATTGCGAGCAGTCATGTAGTCAAAACTCCCTTTTTTCGTGTAGGCACACAGTAGCTGGAGGTTTACTTCGTTGTCGTCCACTAACAAGATGGATGGACCAGGGGGATCTACGTTCCCCTGTCTATCGTTGGGAGAGGTGGGTTTCGAGGTGCCTCTTGAATTTAAACTCCCACTTTGTTCGGTTGATGAAATTCGATCAGGTCGAAACTCTGGGCTCGGGAATTCGTCTGTCGTCGATCGCTTCCTTATTTTCATCCTCTCTTCGGGCGAATCACTGGAATCAACGTCCAGTGCCAAATGGGAGGACTCTGGCATTTCCACCCAGCGAGTCGACTCGTCAGTAGAGGGCCGGCCAGACTGTCGATCGAGCCGCCGCCTCATACACAAATCTAGCGCACGGCCCAGTTTTCGAGGCCCGCAAGGCTGGCTGATAAACTCGAAGCTTGTGGCTTCGTCACGATTTTTGGCCGCAACAAACATGCTGTGGGCTTCTCTAGGAGACTGGCAAATAACCACCACCGGCGAGCTGCAACCATTTCCGTCGTCGAAATGTTTACAGCTGGTAAAAAGCTTTCTTCTTTCAATATCCCCAGAGTCCAGCTCCGTCTGAACGACTAAGTAAAAGTCGAAGCCGACGGGTTCACCCTCCAATGCAGATACGGAATTCATTTTCAGGCCAAACCATTCGCAACACAATCGCTCCAAGGCCGAGTACAACGCTGTATCTCGTTGAGACCGGAGAGAAGACCCGAAGCCTAAGAGGCCAATCGTCTTCCCCTCAGTATGTAGCAGGGTAGTCGGCATCGAGGCCGCCGAAACAGCTGATCTACCGGGAAAACGGATGAGCGGAACCCGGACCAACAGTTCAGTACCGACTTCTTTGGTAGAGTTGGTCTCGATAGAGCCCCCAAGGGAACTAACGGCCTCACGGACGATGCTCAGCCCCAGACCGCTACCGGATGCAGATGAATCCTCCTGCATGAAGGGAGTGAATAGATCATTTTGCAAGAATTCATGTCCGATACCTTTCCCAGTGTCCTTCACTGTAAGAGTGACATCATATTCATCGCCTTGTTCGCCACGCGCTTCACTAATCGACCCTGCGTGGCTTCGAGGGGTGCGGCATTTGAATGACTTTAAACCGAGGTAGATATAGCCGGAAGATGTATACTTCAGCGCATTACCAAAAAGATTCATCAGTATGCGGCGCCAAGCACCGGCGTGTGTTAGGAAGTCCCATTCCGTCTCTGGCTGGATGTCGTAGATGATAGTAATCTGGCTGGCACTCGGGCCAACCTGATCGAATGCGCTCGCTCGACCAGCCGATCGCGTAGATGAACTAGCCAACGCCGGAGGCGGCACGCTGGGATGTGTGTAGAAGCTATATCCGGCGAAAACGGACTCGATGACTTCCTCAAGCACCTCATCCAGCTTGACATGCGAGGATGAGGCCGTCTCACCGGGGTCTTTACTTTGCACGCGGCCTCCTTTTGTCGAACTGAAAGACATGTCAACCTGCTCCGCCCCTTGGTTAGCGCTTAGGCGAGATGGGTCCTTCTGATACTTGTCGATGAAACTAAGATCAAGCAGATTGTTGATAATATCCAAAAGGGTGCGGCCGCATGACTCAACTGTATGTATCATGCCATATTGCGTGGCATTCATGGCCGTGTCACCGAGAATGTCCGCTGTGCCTAGAATCCCATGAAGTGGGGTTCGGAGCTCGTGCGTAATGCTGTGAACCAGCTTAGTTTTGGCTTTGTCTGCCATCTCCACGTCAAGTCGACGGATTTCGGCTATGACGCTGTTTGTGAAAGCGGAAATGTACACGAGCTCGTTCTCAAGTGTGAAAACACGCCGAGGATCATTCGTCCACACTAGTGTCCCAGCAGTACACCTGCGTTTTTCCGAGTCCCAGACAGGCAATAAAAGGATGTTCCTGGCGTCAGGAAAATTTTTGATTAGTTGGTCGGCATCTCGTCGAAAGGTATTGCTTGCTTTTTTTTCTTTTGATGAGCGCCTTTCGTTATGAGAAGAATAATCATTGGTTGTACTGCCGTGGTCAGGGTTGGTCAAATCCTGTGCGGTGCCGTCGCTGTAGTTCGACAGTGATCGTTCGGCGGTGTATGAGAAAATTACGCCACGAGGATATCGCTGAAGGAGTGCCTTTAAGAAGGGCTCTTGCATCAGGTTTTCTCGGCCAGCTACCGAGTCATCATTGATACTCGACCCTCGCGAGCTCGCAAATCCCAAGCATACACACAGGGAGGTACTGTCAAGCTCCCCACGCTTGCTGGATGAAGATCCCGAATCGGAGCTTTCGTCACCGCTTGGTTCTTTTGCCCCAGAATCAAACACCCTGCTGCTCATGTGATCGACGAGGCTACCAAAGCGATCGCTATCCGCATCAAGAAACATAACTCCCTCCGCTCCAATCGACTCCCTGATCAGGTTTGCGGCTCGTGAGAAGACAATCTTAATGTTCGTTGAGAGGGGGCTTTCTTGCAAATCATTGTCTGCAGTCGCACGTCGGGTAGATGTATCCGATTGAGTTGATTCCATCCGAGGTCCTTGGCTGCGATCTGCCAGGTTATTGCTGTTATAAAATGGCCTCTTCGAAGTGTAACCGTCACTCCTTTCCGACTGCCGGAAAACAAGGATTTTCTCATCGGTTCCCCTGGCAGATTCTTGTATGTCTTGCTGTTTGATGTTCAACTGACCCTCTATCGGATCTCCGGAATGTTCCCATGCAACGTACTGTGTATTGGCCTCCCGCCATGAATCACGTAACGTAGCCTTACCCTCGACAAAGCTCCCCAAGCCTTCAATCATTCGTTCTGCCAGGCGGCTTTTGCGTGTAAAATCGAGAAGCACCAGATGCTCCATAATGGTCGCAGCCATGTCCTTCATAAATATAAGAGAATGCTCTTGGAGACCCGACGTCCTCGCCTCGCTGTCCATCATGCTATACGCGCCGATCGTAAAACCCCGTGGACTGACGATAGGCACGGCAGCATAAAATCGTACGTCAGATAGTGCATAAAGCGACCTGCCAGACCTGAAACGCTCATCGTCAGTCACATCCGAAATGACCAAGGCGCTGCCCTCGAATGCTGCATCGTTATCTATGGAACCTGACGATGGCAAGTGCTCGACATGATGACAAAAGCCGCTCTCTTTCGGGAGCACACAGCACCCCAGACGCAGCCGATCGCGATCATCTCGGGGAGTACCATCAATTAAACTCAAGGTCGGAGTGGCCTCCGCTATGACATGCTGGTGGGTATGATCGAAGAGAGAGATCAAGGCCCGTTGGGTCCCTAGGCGGGTAGCGCCCAGCTGGGCGAAGGAAGTCAAAGCTGAATCTCGCGACGGCTGTGGGGTGAAGGTACTGTGGCTGGTGGGATCGAAAGGAGCGAAATGCGAGGTGGGATGGTTGCTGGGGATGTACCTGCCGCAGTCGAGAGGTCAGCTACTGTTTCATACTAAAGATATTCAAAGCTCAGTCGCACTTGTAGAATTCCCGTTCCTGCGCCAGTCGGTAGTTCGACTGCGCATCCCATCCTTCATTTTCAGCCATGTTGGGAAAACTTGCGGAGAATTGTGCATACCTATTGAGAATGGACGGGGCAAAACTTCAGGTAGACCCGAGCCCTTCAGCTTGTTTTATTCCAGCCGGAAGAGTTTTAACACATCAGCCAACCACAACGTCTGATCAAGAACGTCACCATTTGAAAAACAGGTTCCGGGGAACCTTGTCGGCTGCCACGGGCCTGCTCACCGCTTTCCACAACTCATTGTCACGTTTCTAAGAGACCTCGACTACAGGAGCCACACGCTGCGAGGAGATAATGCTTAAGCTTTTATCGTGAGCCCAAGATATCAATCCTCTTCTCACCTCGAGCTTCTTCCTCCAAGATACTCCATGTGGTTGTGGGCTAGTTGTTCGATTTGGATGGCAAAAACCTGTCATGTGTGTCAATGGACAGCTAAGAGAAATAATATTTGCTTTATTGGTGACCTCACGCAGTCAAGATGAAGGTGTAGTGTCTCACCCCAGCCACCATCCTGGTTTTGAGTGAACTCGAGCCATTGTGTTGCGTCCTTAACGTCGTCAAGAATGCTGTCATCTCTCCCAACCCAAGCGTTGCTTTCTGTAGTACCGACAAAGTATTGCAATGCACAAAGGGCAGCACTAGTTCCGTATAGATAATTGCAACCCCAGCGCCCATACCACGCACCCGAGGGCTCTTGCATACTGGAAAGGTAATCAATCGCTCTTTGGGAGGCCGCTGTCAGATGATCGACCAGTTTGCTTTCATCAGCTTGCGTCTTGTGCTTCCTGCTAATTGACAAGAAGAGTCCGAAGGCCTCAAGCACATGACCGCTGACGTCTGGAGTAGATGGATCACATAAAGCCTCCATATCGCTGAAAGGTATCTTGTTCAGAAACAGGTTGTTGTCCCGATCAAAGGCTCCCCAACCCCCGTCTTTGTTCTGCATTCCAAGGAGCCATTTCAGTGCAAGTGGCACAATCAGCAAGGGCTGAGCGAAGCCTGATGAATGGCCATTCATCCTGAGAGAGCGGGATCAGGTGGAGTGTGAACGGACGCCCTTGAGACCATCGACATAGCCTTGCAGTGGATCTGGGCTTTCATTTCGTTTTAGCGTCACGCGCCATGTATTGCGTACACACTGGCTTACTGCCGGTGTATCGAAAGTCTCTATGACGGATCAATGATCTGTCATTCGAATTGTTTGAGAAGTGCCATAACTCACCCACATTCTATACCTTGAAGGTCCGAGCTACCTAAGCGGGGGTAAATATAGAGAAAGCAGCGCAAAGAGCCGGTTGGAAACGAGCGAGATCTGCTGAGATGAGATACGTACCTGATGGCGGCACATCCTCATCGCTGAAAAAGTTGACGAGCTGCTTCTTCTTTACGGTATCTGTCGACGTGGCGACGAAAGCGCAATGCTAGAGACGCTTCAATATAGAGTGCGTCTCTTGTATTCGAGGTGGAGGCGGCCTTGCCTTGGGTACATGATGGGTGGTCTGTCCGACAACTGGTCCCTTGCTATTGAGTTCAAGATCGAGAGGATAGAAAGCTCCATGAGCTATCCGGCATCTGGGATAGCCCACACCGGGAGCTGGGGAGGGGGCCGTGAAGATCTCTGCCATAGAAGGGAAGTCAGCTTAATGTACACAGACTCAATCAAGGGTCAGGGGATACGGGTCACACTTAGCGTTCGCCGGTATTCATGATGTATCAATCAATCCACCTTTCTGTGAGAGATTCCTGTGATGCAAGTTCGTTTGATTAGCGATTGACCTCATGGGGTTGTGATTGGGCCTACCATATAAAAAGGCTCTACCGTAATCTACCAGGGGTAGAGAGCCTGTCATGGTGGTCCTCGAATGTGTTCGGATCTGGACTGCACATAGACCGTCCGAGAAGCTCTATTGTGATATCGTTAGATAGGACATAGTGTCTTTTTCATGGGTCGGATGGAATCAAGACCTCACCTTGGTAGAGATTTTGCGTGCTGCGGTGGATGTATTGGAAGCCTAGCGGAACCCGAGTGAGATACGGTGTTAGTATAAGTCCTAACTCAGGGAGGGTGGTACTCACGTATTCAAGTCCTCGTATATCAGTCCTAGAGAAAGAGTGTTATCAGTGAGAGGTAGGTAGTCTTTGGATGAGGGCTGGGTACACTCACAAGTTATAGACAAAAGAAAAGATCAAAGTCATCTTCGCAAATGATAGGTGTGAGGTGAGATGCAAGAGGAAAGTCAAGCAAGACGGATGGGAGCATATTTATACCCTTCAGGGTGGAGTTCCTCGCCTTTCGCTTGGATCAAAAGTGGCAAATTGTGAGACTTTTTGATTATCTCCAGGCAAGAGGAAAAACGGCATACCAGCAAGCGGTTTTCTGCGCTCAATCAACATGGCTACTCACCAGTGGTGAGCAAACAGGAGCAGCAAAGACCGAATGACAAACCGTTGGTAAGGATTCAAGATTCAAGTAGAGTGCGGCCAGAATGCCACCAAGAAAGTGGAAGAGTGGCTAATTGAGAAACCAGAGTTTATTCACCAGCGGATTCAGTTGAATCAACAGCGATGAGCAAACATGAGGAATCCTAAGAATATGCAGAATGACAAATTGTTGTTCTTGAGATAAAGCACGAGTCCCAGTCACTTGAATCAGGGATGGCCGAATGAGGTCGTAAACCTTATTCACTTGCGAAATCAGTTGACTAAAAGGGGATGAGCAAACAGGAGTTCTATCAACAATATATGGAATGACAGATACTTGTTGAAGAGTAAAAGTTGAGGTGAGCACTAGGAAGTCCTCGTTTCTATTACTGAATATCTTACCGTTTCTCTCTTCCCTTGTCAAGCCCACTTAACTAGTGGCCGGAGAGAAACCTATAACCAGGCTAAATAGTTTTGCTAGCTGCATAATCACTTGCACGGCAATGAATCATACGGGCGCATAGAGGGATTTGAGCACACCACACAAGACACGCCCTGGAGGGAACGTGAAAATTGTCGTTCCTCCTCAAGCATAATGTGAACCGTGGGCAGCCCAAATTGGCAAGACCATAACAATGCACAGTCGTTCAAGTTGAGCCAACACCGGGTACCTTGGATCCACACCGGTGCGGCCCGTGGGTCGAGGTGGGGCCACCATATCCACTCTGGTGCCTCAACGTTGAGTGAACGACAGTGAATGATCAGCGAGGAAAGCCAGAAGCCCTCAGAGAATGATGGTGTATGAGAGATTGCCCAATTTTGGGCGACTCTCAAAATTTTCTCAAGGCAGCTTTGAAATCGGGCTGCTAATTACGTTTGGCGGTTCCAGCAAAAAGCACCGCAAGTAGCGGGTGCACTTTGCATACATGTACACTACTCTACGAAAGACACAAAAGTGCGTCACGCCAAAAGTTGAGAATTGGAGACAGTTATTCACTAAGTTGATATGCCATGGGCTTTTTGATAGTAATTCCATAGTCAGAGTATATTGACAACCACCAAGAACTCAGAGCTCTCTGCAGCCTCTCCGCTGCCAATCTTGGTCACATAATATCAGCCCTTAAGTAGAATATGTGGACACGTGGGACTCTGCACAAGTCCAGTCATGGATGTATGGACGGAATACCCTTGATAGCAATCATGTAGGCGTTCTTTCACTGAATGTGCAGTAAAGACAGAACCTGTCAAGCTGCGTACCTATTTGGCTCCCACGATAGGCCGCCAGAACATGGTCATAGTCAATCGGAGGTAATACGAAATCCGCACACAATTTCGACGGGAATCTTCAAAGTAGACCAATGGCCTACCCACAGTCCTCTACAATAGCACTTTCGCACGCGCAGCATAATGCTGAGGACCCTCATTCTGACTCACTTCCCTGAGGTCACCGTACCACTGCTGTGAACCATGGGCGAGCCAGCTCGTTGCCCTTCGATTGCAACTGCGCCAATTTTGTGATTCGACCAGCACATTCTGTGAGTCAGAAATACTACACACCCAGATCGAAATGAACGGTCGTGGTGGTGTCTGCCGCGACATGATTGGCGATCCATTCGCCAGCATCGTCCAGCTCATGGTTCAAGACCGGTGAAGACATTGCATCGACCGCCAGAACCGTCTCCGGTGAGAAGTTTGCACTGCTGGTATCTGCGAGAAAGCGTAGCTGAAATCCATAAAAGCAGGCTCCTCCCCCGATCCATTTGTCTTTCTTCACACATCGCGGCCGCGGTGTGTCGCCTCTGACCTTCGGGCCTAAGGTTTCCGTGACGACGGCTGTTGCTGATCCAAGCCCAGTGACATAAGAATAGTGCTTCGCAGGGGGGCGCTGCGTTACCAAGTGAACTCCGCAGGGGGACACTGTGATGACAATTGAGACCCGCAGGAGACCGCTGCGTCAAATAAGTTCTCCGCAAGGAAAAATGCGTTACCAAGAGGATCCGCAGGGACATCTGCGACACCAAGAGCCTCCGCAGGAGACAGCTGCGAAATCAAGGCCCCCTAGCAATGTGCAAGCACCTCTGCGTGGTGCTAGGGACCAGTATTCATCTCCCCTGGGGACTGCAACTCCCATGGGGACTGAAGAAGCCAAGACTTGCACAGTAGATAGACTAAAGCATGAGTCATAGCAGCCCACTGGGAAATGCAATCATCACATTATCAGTTCAGTCGCTTCAAAGCTCTCTCGTAGGCTATACCTAGTGTCTTATTTAGTAAAATCGCTTTACGCAATAGGTTCCTCGACATGCCCACTGATGAGCCAATTCAAAGCGGTCGTCTCGAACTGCACGAGACATATGTTAAAAGTAGGCAGTTTGTCTGAATGATTCCCTCATTCGCGAACCCAATGCCAGGACCCCGTCCAGGCAGGATTTCCGTGACGCTGACCAATAAGGTGACCTGAGCCGTCAAAGATCGTCCGGCCTTGAAAAGTGGGAAATGGTGCTGAGAGCGACTTTGAGGTGATGCGATTCTTGATGGGAGTGATTCTTGATGGGAGTGATTCTTGATGGGAGTGATTCTTGATGGGAGTGATTCTTGATGGGAGTGATTCTTGAGGGCAGTGATTCTTGAGGGGAGTGATTCTTGATGGGTGCGTGTTGACGGGTGCGTGCTGACGTTGACTCGTCGGGCTACAAACATGCGGTGAAGCGGTGAACGGCAGGCATTACTCAGACTCAGTGGCTGATCTGCCCTCGACCCACTTCGCGCGTCCACTCACCATTCTGGGCCGCCTCAGGTATACGTCCTCGCCCAGAATTCTCGTAGATCGAAGTTTCCTCCTTTGCGAATCCATCATACCAAGTACCTTTACGGAGTCTACATCTCCCCATATTTCGAGACCGAGAATCCCTTACGACGGCTCATTCGCGTCCGTCTGCCGACCGTGCTCGCACGGGAAATGCGGATTGACCCTCTAGGCAGCAACTCAGCCTCCGTAGATCTAGGGCGCTGCATATTCCAACGGGTCTACGCGGGCAGGGCACACTCCCAACCTGCCTCAGCCCCGATTTACTCTCTCTCTGCCTTTCTAGGTATCTTTCATGCAATCTAAGGGTGCAATACGGTCGGGGAATGTCTGTAACATTTGGCTTGCTCTAAATCTAAAGCCTCTGACATCGCCGAAATATGGAGAAGAATTTGCATTATCCGCTGTGTCGTGCCACGTTGGACATCATCTTCCACAGTTGCATTCTAATCAAACAACTTGAGTCCAAACAACCTAAGTCCGTACTACACATTGTTGAATCCACATTTCATGACAATTCCCTGCAGGTGGCCTTTCTATTGGATCTAGTACCGATTCACAAGGCGCTCCGCATTTCTGACTGCATTAATCGCAGTTTTCTTTCCAACACACGAACAATGTCCGCGTGTCCTGATTGTGCAGCAGCCTGGATGGGTGATAGACCACAGAACTTCACATCGACAATGATGCTTTCGATCTTGATCAACCGCTCTACAACTGCTAAATGTGCCTCCCTCGCAGCATAGAACAGTGGTGGGCACATGGGCGTATTGACCTCCACGTCAGCCCGGCCTAGAAGCAGATCAACCATCTGCAAATCTCCGTGGTATGCGGCTTGACAAAGTGGCGTCCAGCCCATGTCATCATACACGTTCGGATTCAGTCTTGGTTCCGCGAGGGGCAGACTGACACTTGCCACGTCTTTTTGGTCTATAACGCGATGTACCGCGCTGGGTCAATTTACTCCGTCGTCGTTGACATCAATGCGCTTCTCCAACAAGAATCGCAGTCGTATTCCACTATTGTTCGTCAGCGATAGAGGAGTTGATCCGTTGTTGTCTCTCGCATTGAGATCAATATTCGGACCTCGAGCAATTGTTTGACAATACACTCGCGACCCATTTCGGCAGCAACGCGTAAAGCTGTACACCCTAGATGGGTTTTCAGGTCATGATCTTGCCCTGAAACACCTAACAGAAGCCGAAAGATCGCATCGCGCCCATAGTAAGCGGCTATGTGAAGGGCCGTTTCTCCAGCTGCATTCGCTGCGTTGACCTCCAATCCCGCTTACTGTAGCAACAGGGCGACGGCTTTTTTATCATCTTTTCTGATGGCGATCTGCAAAGCGGTTTCTCCATAGACATCGGACCCATTCGGGTCTGCGCCGTATGACAGCAAACACTGCGCGATGTCTAGTCGGCCTAAGTGAAGTGCCAAGGATAGAGGTTTGGACAATGCAGAATCATCTACCAAATATAAACCTCTGGCGCTCCCTGCGATACGTAGCATCACGTTGACGATTGGAAGATGATTTTTGTAGATGGCCAGGATTAGTGGTGATATTCCTTTGCAATCCGATCGCTTCATGTCTCCCCCTCGTCGCAGAAGTTCCGTGACCACAGTCTCATTGCCGAAGTAGACTGCGTACCAGAGAGCCGAACGACCTATATGATCATGAATGGCCAAGTCCGAACAATGCCACTTCAATAAACATAATCCAATTGAGATCCGGTTTCTGGAGAGCGCGTATATCAACGGTGCTTGACCGTTGTCGTCTTTCCAATTGTAATCAATCTTGGAGGTGCTGTGAAGGATCTGCAATATCTCCAGATTTTTGGTGCGAATGGCGTGGAACACGGGTGTTCGGCGTCTGCCATCGTGGGTATTGACGTTCACGCCGGGGTAACTCAAAATTTGTCTCACAACATGTGGACTATTATGAGAGCCTGCCCGGGTCAATGCATAGCTGCTTTCGTGCTGCACAATGGTCTTGTATGCCAGCGGCTGGAATAAAGTATTAAGAAAACGATTTGTGGAAGCCAGCGCAACGGCATTATGTGATTGATGTATTTCCTCACCGATGGCAATAAGCAGCTCAGGAGGAAGATCATAAAGTGTCATTTTGTCTAGTCCTTTGCAGCTAAAGCAATGCTGGCTGGACAATCGTTGTCGCTCGAATGACCAGTAATTTAGCGCGAATTAAAATGCAGACATAGTGAAGGGCATTGATTGTTGGACCGGTCGACCTTTTATGCTGAAATCTGGTGGTTACAGGCCAGTAGGCGTAATTTGCGGTCACCCTCCCAGAGCACCCATTCAGGATCCCAGGAGCGAACTCGGTACTTCCAGGATCCAAGTGGGTATTTTTGGGAAGGAAATTTGTATTCACATCCGGGCTTCTGGCCAAGGAATGCTTCGTTCTGGGTCGAATGCGTTGAGACGACGATGTGTTATCCATATTCGGTATGTATATTTTTCATCGCTTTACAACAATCTGGAAGTTTTGGGAATGAAGCGCTCGGCAGTCCACGCTGGAGAATTGAGCACGAGCTGGGCAATGCGAGATCAAGACGAAGCTGGGTGTATCGAGGAGAATTTTTTCTTCCGCGAGGTTGGGAAGCGGAGCATGTATGTTTGGGGACGTCGAATTGATACCACTTGCTGAAGCTATGTTGCCCTTTTCACGGTGCCCTGTTGATAGTTTATTACCGCTGAGATTGACTGAGTAGTAGAAAAGCAATGAAAAACTTCTGAACCCACATTGAAATTGTAGGCAGAACCCATCATGATACTGCCATCATTTTTTCCATAGGAGAAACAAAGTCTGGAAACTTCATTGTTCACGAAGACTACTGGAAGGAGGTTAACCAGGATCAGGCTCATTTCTAACATGCTTGTGTCATTATATAAGTGCATCAAAAAATTGTTGCTACACGTCACTGCAAAATTCTCGTCGCAAGAAATTCTTTTTCACTGTTAGTCTTACTATTGATATACGCTGATGATCATAGCGTTAGTTGTAAGGATCGAAGTAGCAAGTTGGCTACTGTACAACGCCCCCAGAAAGAATCCTCAAAAACGCAACACGATTCTCATTTTGAGAGCTTTTGTGCCGCCTCAGCTGAAATATCAAAGCAAGGTAAAGTGGCGTGTACATGTACTTGAGACAGCCCAAAATGCAACAAAAAAGAGAACGAAAACTTCAGTCGAGCCTTACATAGCTTACCTACATTTCTGATTTCCTTTTTCTTTTTCTTTGTTCTTTCTTCCAAAATGAGCTGACTCTTCTTGAAGCTGAGGTGGAACACTCGAGTATGTGGTGGACTTGTACTAAATAATTGCAAGCACACCAGTTGACGTGGCTAGCCGCATCTAGCAGTTGCAGACTGCACAGTTGTGCATGAATTTTAATGGCGTGATAGGTAGCCTTACCCAGCGATTCGCGCAGCCTGCTGCATACAAATACTGTGCCGGTTCCTTTGGCCAACGGGTTGTGTCGCCCATTCCATCTCAATTTATGCAAAGAATCAAAGACCTATGAAATAAAGGTCCCAAGGAGAATCAGTACCGACAAAGCTGCCGCTTGGCTTACCATATCGGCTTCTGCTGTGGCTGTGATCTGCTGGAGCATTTTCATTGCCGGGTGCACTTCACCATCTACATCCGAACACCTCTACCTGATGGAAGTAAGCATGCCCATGGATAGTTTCTATACCAAGCTAATATCGTGCAGGTTAACCTTGAGGACTTTCCAAGAATACAGGGCAGCTCGATTAGTCAGGGATTCTCGCAGCTTCTTCCTCGAGCCCCTCCGGTCAGCCTTAACCCCAAGGAAATACCAACAGAGATCGGGTCAGCCACCTCGGGTATAACAAGCACGGTAGAAAGCACGCCCCACCAGGTCGTGGGTGCGGCAGAAGAGATTACTAGCGAGATCAAAGTTCATCTGCCAGACTACTATCATGTTGGCCTTTGGGGATACTGCAGCGGAGATGACGATCAAAAGGCCGTGTGCTCTCACCCGAGCCTATCATTCCACTTCGACCTATCCGCGATTTTACGATCAGCCTCTCCACTCGTCGACCATATACTACGCGAGCAAGAAGATCACGATATTAGTGGCTATGCGAGGCTTTCTCATGGGATCACCTGCATGTGCATCCTAGGGTTTATAATGACCGTTTTAGTAATAGTACTTGGCGTATGGAGGGAGTTTTACGGTGGACACAAGAAACTGCTCGCCGCGCTCCATATGGTGAGTTTTCAGATTCTCCTTCATTCGAAAACTGCTGACTCTTCAGTGCTCGGTGATTCTAGTCACTGCGGCTGCCATCAGCGTTACCGCCATGTATGGCATTCTCATTCATACTATCACCGAAGTGCTCGATGGCCTTGGCGGCCAGGCCCGGGTGGGGGGCTCCATGCTTACCCTTCTTTGGATGGCGATGATTCTCTCTCTGGGAGCTTTTTCAGTTTGGCTCATCCGACTATTCTGCCGTGACCTTTGATTAATGCAGGATGCGGGCCAAGGGGGAAGCGGAGTGACTCTCCGCTCCTAGCGATGATACCTTGATGGGTTTGAAAGCCCTCTTTCACTGTATACCGTCTTGCCACAGCTCGTCGACACCCATTCCACCGAAGCAACAGGGGAGGGATTGGCAAGGAGACCTAAAAGATTTTTGGATTTCATGCGTGTTATTATTTCATTTGGAGGATATACTGCTTGGTCAAATTTACCATTGTAGTAGCGTGTTAGGGTTGGTAAGCTGCTGAAATTGGATCGCTGGTGGCCAAGAACTCGGATTCTACCAGCGTCTTACAACATACGCGACCTACCGGTGGTCACTTCTTGCTCCTGTTCAAATGACTTGAGACATACTGTTTACCTTGGTTCTAATGAAAATTGCTAGCTGAGGCGAGGAGAAAACCAGTCGGTTAGACTAACTGCACATTTGGTATCGCGATACTGCCGTTCACTATCTTGTAGCGGCCCGATCATGACTACGTAGCCAATGATAGCGAAGGACGGACCTAATACAATTGCCGCGGCAAAATTGGTAGACAGGAACAGCAAATCTTGATTTGCCGACAAACTTGCCGTACGTCGATGGTAATTTTAGGTCTCGACCAGTTGGCAGGATTCGCCAACTGTGATCAAAGATTTAGCAAAGCTTGTTTATTGTTGCTGGATAGCTCTTAAAAAGGAGATCGCGTCCTGGTCACTTGAAGCCGGAAAGATCTCTTTCAGGGCCTGCTGGAACTCAAGAACAAACTTGTCTTCGATGGCTTCAAATACCTCTCCGAGAGCTCTGCGCAAGGCAGCTTGCTGTAATATTTCAGCTTGCAGGGTTTTGCGATTGTGGGCTCGCCGGCTTCCTTTCGTCTGCAACACTGGGGTTGGCGAGTGGTCTATTTGGGCTCGGTGCGTCTGCGGCAGGATATAGTCTAGGAGAATCCAGAATTCATAGAGTTTTTTGGCCTCGCAACTCCCACTCAATAACCACACCAGTCCAATCGCGTTATTGACCATTTTTAGAAGAGAGTTGCGGTTCTGAGAAATACGGTGCACCGCAGCATGGCGAATGGCACAAATTGGCTCGTGCTAGTTCGGCGGAGGCTTTTGTTTCTGTGGAAATGCAGACAGCGGAAGCTTTCTGCAATTTTTCTTCAAAAATGGAAATAGCTTGTGCAATTCCAGCGCCTCTGCACAGGACCATCCATTCGACTCAGCCTCCTTTGGTAGCCACTGCTCCACGAAGCGAAAGGCTTCGGCTTCCAAATACCGCTGGAGGGCTAGAAGAACAAAATGTTGAACACGAAACGGGACGTATGCGATGGGTAAGTCGACCAGATCGGATATATCATGCATGACCTCTGGGCAAAAAATACTGTTAACTTGAGAGGTAGAATAATATGTAGGAGTAGAATGATGTCGCACCAAAGGTCTTCTTTGTCCGTAGGTAATCGAGGGATTTTTGCATCATCTGGCGGGAGCTTGAAGCTCGAGTGGTCAGCGACGGCCGTCTATGGGGTGGAATCACTTACCTGCTCCCATTTCGACATGGCATAAAACCGATTAGAGGTGAGATTTCTTCTGCTGGGTCTTTGGCTGAAGTTGCATGGTCGTCTAGTCGCTGGTATCGTTTGATCCGCTTCCGGCTTTTGCCCATATTGTATAAGGCAATGAGCTGTCGTACAAAATAAGTAATTTGGGCTGTTGATCAAGCGTTCTTTGCTGCGTTCAGTCTAAGTGAAGAGTGCACATTCTCAGCGACAATGTCACACTTGAAAAGAGCTAGAATATTTTTGACTAGGTTTTTGTGGAGAAAGCGAATTGGAAAGTTCACACAGAGACTGCAGCCGGTGTTACACCTGGATGCAAATTTCGGGACGCTATTTTCCATTTTCATCTGTCCAAAATTTGTGGTACACAAAGGTTAAAAGAACAATTGAGCATGTTGACCGAACGGTCCGCAAACAAGGTCGACGGCCATAATGACTGGTAAGGTGGTTGTTGAATCAACACGTTGATAATGGAGGGCTTTCATCACAACAGATTAGGATACCTTCCGTTACTATGTAAAACAGTGATCTGTAGTCTGTTTCTGATGCCGAGTTTGAGAAGTTGTTTGAAGTCTCATTGAATGACTACACAATCACTGATTCAAGCTGACCTCCGACACGCCAAACATCCGTGCGGTGGGATGACTTGGGATCGGTATTTCATTACATAATCGAAAATATGTCTCATTGCAAAGTCCCTGACTGGGGGGTTTATTGAAGACGCAACACAATCTCGACCTCCAAAGGAAACGCAGCACTGTAGTTTGAAACAGGGAAGCGAGATGCCTCTTTAACGATAGTTTGCAGTCAAGTTCTGCACAAAAAGAGCAGGATCTAAGAGCATCCGAACACTCGCGCGATCAGTGCCCAGGCTAGATACCTCACCGTGAAAAGCGAGAGTCCTCGCGAGCGGTTCCACCAGCAGTCGGAATGATGACACGCGGATTCCCACTGCAGTAAGGCGAAGTATGTCAAAGATCTGTGCCTGCAAGCGGTGAAGATTCTCCAGGAAGGTCTCGACTCGCGATAAGAAAAGGATATCCTGCGCAATCGTCTCTCCGGTACATGGATCCAGTCTTAGAAGGCGAAACTCGAGGACATGTGCCATTTGAAGGTCCCGCCTGGGCAGCATCAAATCAAAAATCTCATCAATGCATGCCGCAGTAGAGAGGGGATCGGGCCCGGGCCACTCAAAAAAGCAGGAAGCCGAGGAATTAGAATAAAGGAAACAGTTGGCCGTGGAGTAGTACCGGCAGTGAGGGCAATTTGTCGCCTCTAAGGGTTCTTCGGTAAGCAGCTCGCCATCATACTCAACGTAAGGTGGGCCAGCTGACATGGTGCATATTAGCCTCCAGATCTCGTCAAGGTCCAAGTCCAGATCAATTTCATCTCGGCAAGGGTGACTGAAGTTGAATGTCGGGCGACGCAAGTTAATCATGTCTGAACGACTCATTCTTCTAAGAACTTTGCGGGAAAAGGGGCAGCGACCAAGATATATGAACGAATTTCTCAAGGCTAGGGACAGGTTGGTGAATTTGGATGTCTTTCTGTCAGGACACCCTCTCCTTTAAATAATTCGCTTGGCAGGCGGACGAACTTCATGGCTTGGTATGGCATGGCCAATCATTCCATCACAGGCGTTAAATGGGGAATGAACCATCAGTTGAAGCAACGCACCGGAGGAGTCACAAGTTCAACATATCATCCCTCCTCTCTTACAAGGAACAGGGCCTGATCATGGATAGGATTCGTACACCATTTCTTGGCTCATCAAAATTTACGGATCTTGCCAGCTGCCCTCGGGCTCTTGGTCAATGACATCTACAGAATGGAAAGTACGACAGGTATGCTAGCAGAAGTTCGTATTTAGGTGCTACAAATTTTGAGACGGGCTACCTACATTGTAGTCTTGGGATAGCCCCGCCAATAATTCACAATCACAACACTGCGGACAAGCAACCGGGCCTTTTCGGCAAGGCCATCCTGCCTTGAAGTAACCAGTCTCCCGAACCACTTATTCCGCCTCCATTATCACATCGTCCAGATCTCCACACTCACATTGACGCCATATATCCATGATGCCCATGACTTGCTGTCGCGAGGACTCGAACGCTCGATCGAAAGCCTCCAACTTGATCTTCAGCTCTTCCGAACGGATGGTGAGGTCGTGCTTCTCTGTCTGAATATGATCTATAGCTTCACGCAGACTATGGTTCTCCTGAATAAGCTGAGCCTCTCGCATTTGCTTAGAAACACAGGATTCCCACGGGCGTCGGTATAACCCGACAAGTCGAGCTGCCTGAAAGGCTAGTTTGGGGTCATTGATCTCGAGATCCGCCAAAGTTTCTTGTATCTCTTCGAACGGCTGTTTAAGGATCGTGCGGGAGCTGCCCGGAATGCTGTTGTCTGGCACCGTCTGAAACACATTAGTATCTAACGAAGAAAAGTGAGGTTCAAATAATTTTCGATGTAGAACGTACCTGCTGGTCCGGAATTTCTTGGGTAGGTTGTTCCTGCATCATAGCAGAAGACGGGCTCTCTGTGTGCTCGGTGGCATGACGAAGAGAGCCGATTTCGGGAAGAGGGTCCATGGTGCGAGTCAACGAAACACCGAGTTGAAAAGATAGATGAAATGAGAATTAAGGCGATGGATGTCATTTTATATTTGCTTTTGCAGTGTGTTCGAACTCATACCATGGTTCAAACACAGGCTACTGCACACGAAAATTTTGAATTTAGTTGACTCAACTGTTGGTCAACTCTTCTCCCATTTGTTTGCTCACCGACAACTCACCAGACCTTTCTTTTCGACAGTCATCTGAGTCAATTAGTCTAGACCGGACGTGCTGATGCAACAGACAATATGCGACACTGTCTTGGAAAACTAATTTTCATTGTACTCAGATGCACCTTACGAATCGTCGTGGACAATGTGAGGGGTGTTCAGAGAAAGGACCTGCGACCTATGAGCGAGCTACTGACTATGCGCTTATTTGAATATCACAGTAAGCAACACTTTTGCTTTTCTCGGTCGTTCGTTCCTGCGTTGGCGTGCACTCGAACATAAATGCCCCCCTTTCCGCTATGATTGTTTCTCCCCACGCTCGTGAAAATGGCCAATATAAAGCTCTGGCTGATGGGAGTATCGCTGCTTCTTTCCATCGCGGTATGTTAGCCACATTCCTTCATTGTCCGAGTATTGATCCGTGACAGGCCTCTAGCCCAATCTTCTCGCCCACGGTCTCTTATTACGCAGTCAGTTTTGGGTATCTCTTCATCCACCTCATGAAACTAATTCTCTTCCTAGAATGGGATTGTGAGAGCCACGCCACTTCCAGAAAGGATTCACAAAGGGCAAAGTGAGACACCCGCACATGCACACAGTACTATGCATCGGAAAACACGTGGACACCGGCATTGGCATTTGCGATAGGCGGTCACTTTGATATTTACTAAAAAAATGGCTCGTCGCTAGACTGGCCCTCAATTGAGCTTTTGAGTGCGTTTTGACTGGCTTATTCAATGTTGTTAAGTAGACTGTCAACAAAGTTGAAGGAGGTTTGATGATTGAGGCCTCATGACAGGGTTATTGAATTAGAAAACTATGCTGTGTGAACTAGTTACACATATACTCGTCGAGAAATAGAGACTTTCCACCAAAACGGACGATTGCTATCGCCATGATCTATCGAGAGCAGAGTAGTTGCCTAACAAGACTAGCGAGCTTTTTCCCATCATGAGCATTGCTGGCGATAAAATCGTTCTGCCTTTTGTTAGATGGCTGTTAGACAGAGGAAGCTTAAATGGGAGTGCTACCTTCTGAAGTGCCGGGATTGACTTTGCTGACTTGGCAACAGCCAGGAATTGGCTTGCAGCACACCTGATCGGCCAATGTGCGATGCGAGTTTCTTCGCTCTCCTGATCTTTGTGCATGAGCTGCAAGGCCAGTGATGGAATCATTGACAGGCACGCCTGCTCAGCCTGATCTGGTGTGCAGTCTACACAGAGCTCTAAGCGTGCTGGAGAATGTCAGTCTGAATCACTACCAAGGGCAGTTGACGCACCGATCTTGACAGCTCCGTCCAGTCCAAGTAGAAAATCCCCGCAACCAAGCGATTGATGAGTGAGTCCAAATGAGTGCAAATAGCGCATCCCACTGATGACCTACAGGACATGGGTTAGAATACGCCGCGTAAAAAACGTTGCCTGACATACCTGAGACAATATAGCGCTCAGCTCCTTTTCATTCAGATGAACCCGGGGACTTTCTGAAATAATTCCTAGAGTGAAGGGCAGGTCATCAAGCAGGAAGAACCCAGAATCCCCGTAGAGATAGCATTCATGGAGTCTCAGTACATTGGTATGCTCTAGGTGACCGAATCGGTCGATCAAACGGCGAGCGTCCTGCCTCTGATACTTTCGAATGGCCACAATGCGGGATCGGTGTGTGCGTCGGCTAGCAAAGATGACTTCGCCGGCAAGATCCGCGTGAAAGATTTCTTAATAGGTGTCCCATGGACGTTCGTGCCGTACAAGAAATGCGGAGTTCAGATCAGCGATGGCTAGGAGACGGGGAAGGCAAAGAGTCTTCGGCGCGCCTGTAACGACTTTTGATGTACGAGTAAAAAGGCTTGGCGAGTGAGAAGATTTTTGTGCGCGGCCGGGACGCACTATCTTTGAAAAGACTGGCGCAATTCCAAGTTCTTTCCCTTGAATGGCACGAAAATTGAAAACGAGATGCTTATCAAAAGTATCCATGTTTGAACACCGACCAACCGAACGCTTCGCAGTCAATAGTCGCCGGGGGAAAAGGGTATATAAGCGTGGCCAACATTGTCACAAAGAATAGAGCCAGCAATTCTGACATAGTTCACAGATTCATGTCCCTAGCACGCTGTTGCTTTCATATTTTGTATACGCTATACAAACGAGGCGAAAAGAATATGGTGCCTAGACGTGAGGATGCTCCGAGCGTCAAGGAACATCTTTGAGGTAGTAATAGAGTATGATTATGAGCCTTTGACAAAGCTTTCACTTTGATATTTCTTTACATGGCCAGAAATCGGCTGAAAAGAGGGGCAAGTTTCAAGCTTGTGGCGAGTGGCCTTTGATGCCGCGCAGCTGAATCTCTGCTGCAGCTCTTGTTCAATTCGGTGGCTGAGTCTTGATTCCTCGATTGTTAGAACGACTTGCTTGGAGACATGAGTATAATTCTGTTTCAAGGAAAGTAAGATAGCATACACAGAAAAGGTCTCATTTTGAAGAGAAGAAAGAACAGCTCGTCGGCGCACATCATCACCCTTCCAGTTTCGAGAAAAACGTGGCTAAGACAAGCTTATGCCTTCCAAGAACCCTATCGTCATACCTGCCCAATAACCTTCTTTTCACTGACGTGGCTGCGCACTCTGCCGGGTAGAGCGACGACGACCACCCGTCGCTTCCCTTCCCGCCCTTCCCGTGTCCCTGACGTTTTGGAATAGCGTTTCCACAGCTGCCAATCGCTTGCTGAAATCCTCCAACAAATGGTTTATCGATTCATTCCATATATTTTGCTCATGCAGAGCACTTTCGAGGCCACTAAGAAGTTGTCAGCAGTGTTTGGGACGGTCCAGCTTCCTCACTTACTTCATCCGATTATCTAGACTTCGGTCAGGTTAGCTATTGGTCTCAAGAAAGAAAGACGGGGACATACTCAGCTAGACACTGGATGGCAATGATACTGTCTGTTGCATCAATCGCCTCGGCATTCTGAGGTGAAGGGAAGGGTCTTGCCAACCCTTTCGGGGCGGGATGTTCATTGCCTGGCGATTGTTCTCCCTCATCACTTCCCCGGTGGGACTCGCGCTCGTCTGCCTCACCTCGGAAGGAAGGATCATCCACTGTGGTGTCACCACTCAAGGCACTTCCAGAGCCATCGGAATCACAAGATGAGAGCGAGAGAGCACGCTGCAATCTCTGGCGGAGACGCTGTCGCCGGTCGGCAGTCGAGTCGTTAGAATACGCATTCATTTTTGTAGGCAGTCAGGAAATGAACCCTCCTTACTAGTTACAAAATGCAGCCGGTAAATGATTGCTCTTTATACGAAAGAAGTGGCAACCGCATTTTGTTAAGTGAGTCACGGCATTGCCCGCAAATCGCATGCACGTAATACCTTTGACGGATTCCATGGGACCGTGTTTGCTCCTGCAATGGGCCACCAGGAGATGAACCAAACTCAACATCCAGAAGGTATGGCTCTTCGATGGTTTCCATTTATTTGATGGTGGTGAGTCAACGTGATTGTTGAGTGCCCACATGTGGACTCAACAGCGGCGAACTGTGGAGCCATTGCAAATCACTTTGGGAACCGACATGAACGATAGACTTGCCCATAACTCCCTCGACATCATTTTAACCCGACTCATCGTCTAATTTGTTTCTGGGGGTAAATGAGTGACCCGCTCGAGGCATAGTTCGACAGAACTACCAATGTTGCGCCATCCCGAGTAATCCACGGGCTGTCTATGTATTGGTCTGCAGTGAATCCACAATATTTATTATAAGCCTACAGGAAAATAGAAAATAGCCGCAAAAATATTACCATTGATTTGAGCTGGGTGGTGAAGGCCAGCGAGAACAACCGCACATATTGCAAGTACCAAAGTCTCAGCAAGAAAGGTGATGCCCTTTTTTAGATAGCGTGGGATAAAATAGTCGTCAACTTAACGTCAACTTTTTGGTATACCCAAGGGGCCCATTCAGGCACAGGCTTCTGAGTCGGTCTCGGAGCCCCACTTTCCCAATTTCTCAGAACAATAAAGAATGTGAGGTTGGGCTGATTCCTGATCCAAAGCGCAGACCAATCGAAGTCTACCCATATCGCCTCTTTGGCAGCAGTCTAGTGTCCGGTGAGTTTCAAAACTTATTTTCAGTATTTGAATCATGGATTCCTTGGCTTGGCAGGCTCCAGGGCATGTGTTAAATATCAATCTCTCTTTACCGCTGTGGTGTTTGACGACCCATCTTCCTACCCCAAATTCCCTTCTCTCACCGGGCATTTATCATTCTCATTGCTCCTTTCACCATGGCGCGAGGAAATAGCTGCAAGCAGGATCGAAATGGCCATCACTCGCAGCGAGTAAGGCCGGTGATTACTAAAGCTCGATCAGTTTCAAATGTCTCAATCCGATCGGCGTTTCCAGTTTCAACCTCCCGGGGCGCAAAGTCTGGCATTTTGAAACGCCATCACAGTGTGAGTCGTTTTTCGGACCTGCAAGACCTGATTCATTCAATCTTGTGGCGCTCTATCATACTCTAGCCTTTTATTGACAGCACATAGGGTTCTTCCGCGAAAGACTCCCGCAAACATGGCAAAATCGACCGTCAGAAATGCTCTGATCTCCTTTCTGAGGTCCAGACTAAGATGGAGATAGAAGCGGATGAGCAGCTAGCTAGGGCCACGTCACGTTTTCAGGCAGAAAAGGCACAGGATATGAAAATGATGGAACAGATTCTCGCCGAAAAAGACAGTCTCTCAGCCAAGAATATCCAGGCCGAGGGTGAGGTTTCTCGCTTGAAGCAAGAGCTGGAGGCACAGACCCTGGCCACACAAGGCCAAGTGAGCTGGAGCGAGATACAGTCAGCCTTGTACCAAGCTCATAGTCAGTTGGTATCGGCAGCTACTGGGCTTTGGAGCTCGATCGAAGCCATCCAGAATCGCCAGCTAGCAACATTCCTGCCTGGGTCAGGGACCATGAATTTCAACTGGCCCAGTCTAAGCGGAACCTCCAACCTTACTGGATTCGATAATTTACCCTCATCTTACAATTCGCAATTCAGTCAACAAGACCAGCAGGCGATCAACCAAGCCGTTCCCCCAAATTGACGGCAATTGTTTTTCAAGTTGGTATGCCTTCTGATGGTGCGGTGGATTGAAGTGAGATAGTGATGATAGAACATGTTTTTCAAGCCTCACCAGGAGTATTAACACCATTAGTGCATTCATTGTTACCTGAGAACTATTGTCAATACACCTTTCTATTACATCGTCACAAGCCATATTTTGGCAATCCTCAATCAATGGTACGCCAAAAAGTAACTTTCTCGAAATGAGGGAATTACCCATTCACTGCATATATGTTCCACCTAAATCTGCTTGTCAAATCTAACGGCAGTCTTAAATACTGACAAGGCAGTAGAGAGGAAAGATAGAAGAACTGGGGCTTGCTTCTAGCCAGGGTCAAGCTTTGGTCTAGATGCAGAAGCACCGACTACCATTTGTCACTGAGGTCGATTTCGTTCAATAAATTTGATTTTTGCAACCATGGTGATTTCGGTATATTACTGGAAGCGCGCTGTTAGGTCAAAATGCAGTTCAATGGTGGGCATTCAAGGACACTCAGCATGAAGCTTTGGGTGTCGCAGATTTCTTCCTCAAATATGACGTCTATATGGCTTCCATGTCATAGAAATAAATATCTAATTCTTGAGACCTAAGAGCTTATGGTGTATCATGGGAGGGAATAAGTTGTATGTTCATGCAAGTTTTCGTAAAGAATTTATATGTCTGTCAATATGTGCCATTTATCTTCCGTACGGTACCGTCACACACTCCAAGCCCCAAATCTTCGGGCTCCAAACACAATCATAGACACACCATCATTCCCTCCTGTCACCAAGCTGAATGTAGTCTGCTGGCATCAGTGTCGGATCTGTGATATGGATCAATTTGGTAAAAATTCAAATCAAAGAGACACCTTACTAGCGAATGGTCTTTCCGATTTTGCAGAGCCATTGCGGTTTGATTGATGCATGGGTAAATTATTAAGCCGTCGTTTGCTTCGACGCCTCGGTGGTTTCCCCTTACATTTGCAGTTTGCACACTTCGGTACTTTGGATTCACGCGCAATGGATGAGCTACTAGCGTCGCGGCGTTTTCGAAGGATGTGGTGCTTTTTCCCTCGTAGAGACTCAACACTTCGTCTTACACGATACTGCTGCCAATAGGCAATTGACAAGGCCTTCCAGGTCAAGTTTCGATTAGATTCGAGCCAGGGAAGGAGGTTTTCCTCCTCCCAGGCTGACCAGCCGACTGCATTATGGGGCGTCATCATGCACTTGAGGAGTAGCGTTTATGACCGTTTGGCGGTAAGCAAGTGATTGAATGGCATGAAAATGTTCTAACCCAGGGGTGTTCTCATGGGTGAGCAGTTGCGGCTTTATGGAGAATCGCAATTGACAAGAAATTCGTTCTTTGGTCGCTCAAAAAGTACTCCTGGTGGGCGCCATGTTGCATCTCCCAAATTTCTAACAGGGGGCTGGCAGGGTCCATGGTTGACTTCTTGCAGCCTCTTGGCAGAGCTGAACAGAATCGGACGCGACCTGTTGAACAAACGAAGTGGCAATCACTCAATAGCTCCCTAAAGCGGGATCAACATTCGATTTACGCATTAGAATTTGGCAAGAGCCTACCTACCTCGGTGACGGCAGTTTTCAAGCGCTCTTCAAGCGAAAGTAGCCCTATCAGGAGATGAGTTCAGTGAAAGATAGCAAGAACAAATGAGGATGCGAATCTTCGACTAGAGGAATTCATAGCTGGCCAAGGTTGCAAAGGATCTAAGCAATGGGCGCCGCCACCCAAAAGTTTTCAATGGAAGGTTACACTGAATTCTACTGAAAGAAAGGTTTATCGACTCTGTTGTTAAAAAAATTATTTTCTATCGAGGCTGGGTTGAATTTGAAACAACAAGCATCAAAATATCCCGCGAATTAGACGGGGACCTCGCCGGAGTGGCTTTCACTAGTACAGGATCAGAGATCTGGATAGCTTAACCATTCTCTAACTTCCAGTCTAGAAGCCTTGTCCGGTAAATTGTGTGAAGAAAATTGACTCATTGAATGGGAGGATCCTTTGATCGGAAATACCCCCGCAGTAGACACCTGGGAGGCAGGAAGTTTGAAGACAGTTCGTGGAAAGCTATGTGGTAAAATTAGGATACAAAGCGGGTCACTCTGGACTGTGGACGGCGATCCGTTGACTTGGCAGTGGGTTGTCGGAACCATGGGCCGTAGACTTATCGCGACCGTAATCAATATGATATAATTCCGGTTACGTCACACCTGTAGGTCTGCCGTATGCAGTGTCAACCCTGGTATGAAGAGAAATCACAAGTTTCTCGAGAATAAGCAACGCTTCCAGATCTCAAAACAGGTCCACTGGCTGCAAGGCTAGTAGAGAGAAAGGCAGGTACTAAGTATTTGTCTTTTGACAATGAGGGAGACTATTCCAAATGTCACAACCATGGACGCGCTGTGAATTGACTTTGTCCGGACCTGAGTGGGGCTAAATATGAGTATTGGTTCGCGTCTACCCTGAATCCGTCCACACCCAGCGTCAATCAAATTTTGACGCCCGGGATTCTTCCAGGGTGGCCCCAATGACTCGGGACAATTATTGGTCTACTATTATGTAATTGAAGTCAATATTCCAGCCTGAAGAACTCTGAAGATGAAGGACTTAAAATATTGACTGAAGGCAGGATATGCTAGTGACAGTCCCCCACGTTCTTTCGCCCTCATAACCTCCACGCAAGTGCATCATCACGAAGGACCAGCTAAATCGCTCACAGGGAGTATGCACGGGCATCTTGTCGCAGAATTTATTTTCCGGTGCTTATCGCGGGAAGTGGGTACTCAGGTCACTGCCAGGCTCGGGGAGAAACTAACCGAAGATTGAGTTATGGATCTGGACCGCGTTCACATCGAGTATCCACTACGCCACTCCGCTCAGCACACCTGCGGTCCACTCGCTGGATTGTTGACCATGCTCCAGAGTAGAGCATTCGCCGCAGCGACCTCGCCAATCGCATGCTGTGAGGCCAGCTGATTCTCCTGCTGCTGGATTTGTGCTTGCATGTTGGCAGCCATGAGATTCATCTGCTGATGCAACTCATGCAGTTCGTTTTCCAGGCGTCGTGCTTCAGAAGAGAGTCTCTCATTCTCCATCACTTGCTGCTGGATTTTGGCGGCATCCTCGGCCCTATTGGCGTGGAGACGTTGTATTTCCATTTGCATGCCGGCGATCTGTGCGTCCTTTTCGCCAAGTGCCTGATAGAACTCTTCCTCGCATGCATTTGTGACAGCAAAGCATTTCTGGTACATTGCCTTCCGGTATCTTCTGCTCTCCCGTGGTTTTACACGATCCTAGATGTCATTTCGGTCAGCGAATGTGCACAGAGAGCAAGAATTAAGATCAATTATCCACGAGTCCTGCGAACGAGCGTGATCTTAAAAATATGGAGGATGGCGACTGACCAACTTGTTACTCGGTACGCCCGCGGCCATGATCCACGCTAGCCTTGCAGATTGATGTGGGCTAGAAATTGATTCGTGTCTTGGTAAACTGGGCTTTGCGCGTCGAGAAATTGATCGTCACAGTGAGGAGACGTCCTGGATGAAAGACAGGTCTGTGGTAGGAAAGACCCTCAGGAGCTGACACGGGAAGCCACGGGCTTCATGTACTTCTCCAATACCGCCAAACACGCTCACCGAGCTCGCTGTCACCACACTATAGCGTAAATCTGTATTGATGCATTTCCCGACTTGGCTCACGCCAGGGGTAACCCTCTTGATGTGGAGCCACTGATCGACCGATCCGCTCCACGGATCTTAAATCTTGGCAGACATGAAACGTGGGCGCTCTGGTTCCACGGAGAATCCTACTAGCTAAATCGAAAACGTCCTAGCGTGTATGGAGGGGCTTTCATGTAGGCCCGCCCATAGTATTCACAGCGCTCGATCCTACGCTTCTGAATGTGTTTTGAGATACTGAAGAGACTAGATCCCCTTGCTGATCAGCTCTAGAATGATGCCTTCTACTTATATATAGGGTGTTGTCAGCTCCTTAGCCTCGTGAGGGGATTTGCCGTTCCAACAAAGCAAATATACTCATCTGACTTTCTTATAGCTTTGATAATTCTGAACAGCGTCACTATCACTGTCGAATTACCAAAGGTTCACTGGATACATGCGGGATTTTCTAACCCTGTCCAACTATCTGGACCGACTGTGGGCTTGTGAATCTTTCTCGATTCTGTCACCGGAAGCTGCGTATCAACAGAAGAATGATACTCACAAAAGCTTGTAAATTGACCAGAAAGTGATTCAAGATTTAAGAAACCAAGGTCCATAGTCCCCCGAAAAGACCACATCCGTGGTTCGCCTAATGTTCATCAACCATAATTTTGATCCGCGGTCCTGACAGTACCGCGCGCCTTTCACAGTGGAATTCCCCACCAACATGAACAAACAATAGCCACGGCCATTGGTGGATAGAATCACCACGATAAAGGCAATGTCATGAATCAATGGGCGCCATGAAGGCCTGGATCATTCTTTCCACATTAGACTTTTGCATTTGATATAAATCTCTCGATGGGAGTGATCGACGTTACCATACACACGGCTCGGTGCTGTCCGACCATTTTGCTATAAAGCTTTTATAGCAGGTCCTAAGCAACGTATTGGTTCCAGTTGCCCAATCATTCTGACACTATCTGCCTCTGCTCCCTTTACTCGCATATTGTAACCATGGACACCCTTGTCACCAGCCTCCCTCCGGATGTTGGGGCCATCCTCATGCGAAACATCGCAGTCATCGAGATTGTGTCCATGTTTTCAATTGGCGCATACAATTCTCTCGAGACTGTCGTCCTCATCTTCGATGCATTCAAGCACTACCGTGGACTATACTTTTGGAGCATGCAAGCTGCAGCATGGGGGATTCTTGTGCATGCTATCCCAGCAATGGCTCGCTTCATGTCCCAGTCTTCCAATCTGGCGGTCTCCATTCCGTTCGTTATCGGATGGTACGCGATGGTCACTGGTCAAGCGGTCATGCTCTATTCACGACTAAGAATTGTTATCCGCGATGCTACCCTCCTGCGATGGGTTTTATGGATGATTATCATCACTGCCTGCGCCTTTCACATACCCATGACAGTGCTATTCTTTGGCGTGAACAGCGGCGACGCCCACTTCGTACGGCCGGCCATGATCTACGATCGTATCCAAGTGACGGGCTTTTGCATCCAGGACCTGATCATCTGCGGTTTGTATATGCGCGAAGCAATGCGGTCGCTGAAATTGATCACGCAGATGCGCCGTCCCGACGGACGCAAAGTCATGATTCATCTCATTTGGGTGAATGTACTCGTGGTCGTCATGAATATCCTGCTCCTCATCACAGAGTACAAAGTGCACTATATCCAAGTCAGTTTCAAGACAGTGGTGTACAGCATAAAGCTAAAGCTGGAGTTCTTTGTGCTCAATCGACTCTGCACTCTCGTGCAATCATCACCGTGTATTTGTCAACAGAGTCATACCCAACAAGGGCCACCAGACAATGCGATGTCTCAGAACGCAAAGATTGAAAGCTCAAACGATCGCTCAGGCATGAAGGAGCGGTCTGAGTTAAACCAGGTCCGCTCGCCACAAGATTTGCCGCCTTCCCATGCCTCTGGGCTTGGATCGACACCACCCAAGCGCCCTGATAATCATATTCGTCTGCGCGAAGACTTTTCTTCGGCGTCGACTTTCTTCGACAGTAATCTCCCGGGATCTGCCACGGGATCAGCAGAAAATTTATGCAGAGATGGATCAGAAGCGTCTGATGGAGGGCCAAAACTTGATGTCTGAGCGATGCCCTCGCTCTCTTCGCTTGGGTTCTTTCAGCCTGTAACTAACGGGAATGGGTGTTTCGGATGGGCTGGGCGGAGGCACGGTGCAGAATCCAGAATCAAGTCAAGACGTGCTCAATGACATGAACCGGAGGGCCTACTGGGCGCATCCTATCATAGACGGGGAATTATCTATCATCGAGACTTATCATAGATTTTATGTGTATTTTCAATCGAAAAGCAAACCGCGCGGTTTTCACTCTTTGGGGGGCGGCGCATCTGAGCAACTCGATTTCGTGACCAGGGTAGTAAACTGGCTAGCTACAGTAGGCCTCGTTGAACCGGCTTTAATGGTAAGGCCCAGGATCAAAGTGTCTTTCCCTCATCAGGATAGGAGCTGGCGGACTTTCACAGAGCGCCCTGTGCTGATACGCCGGCAGCTCTGTCTTGATAGCTGCTCATGATGTGGGGATCAAAATAAATCCTTGCTCGTGAGATGATTGGTACAATGTGGCCACCACACAAGAAAAGGAGTCGAGTTCCCAGCATAAGAGTGTAATGTCCAGCTTGAAACGCCATTTCTTCGATGGCCCAAACTAGTGCGGGTTGGCCCTGAGACATAAAGGCAGAGAGAGCTGCGCTGGATAGTGGGTCCATGACGGTCCGCGGAGGAATTGATTGGATGTCTTGGCGCGGACTCGTGTTCTGCTGGCCAAGGGCCTCCGTCACCACTCGATACCCGACATCCTCTGACCGATGAAAGCGCGTCGCATTTGATCTCTGTCCAAGCGTGGTGCTGACCAGGAAGATGAATACCCTTGATTGGTCAAATACACCGTCATGAAACGTGCAACATCGCCCGATCTATGCGACTCTCAGTGTGATGGTGAGGAGCGGCCGTCCAAAGTTCCCCGGCGAGGTAGCTTGAGCACGAATCCAGAAACTTTGCAGAGGAAGCACGACCGTAGGAAATCATCACAGCCGCCTTCTCCCTCCTCGCCAGATCACACTAGAAAAGTGAGTAGCGTGTCTAAGTTGAAGACGTTCCAGTAGCTAACTGCATAGAAATCCAATCCTCCAAAACACCGAACTACGACGCCAATCTCGCTCACGCATACGCCCACCCCGCTTGAAGACCAGATATACCACTGGATACCTGCGCCATCAGCAGCCGGTACCGTTGAAGCGATGAGCGAACCGGCATCCAAACGATCCCGATCGCGTTCGATCTCTACCGACCGGGGGCGCGCTCGGTCTGTCTCCTCAGAAAATAGCGAAAGCAGCTCGGCTCGTGACACTCGATCATACGCCTACCGAGCTGTGAACTATGTGACCATACTGGAGACCAAGGGTTGCTTCATGCAGCCGTCCCCGGCTGGCCCGATGCCCGACGACATCGCGCTCTGTGAGCGTCTTCTCCGTCAGCCGATCGCCACTCCCCAGGGCACCCTGTTCGATGACGAGTATGTTGACAGATTCCATTACGCGCTGCGGAACCGGTCTGAAGCGCGTCTCCTGGTAGACCTGCATCCCCTGATCATGCCGTCCGCGGAAAATCAGTTCATCAGGGGCATGCAGGGCCTGAGAGACGTCATAGATGGATACAATGATCCATGGCTGAAGACTGAGCCAATCTATGGTCCAAAGCCGCAGCCTGACCATGCACGCGGATTAAAGTGGTCGGTCTTCACAGAGAGCCAGAGGCGCAAACTCGGCATCAGACCCGACGAAAAATCGCCGTATACGGCACGCGAAGACATGTACTTCCCTTATTTGACCGCTGAAATCAAATGCGGGAACCAAGCGCTAGAGCTCGCGGACCGGCAAAACATGCACAGCATGTGCATCGCGCTACGAGCCGTGGTCTCGCTGTGCCAGGCGGCTGGTTGCACAGAAGAGGTGCACCGGCGGATTCTCGGATTTTCGATCTCTCATGAGCTTGACGGCTTTCGCATATACGGCTACTACCCTGAGTTTGAGGAAGACAAAGTCTCATTCTACCGGTGGTCCATTGCGCAACCGAACGTCTGGACCCCGGAGGATCGATGGACGTGCTATCGATTCGTGGAAAATGTGGACCGTGAATTTCTACCCATTCATACTAGTCGGGTGATTCGCATACTTGACAGAGTGCCTGATCCAGATGAGGGTGCTTCGGAGGTCGATGTTAGCGAAATGGAGCCACAGCTGTCCATCATTGGATCGCAGGAACGCCCAGGATATCGTAGAGCCGCATCCTCGCAGAGCCGTGGACTTCAACCTGAGCTGCGGATGATGGTCCAAGCACTGCAGCAACAGCTGGCAGAACAGAAGGCTCGGGAAGCAGAGCAGAGGGCGCGGGAAGAGAAACTGCTTGCCCAATTGGAAGAGCAATTTGCTCGTGAGAAGCAACGAGAAGAAGATCAGAGGCAACGAGAGCAGAAACGCGACGCAGAACAGAAGGCGCGGGAAGCCGAACAGAAGGCACGGGAAGAGAAACTGCTTGCCCAATTGGAAGAGCAATTTGCTTGTGAGAAGCAACGAGAAGAAGATCAGAAGCAACGAGAGCAGAAACGGGACGCAGAACAGAAGGCGCGGGAAGCCGAACAGAGGGCGCGGGAAGAGAAACTCCATGCTCAGTTGGAACTACAAGGGAGACTTCTCGCCCGCTTAGGGGAGAAAGATGAGTTCAAATGAGCGTTCTGCTTTCGGTGTACCTGAATCCTTTTGGAAGCGCTTTGGCTTGTATCTACTCTGGTGGCTAGACAATCTCGGTCCTTGATATCAACACAGCTAGGAGGGCATCATAAGCACTGTCCAACATGACGCTGCATATGTTGTGTAGCCTAATTGCCCTCGCGTCTACAAGCCAATGAAGTTGAACTGTGAGAGGCCCGCGCAGATGTTCAGGTCACAGAGGACTGCACAATAGGTGTTAAGGGTGCGCTTAGGCTGGACGAAGAGGAACCGTGGGCTAGGGCAAGGATCCGCGCGGTTGTAGTAGTCGACGTCCCATTGCGGTCAGTGTGCCCAGCAGAACTGTCGCCATCCCAAAGAGCAGCAGATATTTGACCAATGGCATCTGGAGCGCACAAACTGGGTCCATCGGTCCAACCCAGAAGGCGATTGGCGACGTCAGAAACATAGCAGTGAGTGGCACCGCCCTGGCCCAGGTTGCCGCTAGAAGCCACCGCGCCGGAGTTGTAAGCACGCGCAGCCTTGTAATATGAAGTCACATCTGCTGTGCCGCCCTCTTGAGCTATCAGTGCCTTGAGGCCAGGCCCGGCTGGGGTGCCTTCAACGCCCTCCAGGATCATCTGGAGTATCTCGCTCCTGGGACAAGGGTTCTGAATTACTCCATCTTTGTTGCAGGACCCCGGTCCATCGTGGCTTTGCATAAGTCCAGGATTAGCGACCCCATTCTTGGTGGTCTGAACGCGAACGCATCCTTTGCTCTCCTGCATGACGATTGCAAAGATAAAGCGCGCGTCGACGCCGCTCGATTTCTCTACTTGGTAGATGGCATCCTTGATGAACTGTGTTTCATCTTCCGAGCTATTGGGGAGGCCCCATTCGGCGCAGCTGACAGAAATGATCCCTTTATTGCTCTGGAACATGGTTTCAAGAGAGTCAACCCATTGGTCGATACGTGGCCAGCCGTCAGCGAGCTGGCCGTTACCACTTATTACTGCCGCATAAGCAATGTCGCGCTCATGGAGGGGGTCGTGGGGCTTCTTTGCGTGATGCTTGTCATGGTGAGAGGAATTAGCTGCTTCGGTAAGTATGCTGTGGACTGCTAAAAAGAGCAGCCAATAGATCATCTTTGGCCAAAATCGATTTTCAACACGAGAGGACTATGTGAGGCATAGAGGGGCTTATATGAGATCTGGTTGTAGGACTGAAGATGTTGAAAGGCCATTTAGTATGTATAAGTTTCATTGGTAATAAACAAATCTGAGTGAGGATCACTCGTTCAGAAGCAAGAAGCAAGTGAACTTAACGGACATGTTCATAAGGCTCTTTCCTCATCTATTAAAACTTTGCCTCAGTCGCTGCATGGAATTACTGCCGCAGCACTAGGAGATAATTCTTGAGGTGTGATGGATATGTGATGGTTACTAGATGTTTCACTAAACAAAGCTGCTCTCAAGCCGTCTTGCGCCTCAGGAATGGGTTCTAAGTGAATGGGGTGCAAGAGTTGAGACCATCGACTTCTGGCATGGATGTTCGACAAAGAAACAATATCGCAGAGAATAAAGGTCGTGAAGAGGGATCAGCCGCCGAAACAACCGTGCCATTGCGGTTTCTGAGTCACTCATATGCCCGAACTGCGCACTTCCATCAGGCAATTTAAACAAGCCTGTCTCAGGAATATGATGACCTGCACTTGTAAAACTGATCAGTTCGACTTCAGCGCCCCATGAAATTCCGACTCAACCATACAAAAATGAGTGTTCAATGACAGCGCCCGCAGTTCGGAATTCGCATCCATGATCAAGTATGACAAACGCAGTGATACTGGCAAAGCAAAAATGCATATATAGTCCCTTCAGAGGACTTAGCGCATCCATCCAGAGACGTTTCCTCATCGTCGTGCCATCATGTCATCTAAAGGCATTTCCAAAAACGCCGACCCAAAGCAAAAAGTTCCTTCTTCCAATATTGGCAAGGTAGAGAAGATGGCGATGGAAGGGACTCTCCCACGAAACAAACTACAGAGTGGTCTGGAGCAAGCCTCGGTATCTCCAGCAAACTCGAATGAGAACCAACCATCCTATCGCGATGAGGATGATCTGGGCCAGATGCAGCAAGATGGTCCTGTAGATGAGAACTCCCCGCATCAGCCTGATAAGGCTATCAGATCGATCGAGTCAAATGATATCGAAATGAGAGATCTCGGTCCAAGCCATGCAGAGAACAATCCACCCGACGTACAAAGTGATCATCCCCCTCCAGAAGTGTCATCGCCCCAAAGCCAAGACACCGCTGGCCTTGTTGAGGGCTTTAAATGTCTGGCTATCATTGATACACGTGGGAAAAAGAAGGCAAACCGCCCCACGGAAAGCGAGCCTCTTGATCCCAATGCCACTGTCGATGGATGGGGCACGCTGAGAGGATCCACCTTCGTGATCGTGCAAGAAGGTCCACCTCACGCGGCCAGATTCACATTCAGATACGGACCCAACTACACCAACGATCGCTTCGCCAGTACGACCGACGAAGACTTCCGAATCTCGGCGATTCGAGACCGCACTGCTAGTGGGAAGAAAGTATACCGGTATACGACTGCCAATGTCGCCGGCATTTATGGAGCCCTCTTTGAAAACACAGGCTCCAGAACCTCCACACGTAGTCCATGCTCGTGGGTGAAAGTTTTGTGGAAGGACTTGAGAGATGATGACAAGAAAAGGTGCAAAGTTGCACTGGGATTTTCGTGGATTCCCAAGTGCGAGTTCGTTCGGTTTTGTCCTGGGCGCGAGGCAGCTGAGGAAACAATCAAACAAGTTTGGGACAATCAAGAGAATCAGTATGCAGCCTGGGCTGAGAATCAGCCCGGGTCCGGAAGACGCAGTCGTGGTACTACGCCATGTCCATTGAACGCCTCCTTGGACCGCCTTCGGCAACGGAGAGCCACTTCGCGCTTACGGACCCCAGGTGTTAGGGGTGCCTCTCTGACTTCCGATACCAACAGTACATCTCCACCTTCGCCACGGAACAACTGGGCAGGCACCAGATTCAACCCCGTCAGCCTTGACGAGGAACCTGACGATGTCGTTTCTCCAACCACGCCAAAATCAGGACCTGTCAATGCTGCGTCGAATGAATCTGACAACCACAACTCAGCCGAAGCTCGGGGTCAGACTCCCACCGTCAAATTTAGTGAGGCGGATTTCATGCAGACAAGAGGAATCAAAGAAGATTGGAATGACTTGACTCCTTCGGAAAAAGAGGCCCGAGAGGTTGTTGCCCAGGCTCTATACAAGGTTTACAGAGAGACCATGCTGCAGAACAACGGAGAAGAGGTCCAAGGACTGATTGCCTCTGAGGGTGTGGAGGAGGAGCTTTGATTGCTGATTGATAAAGCAAGTCGTTTCTAGCATCGAGTTAATTGTCACTGGTATCAATTTTTGAGACATATGGAAAAGGAAAAAAAGAGAAAAGAACACCAGCAGAAAAGCTACAAAAAAGGTCTAGCTAGTCCGGTTAAGAGTTAAGTATGTAGGAAAGTAATGTCGGAAAAGAGAGGTCTTTGTTCTCTATAATATGATCTTCAATTTGTGCATTTTGCTTTACAGACCAGAATTGATTGTGTTTGTCTTCTTACATGGATTATTCAATATTTAATATTCGTTTGGATACTCGTTCAAAGGCATTCGTAGGTGAGTCTTCGTCCAAATTTTCCTCTCAATTCCTCGCAATCCCGCCAAACAAGTCTTAAGTTCTTCACGGCCATGACTGACGGTTTCATCCCTCAGGGTTAAATCCAGTCATTCGGCTTACACAGTTTGACTGATTTCAGTCCCTCTTTGACGTTTGCCATCTCTCTTTTAAGGTCTTGGATATCACTATCGAAATCTTCATTGCCCTTAGCAGTACATTTTCTGTTACTGCCATTCCTTTCTTGGTCGTCCCATTTGGCGTCTCGCCTGAGTAACCTGCATTTTAGAGATACAAATCAGTTCTCGGTCTTAGACACAAATATGAGGGGGCTCCGGATTTGAAGTACACACCTGCTGCGTCTGCCCAGTCTGCGTTGTAGACTATCATGGCTGGGCTGTAAAGTCAGGGAGGATGAGGGCACGTACCGACTCGTACTAGATCTTGACTGTACAGATCTGTTGGAATGTGCAACGCTTCTAGACGTGTCTTTCGAAACCAGGTCAAATCGCACTCGTTTTTGTATTCCGTCACTAGGTTCTCTTCGGGTCGAGTGTTTGTGACTGGACTTATTTGAGCCGCCTGTCTTTTGCGAGGATGCTGTCGGGACTGGTGAGGCAGATCTGTTGCCCAAAGCTTCAATTGTTCTCTCAAAATTCGCAATTCCCGTGCGAGCACGGTCGGCAGACGACGGATCAAACTGTGCCATTATGAGGTGGGAATTGTTGGCTTCAAAAGATGGGGAGGTGTCGATTCCGTGAAGGTACTTGATGTGAAGAAATCACAAAGGAGCAGACTTGGATCTACGAGAATTCTTGGAGAGGACGTATACCTGGGGCGGCCCATGGGACAATAGCGAGTGGACGCGCGAAGTGGGTCGAGGGCAGATCAGCCACTGTGAACCAAGTAACGAGTGCCGTTCACCGCTTCACCGCATGTTTGTAGCCCGACGAGTCAACGTCAGCACGTACCCGTCAACACTCACCCATCAAAAATCACTCCCATCAAGAATCGCATCAGCTCAAAGTCGCTCTCAGCACCATTTTCCACTTTTCAAGGCCGGACGATCTTTGACGGGTCAGGTCACCTTATTGGTCGCCGTCATGGAGTCCTGGCATTGGGTTCGCGAATGAGGGATCATTCAGACAAACTGCCTACTTTTAACATATGTCTCGTGCAGTTCGAGACGACCGCTTTGAATTGGCTCATCAGTGGGCATGTCGAGGTACCTATTGCGTAAAGCGGTTTTACTAAATACGACTCTAGGTATGGCCTACGAGAGAGCTTTGAATCGACTGAACTGATAATGTGATGATTGCATTTCCCAGTGGGCTGCCATGGCTCATGATTTAGTCTATCTACTGTGCAAGTCTTGGCTTCTTCAGTCCCCATGGGAGTTGCAGTCCCCATGGGAGTTGCAGTCCCCAGGTGAGATGAATACTGGTCCCTAGCACCACGCAGAGGTGCTTACACATTGCCAGGGGGCCTTGATTTCGCAGCTGTCTCCTGCGGAGTCGCTTGATTTCGCAGCTGTCTCCTGCGGATCCTCTTGGTAACGCATTTTTCCTTGCGGAGAACTTATTTGACGCAGAGGTCTCCTGCGGAGAACTTGGTAATGCAGCGGTCTCCTGCAGAGAACTTGTTGACGCAGCGGTCTCCTGCGGGTCTCAATTGTCATCACAGCGTCCCCCTGCGAAGCACTATTCTTATGTCACTGGGCTTGGATCAGCAACAGCCGTCGTCACGGAAGCCTCAGGCCCGAAGGTCAGAGGCGACACACCGCAGCCGCGATGTGTGAAGAAAGACAAATGGATCGGGGGAGGAGCCTGCTTTTATGGACTTCAGCTACGCTTTCTCGCAAATACCAGCAGTGCAGGTTTCTCACCGAGGACGGTTCTGGCGGTCGATGCAATGTCTTCACCGGTCTTGATCCATGAGCTGGACGATGCTGGCGTATGGATCGCCAATCATGTCGCGGCAGACAGCACCACGACCGTTCATTCCATCTGGGTGTGTAGTATTCCTGACTCACAGAAAGTGCTGGTCGAATCACAAAATTGGCGCAGTTGCAATCGGAGGGCAAAGAGCTGGCTCGCCCATGGTTCACAGTAGTGGTACGGTGACCTCAGAGACGTGAGTCAGAATGAAGATCCTCAGCATTATACTGCGCGTGCGAAAGTGCCATGGTGGAGGATGGTCTATTTTGAAAAGGCCCGTCGAATTGCGTGCGGCTTCAATGTCACCTCTGCTTGACTATGCTCAAGTTCTGGCGGCTTATTGTGAGGTACTGAGGTACACGGCTTGGCAGGCTTTGTCTTTGCCGTACATTGAGAGAAGGCATGCCTACATGATTGCTATGCAAGGGTATTCCTCCATACATCCATGACTGGACTTGTGCAGAGTCCCACGTGTCCACATATTCTGCTAAGGGCTGATATTTTGTGACCAAGATTGGCAGCGGACAGGCTGCAGAGAGCTCTGGGCTCTTGGTGATTGTCAATATACTCTGCAAATGGCATTACTATCAAAAATCCCATGGCATATCAATTTAGTGAATAACTGGCCCCAATTCTCAACTTTTGGCGGGACGCACTTTTGTGTTTTTCGTAGAGTAGTGTATGCCCGGCACCCGCTACTTGAGCAACGGTGCTTTTTGCTGGAACGGCCGAAATGTAATGGAAAGTGATTCCAAGGACGCCTTGGAGAGTTTCCGGAGGTCTCACAAAATTGAGCAATCTCTCGTTCACCCTCATTTACTGAGGGTTTCTAGCTTCATCGCTGATCATTCACTGTCGTTCACTCAACGTTGAGGCACCAGAGTGGATATAGTGGCCCCACCTCGACCCACGGGCCGCACCGATGTGGATCCAAGGTACCCGGTGTTGGCTCAACTTAATGACCATGCATTGTTATGGTCTTGCCAATTTGGGCTGCCCACGGTTCACATTATGCTTGAGGATGAATGATAGCTTTCACATTCCCTCCAGAGCGTGTGTTATGTTCACACCTCGTCCGTCCACACAACGGTGGTAGAAGCGGAGCGAGCAAATCCATTTTGTTGTTTGTAGGTATTTGTTTTTCCGCTAGTTAACGGGTGAGAGAGAAGTCAGGAAAGTAGTCAAGTCGGGAATTAAAATGAGGGCCTCATGGTGCTCGCCTCAACTTTCACTTTGCCACAAATATCTGCCGTTCCATATACTGTTGAGAGAATTTTCGTCTGCTCATGCTCGTTGAGTCAACTGATTCGCGAGTGAATAAAGTTTACGACCTCCTTTTCTACATCCCCAATCAGCCTTCCCCGGACTAAACTCTACTTCGATGATTCCTCCTTGACAACTATTTGTCATTCTTCATACCTCATATTCTTGGGACGTCTCATGTTTGCTCATCGCTGTTGATGCAACTGAATCCGCTAGTGAATGAACTCTGGTGTCTCAACCGGCGGCTCCTCCACTTTCTTGGTGGCATGCTGGCCGCATTCTACCTGAATCTTAATCCTCGCCAAGTTTTTGTCGTTCGCTCTTTGCTGCTCCTGTTTGCTCACCACTGGTAAGTAGCCATGTTGCTTGAGCGCAGAAAACTGCTTGCTGGTATGCCGTTTTTCCTCTTGCCTAGAAATAATCAGAAAGTCTCACAATTTGCCACTCTTGATCCAAGCGAAAGACGAGGCACCCCGCCCTGAAGGGTATAAATATGCTCCCATCCGTCTTGCTTGACTTTCCTCTTGCATCTCTCTTCGCACATATCATTTGCGAAGATTGGCTTGTGATCATCTCCTTTTGTCTATACTTGTAAGTATGCCCAGTCATCAGCTCAAGACTATCTATCTCTCACTGATAGCACTATTTCTCTAGGACTGATATACGAGGACTTAAATATGTGAGTACCACCCTTACTTAGTTCTTTATTAGTTAAAGTTTACACTAACACCGTTTATTCCTCGGTTCCGCTAGACTTCCAATCTGTCCATCGGGGCAGCAAAATCTCTACCAAGGTGAGGTGTCAAATTGGTTTGACTCATGAAAAAGGCACCATGTCCTATCTAAGGATCTCACAATAGAGCTTCTCGAACGGTCTGTGTACAGTCAGATCTGAACACATTCGATGATAACCATGACAGGCTCTCTACCCCTGATATATTACGGTAGAGCCTTTTTATACGGTAGGCTCAATAACAACTCCATGAGGTCAGTCGCTGATCAAACGAACTTCTATCACAGGAACCTCCTACAGAAAGGTGAATGGATTGATACATCACGAATACCGGCGAACGCTGAGTGTGATCCGTATCCCCTGATCCTTGATTGAGTCTATGTACATAGAGCTGACTTATCTTCTGTGGCAGACATCTTCACGCCCCCCTCCCCAAGTCCCGGCGTGGGCTATCCCGGATGCTGAATGGCTCATGAAGCTTTCTACCCTCTCGATCTTTGACTCGGTAGCAAGGGACCAGTTGTCGGACAGAGCACCCATCATGCAACGAAGACCAAGGCCGATTACACCTCGAATACAAGAGACGCACTCTATATTGAGGCGTCTCTAGCCTTGCGACTTCGTTTGCAAGACCAAAAGACGCTATAAAGAAGAAACAGCTCGTCAACCACATCAGCGATGAGGATGTGATGCCATCAGGTACGTATCTCATATCAACGGATATCGGTCTTTTCCAACCCGCTCTTTGCGCTGCTTTCTCTATATTAATCCACGCTTAGGTAGCTCAGACCTGCAAGGTATCGAACGTGGGTGAGTGATTGGGCTTCTCAAAAAAAGTCTCTAGTGGCAGATCATTGACCATTCACAGAGTCTGTCGATACACCGCCAGTAAGCCGCTGTGTACGCAATACATGGCGCGTGACGCTAAAACCAAAGGAATGCCCAGAGCCGCTGTAAGGCTATATCGATGGTTTCAACGTCGTCCGCCCACACTCCATCTGATCCAGCTTTCCCAAGACGAATAACCATTCATCTGTCTGCAATCAGCCCTTGCTGATCTAATCGTGCTCCATGTTATTGAATGATGGAACTAGCCCCTCGTCAGCCTTGTTAGCTTCAGCACGGAATGGGTTGGCCAGTTTCGCCAAGCAAACTCAGTGTGAGCTCTGGCCCATCGACTTTCCTTGTGTATATTGGGGGAGCTTTCAGCTGACACAACCGAGCTCCGTACACTCAATGGGCATAGACCCCGCAGCCACGAAAAAACCTTCATATCTCAAGCTACAGATTATCGGTCATTTCAGAGCTCCGAGGACTGCGTCTAGGTATGCAGCCACTTTGAACGACCTCTTCGGTGGCAAGGGTTGCAATCACGCCTGTTCTCATATACATCAGCTACTTTTGGGCTTGATAAAGAGTCTCCCCACCCATGCTGATTTATCCTTATTCCTCCTCTCTAGGTGCTAATATTGCCTGTAGTGCGACTGGTCACCGATGCGCTCCCCACACACCTACTCCATGCGCATATCAGCTGAACATACCCTTCGACGCCTGCTCTGAACCTTATACCCCAATCGCACTACGAGTCTACTATAAGAAGCGCATTACCCATATTACCCAACAGGTGGCTTTTTATCGCGTCCACCCCCCTGCATTTATATTGCTATGGCTGACTATCGTTCCAGCATACCTCTCGCGTCCATCGACATATTTATTACTTGAGTCCCACTCATTTGTAATGCCGTCGTCTCTCATCAAAGGTTGGTTTCAAGCGGCATTAGACGCGAGGCCTGCTGCAGTCAGGCTCTGGAGGTTAACAGTGGGCGGCTAGCGTGGCTCCCTGTCTCACCTCACCCAAGTCAAGACCTACGCGAAATGAACAGTTTATGACAAGACCTGCTGTTTGATCCGCATTATGCATTTCGATGATTGATCTCCATTGTCATTGGACAGGCTGCTCTTCATCACCGTCTTCCGCGTCGGCATCTGTGAACATGCTGTTGAGATGTGGTCTTGGCATGCTGTGAGCTGAGGCTTTTCAAGGTGGGCTTGACATTTATCTAGAGGCAGAGCTATTGAAAAGTACGACTGATATGCCTGTGGTGACCATCTCGCTGTCGGCATGGCCACTTATGATGCGTCTGCGGTATAATTGATCGTCGGTTTGAAGGGGTGATACCCGATAATACATACTGCGAGAGGATAAAGCTGATTGAAACTTGACTCTCAACATGGAGATCTGAGGAGTTAATTTCAATGATGCGGCTCCGTTCCAGCACCGGCATCAAATCGCGACATCTTGTGCACGTGGCTGTGCGGGCTTTCTGATGGGCCGAATTATGAAGCAACTTCAAACATAAAGAAAGTGCCAACCTTTCCAGTGCTTTGTGAATGTTCAAGACGGCATACGCCGACGGAAGCAGACTTGGGTCGCTGTTCTTAAATGGTCCGACGCGTCGCTGACTACTTGCCGCAGCTAACTTCGCGTGACGTCATTTCCCAAACGCGTCTCCCTAGGCTTCTTCGCGATGAGTTCATCTCACAAGCGAGCCTCGATGTACGAGCGTGCAATTTCCATGAAGTATGAATCTCTCTCTTTTGAGATTTCTCCAACGGCTGATTTTTTTTTATATTCTCTTCTCGCTGGGGCTACACCAGCTCACGCTCTTAACTATCTCAGCGTTTGTGAGCGGGAAACCGTATCAGACAAATAGAAAGGAGGCCAGCAGGGAGCTCGAATGGTCCGAGCAGTGCTCTAGGGAGGGCAACTTGGGTCTTTACCCAGTTCAAACTAATTATGCAATCAGTCTTGCAATCAGTCTTGAGAGCGCTGCGTTGACGTGGATGCGACATTCAACAGTGGGATCGGCAGCAAGGTCAACCAAAAACTTGACTTCATGAGATGTTTTCATACATGATAGGGACACATTACCGCAGCATGGCAAATTTTGGGCACTCACCGCGTCCCCGAAGCTAAAGGCCAACTAGTCCAACTTGAATCGGAGGAGCTCCCAATCACAGCTCGCCCTAATAGGGCTTTGGTGGTGTGGTATCTGAATGAAGCTACTTACTCATCGTCGAGGGACAAGAGGGATTGGGCTCTACCAGATACACATCCACTATTGCGAATCATAATCGTTGGCACGAACACTGCCGGGTGGGCTCTAGTGGATATTCTGAGGTTGCTTCCATGAATGGTATTGACCGCAACCTCATAGCTTGAAGTCATGGGTTTGCCACTAGAGACTTCTCTAACGGATGCTGTCTGGCCATGCTGGGTGCCTGTATCAGTCGGATATTACTTGTTTGCTATGCTCCAAAATAACCTCGGTAGTGGTTTCACTGCGGCAAATTTCGGTCGGAGGAGAGACCAGGCAAGGAAGTCGCTTTTCTACCCATGGCGGGTGATTCTACTATGTGTGATGCACGATTTTCCCACGCGGGTCTACAGAGGGACCTATTGCCAGATGATCAAAATCCATTCTCGGGTGTCTGCGAGATGTTCGTATGTGACCAGGCGGCTTTCAGTGCATAACATGTCTCAACAAGTGATGATTGGGGAAATCACCTGCCCTTTCCTAAGGTTAAAATGGAACATTTTCCAATCAACTTGGCTCTTGGTATAGATACATCGGGAGTAACTCAGATGGTGCGGCTCCGTTCCTGTTCTGCACCAGCCTGGAATCACAACAGGTTGACCCGGCTTCCACATTCAACTCCCGCCTAGGGCCGGAGAGGGCCGACACCCGTAGGGTGGCCCCGTATACCGAAGGCCCGCCCGAACCAAACGCCACAACCCCCGGAGGGAAAGTCTAGAATGGTTCCCGCGGGCACATTGGGAGCGATCGAAGGGAGCGGACAACTTGGTCACGTTCTTCCTAGTTAGCGCCTGATATTCCCACGGGGGATTTCGGAATGGGGGCCTTTCAAGAATCCACCTCCAGGCTCTGATCAACTGAATCTCTCCTCCCAAGATCGTTCCAAATCTTTCAAAGTGGAGATTTGGCACCATAGAACGAGGTTGATTCCAAACAGGGCCTTAGAATCATAGAGCCCGTAGGCTTAGCGTGGGACCTTTCATTACGATAACCCGCGCGGCTCGGATGGAAACACTGGACGTCGCCATGACACGTCTAAACACTGAATTTTACTTCTCGAGATTACCATTGGAGACGGCCTTCCCATCTAGACCTAAGATCTGAATAATTGACTCTTGTCGCATTTTCCCGACAAGAGGATTGGAGAAAGTCCCAAAACGACGATAGTGGGTTGATCTTGCCCGTCGCCTATGGGAGGCACCCCCGGCAATTGGAAATTGCCTCGCCGACCCCCCTGAAGGGGGTCTCTGGGGGGCCCCGCCTCCCGGCTCGAGGGCGCTTGGGCAATGAATCAAATCCGGGTGAGGCCGCAGTTCGGAAAAGTGATAACAGTGGATAGCTAGCGTGGCCCCCTGTCTCACCTCACCCAAGTCAACACCCACACGAAATAAACAGTTTAGGACACGACCTGCTGTTGGGTCCGCATTATGCATTCCGATGGCGGATCTCCATTGTCATTGGACAAGGCCACTTTGCATCACCGTCTTCCGCGTCGGCATCTGTGAAGATGCTGAAGAGACGTGCTCTCGGCACGGTGTGAGCCAAGTCTGTTCAAGGCGGGCGTGACATTTGTCTAGCAGCCGAGCTAGTGATTAGGACTCCTCATAGGCATTCTGGTGCGCATCCCGCTGTCGGCATTGCCGTTTATGATGCGTCTGCGGTATGATTGATTGTTGGTTTGCAGAGTTCAGACATGATGCCGCATGCTGCGAGAGGACCAAGTTGATTGGAAACTTGATTCGACACATGGAGATCTGAGGAGCCAATTCCAATGATGCGGCTCCGTTCCGGCACCAGCCTCAACACGCCAGCGTCGTGTCCATGTGGCTGCGTGGACTTTCCGGTGGGCCGACTTATGAAGCAATTTCAAACATAAAGACAGTGCCAACCTTTCCTGTGTCTTGTGATTTTTCAAGACGGCCTACATTGACGGAAGCAGACTTGGCCCGACGCGCCGCTGACTGGACTTGCCACAGCTAGCTTCGCTAGTGCATGCGTGACGTCATTTCCCAAACGCCTCTCCGCCGGCCTTCTTCGCGATGAGTTCATCTCACAAGTGAGCATCAATGCAAGAACTTTGAATTTCCACGAAGATTGGATCATTTTACTTTGCGCTTTTCCAGCGGCTAGTTTCTCTTTATCTTGTCTTCTCGCTGGGGCTACACCATCTCGCACACTTAATGATATCAAGGTTTGTCAGCGGGAAACCTGTCGAAGACAAATAGAAAGCAGGGCAGCAGCGAGCTTCAATGGTCCCAATATTGCATTAGGGAGGGCAATTTGGGTCTTGACCCAGTTCAAGCTCATCGAGCAAACAGACTCGTAACCAATTTTGAGGGCGCTGCGTTGGCAGGGATGCAACGTTCAACAGTGGGATCAGCAGCAAGGCCAATCGAAAACCTGACTTCATGAGAGTTCTTCCATACATGATGGAGACACAATGCCGCAGCATAGCGAATTATAGGATTTTACCGCGTTCTTGAAGCGAAAGGTCAACTAGTCTGACTTCCATTGGGGTAGCTTACAAGCGCAACTCGCCCTGGTAGGGCTTTAACGGTGTGGTATTCGAACTTACCTACTCTCTTAGCTTTTTTGTCTAGAACGAAAGGGCCGGGCTCTACCAGATACCAATACACTACCGCACAATGGAATTGTTGGCACGAGCGCTGCCGGGTGGGCTCTCGTGGGATTTTCTGGAGGATGGGCATTCAACGCGACCACAAAGCTTGAAGTCACGGTTTTGACATTAGAGGCGTCTCAAATGGAGGTCTTACCGTGCTGGGTGCCTTCATCAATCATAAACTACTTGTCTACTTTGATCTAGAACGAGTGCGGTGGTGGTTTCACTGCAGCGAATCACGGTCGGAGGAGAGGCCAGGAAAGGAAGTCGCTCTCCCATCATAGCGGGTGGTTCTGCTATGTCTGATGCAAGATTTCTACAGGCAGGTCTAGGGACCTATTGCCACATGCAAAATTTCATTCTCGCGTGCTTGTGAAATGCCTTTATAAAACCAGGCGGCTCTCGGTATTTCAACAAGTGATTGTTGGGGAAAGCACCTGCCCTTTTTGAGGTCAAATTGAACATTTACCGATCTATTTGCCATCGCCGCACACTTGACCTTCCGTACGATGCCGTCTACCGCTGCCTGACCCCTGAGCGACAATTCAAGCCGACAGGACAGGGCCACTCTCAAATGCTAGGAATTATGGTTGCTCTCACGAAAGAACACTGTTTCCTCTCAACAGGATACAATCTGATGTGCGAAATAGTACACTTAAACGACTCCGCACGTATTGCTCTCTATTAGCTGATGCGCCTAAAGTACGCTAGTGGAAATGGCTGGCTCAACTCCTCGAAGTTCGGGCTAAAGTATCCTCAAGTCTAGACAAATGGCAAAGCAGATGCTAGCGTAGCCTGGGGCCACAGAGGATTAACTTTTTTGACACTGAGAGTACAATTGGTCTTTGATTTCCGCTTCAGCTTGGAGCTTCTGATCGATTCACGGGTCGCCTTCCATGAGGCCAAATCAAATCCGCTCTCATTCAAAGCCACCCATTTGATTACTTCGAAATCTGGGTGATCGGCGGAGTGGCACACATGGGCGTTCCTCTCTGACCAGTCTAGCTGACCTGCAGGGCAGCGTTCGATGCCTGTCTGGTTGCACTGCTTCCGCTTGCAAAATTTGCACCGGGGTGGATCTACATGCAGAGGGGGATGAATGCGCTGACGGAATATCGCATGGGGTAACTGCAGTGACACTCCAGCTTCTGGCTGCATCAGTGCTTATTCGAATCTGCGATGGCCACCCGCGTAACAGGGCGCCTTGAGGCTCTTCACTTCGGCTGCATCTTATTAGTAACCATTTTTCGAGAGACGCATTCATTACACTTACCAGGCGCAGCATGACTTGTGCATCTTAGCTCTGCATTGCTTCAACCACTCCTCCATACAACCCAAGTGTGACAATGCTTGGCAGCGTCGACAGTGCAGAATTACGTTTTCATCGGTAGGATTCCCATTCTCGGCGAGACAAAATATGCAGTATATGTCATCGACGTCTGTGGCGATTTCCAGACGGCGGACCTTAACGCCCTGCCTCCCCGGCTGTACGTGGAAGGTCAAAGCCGAGGCGGCCCTCTCAAGAGGATCAGTGAGGTGAATCAACTCGTGATGATCCACCGCATCCGCAGAAACGCTCCCGCCTCGATTTTCGTACGACACCTGGTCGGCAATGTCTTCGCCATTGAGCTCTTGCATAGAGGTGGTGCTTGCGTGGGCCAGCTGTGATTCTGCCTGCGCACGGCTGTTGATAAAAATCTCGCCAGGTCGCTCATCAAGATTTCTTCCACGACCCCAAACACGAAGAAAACCAACAAAAATCTCGCGCAGCATCGAATGTTTTGGAGAGGAATTGGAAAGCCGGAATGAATCATGTAAGATCGAAGAAGTGCTTTTTTCCAGCTTTATAGATGGCCTCTCGGTGGTTATTGATATTACCTCAGCGTCGCAGCCAGGAGACTTGCTACATCTACAAACCATACCTGTGAAACCACCTACATCCCCGGTCAGCGTTCTTTCGTAAAATTCGTCTTCAAAAAGCGGAGAGGTACGTGACCTAATCGGGCTGAGGAGCCACGCTGTTCGATTGTTATTGGGAGATCTACTTTGAGAGGGTTGTCCCAAGTATGAGAGATCGCCGTCAGCTCGGATCTATTCCAAGTAATGCAGTGGAGCCTACATCTCCCGGATCAATCAAATCCGCGGATGGATTTCTTTCTTAATTTAGCGTTGCCGATCCTAGGACCTTCGAAGGAGGTTTTGGGAACTAATTCGCTCCTGGGAAGCAAGCGAACGTTCCCAAAATAAATCGCTTAAACATTCCCATACTGTGGACACCTGACGTTGACAAGAGCTGAGGCTGAGTTTATCAGATAGACGGATGTGTATCTATCCACTTTAATACTGAACACGCCTCCAACAATAAATAGTCCATTGATCAATGTCTGAGGGCTGTTACAACCCTTTCTGCTCTCTTTCCACCATCGCTAGTCCCGATGTATACCTCCTTTCCGGTAAACTCGCGTCAGCAAAGTCGCTCACCACCCCCTAGTGGTTCCACGTCTGCTCGGGCTTGTCAGTCGTGTCGGACGGCAAAGATCCGATGTAGCCGCGAGCTTCCGTCGTGCCAATCCTGTGTTGTGCGTGGTAAAGGTCAGTTCTGTTTCTACAGAACGAGTGGGCACCAAAGCTTGGTTTGTGAGCCGTGCCGAAACGCCAAAACGCGATGCAGTGGGGAATTACCTTCATGCAAAGGGTGTCTTGGAGGGAGGGCTCCAAAGACTTGCACTTACAAGACCAGCCGCCAAGGCTCGCAAACTCTGTCGCCTTGAAAAGGGCAGGCCAGTGCCTCGGGACCCTCCGATAAATTGGGGTCGGTGGACACTCAAAGCCCTGGAGAAACAGTCCCGTTCACAGCTTTGAATGCAAAAAAAGACAATTATTACGACCAAGATACTCGGTTCAATGGTAATTTGCCTTGTCCAGGTCCTCCTGCTACGACGGCATATTCCAAAATGAAACTCTCGGTGAGTTGGCCCTATACTCATGCCTGGTGTCAAGGATACGCTTCTAATTCAGACGACCAGGTCGTCCTGCCACCTCCGTTAAGTTTTCCGATTCTTGGTCCCTTCGACGTACCTGACGCATCACCTCCGACTTTCCATCAACTTCTGTTGGTGCTGAACTATATCTTCATCGCTGCAATGCTTCCTGAAGATGATGCGGCCATATGGCGAATTGTCTTTCGTCAATCAGCTGACTGGGAAAGAGAGTTTGTCTTGCAGTATGATAAACTCTTATGGTGGCTGATCAGTATATGTGATGCTTTGACCGATTCCCGTTGCTTGCAGACGGTGTCTCTAGATGACCTAGAGTTGCAGGCTCGGTGGATGATTTTCATGCTTGGGACAAAAGCGCTGCCTGGCTCGAGCTTTCTACAAGAATGCTTTCAAACCAAAATGTATCCGTATCGGCCATTTGGCGCGAGAGCAAGCATCGCATTAGTCTGTCTTGCCTTTACGGGATTGCAACCGAGAGACCTCAAAGACTATGAGTCCAAAGACATCTGGCCGAGTGCTGAGCCTTTCTACACGCTGATGGCTTCCAGACTGAGCTAATCGCCGTTATTCAAAGGCAGCATTTGCGTTGATCAAATGAAAACCATGGTGCTCAGACTTCACCAGGCCTTTCATTTGGAGGAAGAACGTGTGGCTTTGACGATGCCCCAGGAAACCTACTACGACAATAATACCAGCACATATGAGTATTTCTGGCGGGCCTTTCTTTCGTTGGACCCAAGATTGCTACCAAAAGTGTGCCAACTACTGCAGCCGTCGGGACTGACTGTAGAGGACAGTGAATACAATTTGGCTAGCATCTGTGCCACGGCCTTTCAGAGAGCCCCGTCAGTGGACGCCCTCGAGGCCACATTTGCAAATATACCAGATATTTTGCAGTCACAAGCAGATAGAGCGGTAGTGATTGAAATGTTCCACGTGAGGCTATTCCAGCAATTGAAGCAACCAGTCTACGGTCAGTCATCATATCATTCAGGTCTTGATCAAAGCTGATTCTCGTTTGTATGCAGGCTCCTCGTCACGAATCTTGGTACTTCATGTTTCTCCCCTATCAGCTGTGGGGGGTTGTGCGACGAAAGGATACCCAATGTAGTTGAAAGAGAATCTCTTTTGGTAACCCAAGTTGACCGTTAGCATGACTATGTTCACAAGTGCTACCATCCTTCAAGTTCAATTTTTAGTGAAGTGAGGGAACGGAATGAATGGGGGTAATCATGCCATCAAGATCTTTAGAAATGATAGGCTCAGGAGAAGATCCATTCTCTAGTGGGTGAATTTCGCATTCGCACCACAGCATTAATCTGCTTTAATCGCGTTTAAGACACGCGGATAACAATTCACTACGACTTGGCTACCAAGAGATATTTACTAACAGGCTTACGTTTTGTAAAACCCAGTTTGTATTGATCAAATAGTATGCAGTCCTAACTCGAAAGCTTTTCGATACGACTTGGTACGTGAGCAGAAGGCACGTGGAAGTCTATATCGCTTCAATGAGCTGGGCTAACAAGGCCCAGATCAGAATTAGAATCATTTGTATCTGAAACTGTCAGCGGTTGGATGCTTTTCGCGGAAAGACACAATTACCTCCAGCGCAATGTCCCAAGTCTTCCATAGGGTGCCTAGCACTGCAACTGCCAGTAGGATCGCAAACAAGGCTGATACACCAAAAGAAATGATTCCAAAGCGAGCTCTTGATTGAGTTGCCTGCCCAAGAAGCCACAGATAGCACGTCATCACCATCAAGTAGTCAACGGTGAGATTGAACAGACACACCGGGTGAGCTGCGGTCGGGTGAAAGGCTCCAACGACGGAGCTTGCTATCTTTGCCAGGCTGGAGACCACGACGTATAATTCATATGTTCTAAGTAGGGCAAATGGGGTAAATGGGTTCTCGCATTGTTGGAAATGGACCCGGAGAAACTAGAGAGTCAGCCCATGGCGCCAAAATGGTGACTCCTAGACATACCACTTGTCCGGTGAGAAAAGCCGATGTCACCCACAACAGTGCTTGACACCAGATTGCATGGATCCCGCCCCAGCGAAGACCGGAAAGTACAACGAAGGAAATACTAGAGGCAACTGATAAAGCAAGGTCGAGGTGGTAGAAATGCCAGGGCCGTTGGAAACGAACTATCAGGGACAGCCTCATTATACTGGCCAGAGTGAGAGCGGATATCAGGATTGACTGGACTTGGTCTTCCGAAATCATTTTCACAGCACGGCGGACAAAAACGTAGGCTGAGCGAGGCATTCTGTGTTACTCATGTACATTGCGTATAGCATACATTATCCTGCCTCGGTAGTATGTATATCTACGGCCTCCGCACTAAAGAGAAAACTATTTTGTGGCGACGTATCTTTGCACCTGAATTTCTGTAACTCAGAACCGGGATCGGCTTCACAGTTCCTGGAGAGGCCATGGCCGTTCCCAGGATCAGTACCAGTGTCTCCCGGAGCGGCACACGGGTTCCCAGAGACACAGGGGCTCCCAGGATTGGCATCAACGTTCCCGGGCCTGGAAAAGATGTTTCTAACTCGCGAGACTGTCCGGGCTCGCGAAGACTTGGTAGAGTATGTTCTCGATTGGTGTACTTGAGCGCGTGTTATAAATCTTCGCCTTCCTTCTTATCATTCTGCATCAGCTTTAGTACTACACACGAAAGATGCTAGACAGACTCCCAAATGAACTCTTGCTTTGGATCTGCAAGAGCCTTGGTAAAAACGACATCGTTTGCTTGACCGCTTGCTGCCGGAAAACCGCAGCAATCTGCACAGAAGCTCTATTTGATTGCCTCCAGCACGATGAAATGTCACCCCTTCATCGAGCCATACTCGCAAGACGACTAGACGTTGCGCACCTTTTGTTGACTCATTACCACGCAAGTCCCAACTCCGAGTACCGTGGGATGAGCACGCTTCTTCTCGCCATTGAGATGAGCTACCCACAAGCAGTTAATCTCATGTTGGAACATCACCCACGGCTTTCCTATATTTGCGACTTTCAAGGTCGAGGGCCTTTGTCAATCGCGGTCACGAAGGGCAACTTTGACATCGTTGAACGCCTGTTGCAGTACCCCGCGCTGGACGTCAATGACCGATGCACCGATGGCATGTCCGCTTTGATGTATGCAGTGAAATACTCGGAGCACGCCATTCTAAGCCATCTTCTGACCGATTCCCGCGTGGATGTCAGCATCGAAGATTGCTTTGGACAGAATGCGCTACACCTCGCAGTCCGAAAGGAAGGATATATCTCAGTGCAGATCTTAGCCCGAGACCCTCGCTTGGATGTCAATTGGTGCGGCACCCACCGGAATACGGCACTACTTCTCGCGGTCAAAACCATCAAGGGGAGGTCGTCGCGTGGGATAGTAGAAGCCCTACTGCTAAACCCAAAGCTTGACATCAATCACCAAGATTTTAGGGGGCGCACGGCGCTGTGGCACGCGGTGGACCAGCAGAATGAAGAGCTAGTGCAGCTGGTCTTGGACCAGGATAGCCTCCGTTTGAATGATGCGGACGATGGCGGTCTTACCCCTCTTGCGCGAACAACGGAGCATCAAAGCCCTCGCTTGCTGCAGATGCTGCTGAGCCAACCGGAAATATGTATCAATGCCATGCCTGGTCCGGCTGTTCCACCGTTATGGGCCGCGTGTCGGGCGGGTTCGCTCGCCACGGCTCAGAGCTTGCTGACCCAGAAATCTATTCAGATCAATGAGAAAGCCCCGTCTGGAACGTCACCCCTGCATGTGGCCGTGATCAATCAACACTTGGATATTATGTCTCTTCTACTCTCGCAGGAAGAGATCCTACTGAATGAGGTTGGGCCCTTGGGCTTCACGGCCCTCATGTTTGCTGCTGCAAGCGGGTATACTGCATGTGTTGAACGGCTGTTACGACACCCGCAGATTTATCTTAAAGTGAAAGATGCGTACGATTACTGCGCTTTCCGCTTGGCGATACTATATAAACATGTTCGGTCGATTAATATGTTACGCAGTGCGTTTGTGCGGCAGACAATACGAGAGTTAGGCTGACCATCGGTCTAGCTTTGCCAAGATTGAGTGGGGGAGAACTAGAAAATTTGAGTAAAAATAATATTTTGCGAGGCTGCTATATTCCCCGTCCTAGGTTCAGATGACTCAGAAATTGCTAGGTAGCTCAGCTCAGCGAGCACGTACGTTAGCCAACAGCCCACTGGAAAGTGCGGTCCGCTGAATCACGGACTTCCCTGGCCCTAGGACGCGGTACTTGAGTATAATACCGTACCACTGGCTGGCACAAGGCTCCATTGTTCTTTACTATTTGAGCGTGATATGAGCGTGATCGGCCGCGAAACAAGATCCCAAAGCGCCGGATAGAAGCCTCTGTTCTAGCTTCACTGATGGCCCGCCCTCCGTCTAATGCATCGAGTGTATACAGTCGCTCGCCAGGCACACCAAGACCACACTCCTCGACGGCTTTGCCTGCCCCCCGGGATGATCTTCCCGAGATTACACCACTGGACCATCGGATCTTTGTGGCGGGGAGAACGACCATGGCATTAGAGACGAGAAAGGCACACCTCAGAAGAACAAAGGAAGTGGTACGATCTCCGCCGGACCCGACTTCTGAAAAGCGGAGCCAGCGCGATCAGCAAACTCACGAAAATGATTTCTACCGCACCTGTTGCGCGAATTTCTGCCATCTAGCGACAGCCGTGGTTGACATCACACAAAAGCTTGTATTGGAAGAACTCAGTCAATGCACGCTTATGCCGGGCTACATTGGCTCTCTGGGCAGCCTTGGACGCATCGAGGGTAGAGGAGGATAGGGCGGAACGCATTTGGATGCAGGAATTGGATATTCCGACAGCTTCGGAGCCATCTTCCGAGTGGATCTAGGGGAAATTTGGCGTCGTATACGATTGAAGGCCGAGCTGGTCGAGTCTTTGGTATTGGGATCTGAGAGTGTTCAGTGAGATGTGACGGGCGAGGCGACAGCCCGGGCATCCTGTTTCACTCGTGAATTTCCGTTGGAGCGAACGTTGGCAGGGCGGGAGCTCGTCAAACGCGGCGAGAAGTTCTTCAATCTAGCGCCTGTGATGAGTCATAATACTGTATGGATAAAAGTGGCGAATGCGTACATTCGTTTTAGATGATGATGTGAGGGCCAGTTGGGCAGTCAGCTACCCTGGTCTGACGACCAGCCTCGACGGTGGCAGTTGGCGGGTCAGGCTTTGTTGATATAAGAAGGCGGTAGCAATCACTTCCGGATGGCGGGCTGACCAATCATGGTGGCTTTTGGGGGTTCAACTTGGCAACTTCAGTTGAACCCCCTGTCGGGTTTTCCAAATCCTGGACCTGGAAATATATCATTCTCCTTCTTGTATATGGTCTGTTTACATCGAAATTCTAATTAGAAGGTACGAATATTCATCCTCGTTCAACTCATTTGCCTAATAAACACAGTTCTGCCCTGTTTATTGGGTTGTAAAATTCCTCAACATTAAGCCATACGAGATATATATCTCAGACTTCACGCAATCATAGTGATATAACACATCACGATTTCTAGTAAATGACAAACCTCGATCTCCGAATTTGATCGCGACTGCAGATCTTCCAGAGCCTCTGAGGCACTTGGGTGTAGATATGAGGCTGTCACATAGTCTGGTATTCCTAAGGTTGTTCAGGTTGGTAAAAGGCTGGCCACGTAAAAACTCGGTCACTGCTGCGTCGGCCGCATCTTCCCAACAACCTCAAACAGCCGAGGGCATTAGCCTTCCAATATAGCACCATGGCCTTCCAGTCTAGTCATATTTCAACTACTTCCGGCTCTGTGGGTGGACGTGGTATGGTCGGTTCATGCCGTCCCTTTGCAGCCCGGCCTTCGTGTTATGACCTGTTGTAATTCAGAGGAAGATTTGATTATTTATTTTCAAGGGAACACATGAAGCTATATATACAATGAGAAGATCAAGTTGATTTCCAATCAACTTGACTCTTCGTATACATACTTCGGAATTAATTCCGATGGTTCAGCTTGGTTCCTGATCTGCACCAGCCTCATATCACAACATTCCCCCTCAGGATCGCTTTGCTGGCAGGGCGATACTGGAATTGCGCAGAGCAGTCAGGCCTCAGTAAAACCACTCAAAAACCTTCGTGGGAAAATAGAGTGGAAAGAGCGCCTGCGCTGTCACGCGTTTTGTCACAGAGTCTCCGAAGCATCCACTCCTAAGAGACTACAAAACTTGAGAAAGGCCGTAGGTCCCAATGGCTTGGTGAGACCGTCCGCGGCCTGTTCCCCAGTGGGAATATATTGAAGCTCAATCTCGCCTGCATCCAGCACGGCTCGCTGATAGTGAAATTTCACATTGAAGTGCTTCGTCCGTTTATGGAACTCGGGATTGCGAGAGAGAGCAATGGCGGACTGGTTGTCAGCCATGATGTTAGTGACCGGAGACCGATACAGTTGCCTTTCAGCCAAAAAGGTGCGGAGCCACTGCAGATGCAGAATAGCGTTGTACTGTCCGATGTATTCGGCATGTGTCGTAGACGTGGCCACTTCCCCCTGTCTCTTGGACGCCCAGGAAACTGGCGCACCTGCAAGTTGGAACACATAGCCAGACGTGGAGTATGCACCGTCAGTGACGACAGAGCCCCCAAAGTCGGCGTCCGTATACCCGATCAACTGCCCACTGCGGTAGGTAATGCGATGAGATTTCGTGGCTTTGATGTAGCGAAGCAATCGCTGCAGAGCAACTTGGTGTTGCGATTGCGGCTGAGACGTGAAGCGACTCAACATGCCCAACGCGAATGCAATGTCCGGTCGCGTGCCGACCATTAGATACATTAACGAACCGATGGTAGTCGCATAATGAGCTTTTGCTTCCTCGTCTGGAGGTTCCTCCTCTGGACGACGATTCAGGCTTTGCTTGGGATTCATCGGCGTCGACTTCGGCTGGCAAGTCTCCATGCCAAAGTCGGATAGTACTTTCTGGATGTACTGTTGTTGGTGGATGGACACGGACCCATCGACGTGATAGTCGAACTGGATTTCGAGGAACGGTCGTGGGGTGCCCAGATCGTTCAGTCGGAACTCTGTTTGCAATGCTTGTTGCACTTGTTCTATTTCGTACGTTTTTGCCGCAGCAACGAGAAAGTCGTCCACATAAACGCAAACGACGCAATTCGGTTTGAAGAATACACAGTTGTCCGATTGGGCCATGGTGAACCCATGAGAAGCCAGGACGCGGTGGACGCATTGGTACCAAATCCGCGGGGCCTGTTTCAACCCATACAGTGAACGGCGCAGCCGGCACACGTACCCTGGCTCTTCGAAGCCCTCGGGTAAGTCCATATAGATAGGGACGAATCGACGTCTCCATGGACAAATGCGGTGACCGCATCGAATTGGTGGAGTTTCCATCCACGCAACATAGCGCTGGCGACAATGCAGCGGACCGAGTCCATCCGGGACACAGCAGCAAACGTTTCGTGATAGTCGATGCCATGTTTCTGTCGGTAGCCTTTGATGACCAACCGCGCTTTGCACATTCCGTTGGCTTTGGTCTTGAAAACCCATTTGCAGCCAATCACATGATCTCCGGTTGGGACGTCCTCTCGTCGAACCTTTTCCCAGGTTCCGTGTTCGAGAAGCGACGCATATTCTTTCTGGATGGCGGCCCACCATTCCAGCTGGTTTGGACCTGACACAGCTTCGCGAAAGGTCGCCGGATCGACTTGTCTGTCCGATGCACTTTTCAATATGCCTGCCGAGTACACCTTGCCAAGTGATTCCAGGAGACGCCGTGACGGTCTTCGCCTGCGACCGTAGATTGAATACCCAAGATCCGATGTCAAGTCGGCTCCTTGTTGGCTTGGATTGACCACTGGAGGTGTCTCCTCTACACGCTCTGATGGCGTTTTCTCTCGCTCACTCGACGGGGGTAATGGCGACGCAGGTGGTGTTGGCAGCCCGCTGACAGAAATTGGCACTGATGGAAAGACAGGTGATGGAGGAGCATTGTCTGAGAGGTCGTTGCCTGTTTCCCCCTCGATGAGTGGCGCCACCGGGGTCCTCTCATCGAACTCGACATCACGCGAAAAGACTGTCTTTCCAGAATGGATTTCATAGAGCTTGTACTGGTTCGGTTCACAATAGCCCAGCAGTCTGCACTCGGATGATCTCGGTCCGAGTTTTGCTCGATGCTCTTTTGGAATTAAGACCCATGCACGGGAGCCGATCCGTCGCAGATGCAATAGCGAGGGCGGCTTCCCATACAAAATTTCAAACGGTATCTTCTTTTGTAGGATTGATGCTGGCGCGCGCAGCTTCAGATAGACCACCGTGTCTACAAGCTCGACCCACCAGGAAGGAGGAAGGTTCGCATCGGACAGGAGCGTGTTGATCCGCTCCCGGATAGTGCGATTGGTGCGTTCAGCCAGTCCATTCTGCCCTTTGCAGTACGGCGGCGAGGTATCGAACTCAACTCCCCGGGATTCGAGATGTGTTCCAATGGGCAGATATTCTCTCCCGTTATCAGTGAGAAATCTTCTAATCTGGGCGCCGAACTGTCGGTGCGCCCAAGCCTCAAAATGTCGGAACTTCTGGAGCGCTTCATGCTTCCATCTCATGGCATAGGCCCACGAGCCACGAGAATAATCGTCAGTAAGGTGATCACGTACCTGGAGCCATCTTTGGCAATCGGCATCTCCATGATGTCCGAATGGATCAATTCGAAAATTCTCGTTGAATGCAGACGTGGCCGTCTTGCGCGGGAGTTCCTCTTCTGATCCTGCTTACCCGACATACACGCCGGGCACTGCGGCGTTGCCAGCAGCTGCGCCTGCGTCAGCGGTCGGTACGGAGTGCCGGTCTGCCGGAGGACCACCCTCAAGTCGCCTCGGTTCAGATGTCCCATCCGAGCGTGCCACAACGCTTCGGAGGCCTGGTCCACTCCTTTGCTCGCATCTGCGTCGAGTATCACAGCTTCACCACCGAGTTCAGAGGTTGACGCTGCGCAGTCTGCGTCACTTGACTCTTCAGGGCTGTCGACATCCATGGCCACCGCCTGCGGTTCCAGGGAATCTGCATGGTCATGAATCGTCGGCGCCCTCGCCAGTTGGACTCGCTCTCGAGATCTCTTGCTCACATGACACCGCAGGATCAACAGATCCTCCTCCGCATGGTACGCAGTCCCCACGGTTCGCCCTCGGCGTTGCACAAAGACGTTCTGCGGGTGCGCCACCACCGAGTAGCGGTCTCATAGTAGCTTCGGCACGCTGATCAGGTTCATCCCGACGCGTGGCGCGAAGTACACGTTCTTCAACACCAGGGGTTGGTTAAACTTCCCCCGGAGCGTGAGCTTCACCGTACCAATCCCTTCGGCTTCTACTGGATCGCCCGCCGTGTCCATCACCTCGCGGTGGGGCCGCAAACTGGTAAAACAGCTCCGGTCCCAGCGGATGTGGCTGGTAGCGGCAGAGTCCAGGATCCACCGGGGTTGCGGTGCGTGGGTATAAAGGGTCGTCACCCTCGCCCTGACGATATTGATCCTCGGTCTCTTGGAAGTCGGTGGGCCCTGCCGATCTGCCATCTGGCTTGATGGTATCATTTGCAAATTATTTCTTGGTGAGCCGGAAACACTCCTCTCGGCCTTCAGGGCATGGTCCCTGGACGGCTGAGCTTCTCGCTGTTTCTTCGAGCACTGCGCGACCACATGGCCGCGCTTCTTACAATAATTGCATTTCTTGGCAGTCTGCTGCACCGTATTGACGGACGGGCCAGATGCTGCCTGCAAAGGTGTTGGAGATTCTTTTCTCCGAACCGTCTGCTCAGCATTAGACAGACGGTTTCCGATCGTGGTCGGATTCACCGGATCCTTGTCATTCTGAATGGCATCCACAACTAGAATGTATTCCGGTCCGATCTGCGTCAGTAAGATCGCAATGTGCGTTCGATCGCCAATGGATCCGGGCACGATAGCATTCAATCGATGTACGAGCAACCGTACACGATCAACAAATTCGCGCGCACTGCCACAGCGCTCGCCAGTGGTTTCGCGAAGCTGGGCGAACAGCTAGCAGAATGTGGCGAGTTCCATCCGCCGGCACCGTTCTTTGAGTTCATTCCGAAGGTCGCGAGACGTCTCGAGTCTCGCGACGTGAATACTGATGTGGGGGGACAGGTACCGGAAGATAGTATGGTAGGCCTCGGCTTCGCGGCGATGGTGGCGCTCAAACGCCTGGACCTCCACTTCGAGGCGCGCTTCGATGGCCCGTTGCTTCACCGGCCCGCTGCAGTGGGGCTCCACCAAGGGATGGATGTCCGCCGTAATAGGTTTGGCGTACTTGAACAGACAGTCGGGACGCTGTGAGGTCGAGATTGAGTGGCTCACGGACTCGCTCTCTCATTCATCTCGCCGCCGAAGAGTCACATGAGTTTCGCGACGACGCTCCTAACCCTGCGATCTTCAAAGTCTAGGGTCTTCGCGCCGATCCCTTCCCTTGAGAATAATTGACCTACTCTCTCTGGTCAACTCAGGATTAATTTTGGGCTTTTGGGTGTCGTCTTGCTCCCTTGTGGATGATATCTGGGGTCGCCCAATCTTACAGTCTCCCTTTCAATCCGCCCGGGCGCTCATTCAGAACGCGTCATCTCCTGAGGTGTAGGTTCTGTTCATTCCTGTTGCATGCACCTTCCCCTGATAATCCGGTCCGCCCTTCATAGGATTGTCCCGTGTCTGCATTCCACATTCTGCAGCCAGTACACCGAGCCCCAGGGATGAAGACGGTGACTCTTGCTTCATCTTTCAGTCTTGTCATCCACCACAACCCTAATCTATCGGATCATTATCACGTTCTTTCCCAGCCTAAATGCCAGCGCCATCGCGGTAACGTCGCATTGTGTCTTCTGCCCGAAGGCTCTTTGTAGGGTTAGTATTCTCCGAAGTTGACCACCCTTTTCTGCTAGCACTTGGTATCGAATTTCTCGTTCTTTCATCTTTCTCTCTTCGCATTTGACACCAATTTTTGCTTTAATCCCAGCCCCGGCCCGCTAATACACCCATTCTTCTGCCAGCTTTCACTTCTGAAGACTTCCTCCCGGGAACCCGACTCTCTTTTTCCCTGCATCCAAGTCCCGACAGTGGTCTCCACTCCTTAATCGTTGCCAGTTAGTCTCCAGTCATTCATTTCTTCAACTAATCCTCGACGACTGTCATTCTCTTAACTCCGTCGTTACCTGATCATCCCCGCTCTCCAGACCCCTTCATTCAGTATTCAGCAAAGCCGGTTCAAGTCTCGCCCCTCCTTCCCGTCGTCCTCGAGTACCTCGACAACGATGGGTTACACGCGCCCTCGTTCTGGCTTCCAGCCCTGTGAGACCTTCTTTGTGGATGACGAGTATCGTCTGCGTCCCAAGAAGCAACCCAAGCGGGAGCACGAGAAACTCGTTGCTTGTGGGCGGCAGTATGTTATTGCGGATCAGCTATCTGACCTCACCAGCGAAGAGCTCAGGGAGGACGTCCTAAGCCACATGCTGGACATGGATGTGAGTTGCTGCGAGTACTAGTGGGACGGGAATATATTGGCTAATCGTGTTTATCACCAGGATCAAACACTTCCGGATATTGAATCGACCGACATCCAACCCGAGATCGAGTGGTTCATGCGACATTATCTCCTTGACTTCATGATCGAGGCCCATGCTGTATTCCAGCTCCTGCCGTCGACATTCTTCCTGACCATCAACCTTTTGGATCGTTACTGCTCCAAGCGTGTGGTCTACAGGCGTCACTACCAGCTCGTTGGCTGTGTAGCTCTCCTTATCGCTGCGAAGTACAATGACAGGAAGGACTGTGTTCCCACTGTCAAGGAGCTGGAGTCGGTGTGCTGCTCTCTATATGATGACGACATGTTCATCCAAATGGAGAGACATGTCCTGCAGACCCTAGACTGGACTATAGGCCACCCGACTGTGGACAGTTTCCTGCAGATCGCCCTTCTCGATGAGGCCTACGACCCTGAGGTGGAGCACATGGCTCTCTATGTCCTGGAAATTGCCCTGTTTTGCCGGGAGTTCGTCTCTAGGCCGTCGTCTGAGCTTGCTCGCGCTGCATTGGCTCTGTCGCGTCGCATACTCAACAGACACCAGCCTTGTCATACCAGCTGGGCCGCCCAGTATGACTCGATAACTCTAGTTGATTTATCCCAACAGCTTCACCGACCCTCTATCGTCGCCGCCCGGAAGTACGCCTCGGCTCGCTACTCGGGGGTTTCCAAATTACTGGAGCACTTCTTCAACCGCCAGGCTTCGTTAGTCAGCTACGCCCACTACACACTACCGGTTGAGACTCGTGTGGAATCCAGGCTGTATAGTAGCGAGATGAGCCTCGCCACCCCTCAGAAGCCCCAGCAACTGACTGCCGTTGCCCAAGGATACCTCACCCCGCCTCTCACACCAGAGTATAGGGCCTTCGCACAAGCACAAATGGGCAATAATAACCGGGGCCGAGGTGTCCCTAATATGACGGCTTGCTCTCCATCGGCGACTCCTAACGCTGGGGTGTAGTGCAGCCCACCGACGCCTACAAGTAACAGGAAGCCGGGTGCATGTCTCATCAGTATCGGCTCCAGTGGTTCTCGCCGCAGTTCCAGATGGTACTGGGCCCGACCTATGCCGGCGCGGTGCAAAGTAAAAGAGCAACCATCAGGAAAAGGGCCATTAGCCAAAAGTGGTTCGTCATCCTGCACATGTTCTCGGAGCACCTTTTTCTTGACAGCATAGCAGGAGCGTCTGCATTTGCCTTGGTTCGATACCCCTAATATAAACATAATCCATCATGCGCTTCTTCACCTCGCCGACTATGTGCCATACCTTGACTTGACCTTATCTTCGAACCCTTTGGACGCTTTGCATTTTCAGCTTCGGTCTATAGAATCGGAGTCCGGACCGGCTAGTTTTTCTCTTGTACCAAAATAAGAACTCATTTTCTTTTTGTCGCGATCGTTTTTGGGTGACCCTTGGCAGCCTCGCATATTTCCACTATCATTGTAAATGCGAGTCGTTCTCATTTCTCTTGCATTCGGCAGATCTATCTTAGGCCCTTGCCGAGAATTCCAAGTCCCACTATTGATCTTCACTATTGATCTTCACGGATGTGTTCCTGTGGTCCGAAACCTCCTGCAATAAAATAACTCAAATTGGCTATTTGTGCGCTATTTAGTCCACCCCTAACTAGTGACATGACAAAAGTATTTGCACCCCCCAAAGACCCACTTTTCTCACCGCCCATACCGCCTTCCTAATTCGCGTATCATAAACCACGCTAAATTAGTCGTGTATACGCTCACGCGTCAAATATTATGATTATAGCCCCTTATTTAGCTCTGATTCTTTATAATTCATGATATCTCATAATTTATGATCATGGCCCGGTCATCAGAGCTTACACCCGCTATACGTGAGCGTATATGTGAGCTTCATGCCATTCAATGGGGATATAAACGCATCCAGAAGCGTTATCCATACATTCCACTATCTACAATTCGATATACAATTAAGAAGGAGCGTGAGCGACAAGATGGTGTGTCCAAGGCACGCTCTGATCGTCCAAAAAAGCTCTCAGAGGCAGAGAAAGACCGAATTCTTGAGGCTATACATGGCAATCCAAGAATTATGCAAGAAGATCTACTTGCCTCGGTTGATTATAAGGTTAAACTACGCTCAATTCAACGTTTTTTAAACGCTGAGAATCTCCGACAGTGGCGCTGTAGTTGGCGCCCATATTTAACTGAAGAAAACGCTACAAAACGACTCCGATGGGCCTATCGATATCGTCACTTTACACCTGAGGATTGGGCTCGAGTTTTCTGGTCTGATGAGTGTACGGTCGAGCGAGGGATCGGCGTACGTCGAGAATGGACTTTTACCCGTCCAAGAGACCAACCAAGAGAGGGTCAAGTTCAAGGATTACCCCAGCGTGGAAAGCAAGTTAAGCAGATGTTCTGGGCAGCATTTTCAGGGGCTGTTAGACGTACTGGATTGATTCCGCTCTTTAGTGACCCAGCGTCAGAACGTGGAGGTATTAATCGCTTCGTTATCGAGGAATTATATCGTCGAATTCTACCTACTTTGATAGTGAATGAAGATAGTGTTGTAGTTCGGAGATATGAATTGTGTTGTATTAGTCTAGAGAAATAGAGGGATAGATAAGGCTATATATACAACAAGCAGCCGTTGTCTATATAGACATCTCGGAGCTAATTCCGAGGGTGCGGCTTTCTTCCTGATCTGCACCAGCCTCATATCACAACACAAGAGATAACAGATCTTCTCTTTTGGGTCTGTTTTACCCTCTTGAAGAGACAACCATTTCAGCAGTAGCTTAGATTTGTTGTCCTTCAATGCAGCAAAAAAGAAATCTGAAGGCAGAAGGGGGCATGTCATGAAATGCTAGTAAGCCGTATGTGAACCGTTATTACAAAATTTGTGGTGCGGCTAAATAGTAATACCATATGTATCTTTATCAATTCCCGAAGCGGGGTGCCGATGATGTAATCTACTGCCGGAAACGGAGAATTCATAGGTATACAGCAGAAGCGGTCAATGACCGCTATGACCTTTTAGGATAGGTTTGGTCATCTGTCGAACTCCGCAGGGGAAGATTACCACCTTTCCTATTACAGATTGATGATTCAGCGCGTGCTTAGATCCTATATTACTGTTTTTGTATGTAAAGCGCACGTAAGCGTACGTATGGGCTATACAACTAGCCTGCACGAATCAGGCAGGATCGCTCAACTCGATCCAGCACTCAGAAAAAAAAACCCCTCTTGCAATTGGATCCATGATTTACCAGTCCATACACGATTCGTTCCGATTCGACAATATCTTATCTGTCCATCTTGATTATATATTTACCCCGCTTTCCACTCAGCATCATCATCTCTGCTCTCGTCCATGACTCTCCCGACCGAGCAGTCTCGGCCATTGAGCCTCTGACAGGAAGCGATAACTTTGCAACCTGGAAACGTCTCAAGGCCTCCTACCTAAAAGCGAGGCAGGTCTGGGATGTCTTGTCGGGCGATCTCCAACGTCCCGACTGTCTGTTCAAGTACGCCAAACCTCTTACGGCGGACATTCACCCCTTGGGGGAGCCCCACCTCAGTGGGGCGGTGAGGCAGCGAGCCATCGAAGCGAGCCTCGAAGTGGAAGGTCCAGGCGTTCGAGCGCCACCGTGAATGGTCGCGCCGCGAAGCCGAGGCCTACCATACTATCTTCCGTAACCTGTCCCCACATCAGCATTCATGTCGCGACTCAAGAATGAGGTTCAAATTTGAAGCACCACTCGCTCTTGGGCCGCGGACTTATACATGAACGGCTAGCATGGCCAAGCCTCTTAAGCAACTATATTCCATTGTACCCCAGATGTTCATTTCAACGAGGCTTCTTTGTGTCTGAAGTGAGACTTATCGTAGTTGTTTGACTTCAAACGACCACTAGAACAAAGCCTCAACCCAATTGGAGCAGTTCGACATCAATAGCTTTGAAAAATCGAATCTTTACCATCGTTTATGAGTTAATCGTAGCTTCGATGTATGCTGGATACTCCTAGCCGACACTATTGATACATATGGAGGAAGGGGAACCGGATCTAGGACCCAACAGCGCAGGGAATCTATCGAGCTTGGTCCAAGGGGCGGTATTAAAATCCGTGGGCTTCTAGAAGTGTACCCTGGAACTGTTTCATACGGTACTGGTCACACTTTCTGGCTCTTCAAATATTTATAAGACTGCCGAATGTCCCTACTGCCTGGCATAGAACAGCGGCGGACACCTGGGCGTGCTCTTCTCCACGTTAGCCCGGTTCAGAAGCAAATCAGCTATTTGCAAATCCCCGCGTTGTGTGGCTTGACACAGTGGCCTCTAGTGCAGGTGGTCACACACGTTCTGATTCAGTCTTGGCCTTTCGAGGAGTAATTTGGCACTTGCCATGTCTCCAATTAATCAAAAACTAGATGAAAGCAAAGCTCTGAGCGACAGCCATGGCTAGGGGATAATAATCAGTGAGAATCTCTGGTCTCATAATCTGTTAATCAGCGCAATCTATAGAGTTATTAGGTAAAATGAATGAATTGAAGTAGGTTAATAACTGTATAAAAGTTGATTTGTTAGGAGTACATCTCATATAGACCACATGCCAAGACCCTGCTTGTAGGCTATTCTCGAATGCATCCAACAAGAACATGTACCCCTTTCAAAATGGCATGTTTGACAGGCCATCACCTCTCTTTGGAGGAATCAAGAAACGAATCCCATCAATATAGTTGGAGCTGGGTAACAGAAAACAAGCGAAGTTTTCGCTATATACACTTTCCATTCCAGAAGCCCCTTAACAATTGAGGGACACAGACCCGAATGGTACGGCAATGCACCCCTGTATATCACCAGCATAAACCGCAGAACTCCCTTCGCAATTGGTGCCAGACCAGGTCGTGATCTTGCATTTATTGTTGCCGTTGGGTACATTGAACGATGCCCCAGGTAGGTTGTTGAAACATGACCCTCCAGAACCGGTGATTGAAGGATTGGACGATGAGCCCTCACAGTTTTTTCCAGACCATGTGGTAATCTTGATAGTCTCATCGCGCATGTTTAGTTTCATTGCGGTGGGTGTAGCTGAGACACATAATACTGCTTAGGAGTTGCATCTTTGTAATATTTGAAGTAGAAGACTTATTCAAAGCGTTGCTATGGTAGATGCTTGAGATATGGGCTTTATGAAAAGAGAAATAAAGGGTATTTATATCCCCGGCTTGGGGCTTTACAGGATCATAAAAAGCAAGTATATTATATGCAAGGCGTCCAGGCAATGGGGCCAATTTGGGATGCCTGAATCTCTACGGAGGAGTATATATGTTAGTTAATGGCTTCTAGAAAGACAAATTTGTCATATCAGACAACCAAACCCTAATATCAATTTATCAGATATCGCTCCGCGACTCTAATATGGTAGTCTGTAAACAATCACATGAGGAACGTCGGAAACCTCTAACAACCAACATCTTTGAATGAACTCAATTTAATTAATCCACGTCAACTTCCATCAGGTCAGAATATTGGGGGGGGGAAGAGAGAGAAAGAACGAAAAGAAAAGAAAAAGAAAAAGAAAAGAAAAGAGGCTGGAGGCTGGCACACACGACGTGCCGAAAAAATGAATGCCATCCCTCAGATAAGACGTAAGGTGTTGTCAGCGAGAATGAACTGATAATTTACCGCTGATACACTTCACCAATCGGCATTCCACGTAGTCTTCAATACAGCAACCACGCCGAAAAGCTTCATGCATTGCTTCTGTCTATTTCCCCCATATAACCAGTTTTCACGAGATTTGGTGGGCTCTTAGAGCGTTGTTTTAAAAGTATTTTGATTGAAGAAGCTTGTTTCTGGAGTTGTTTAGAGTTTGATGGTGTTTTTGGTTCCCACGCGCTGCTTTGGCTTCCTCGAGAAGGTGGTGGTGTAGGTGTATAGAGTCGAATATTCAGTTTTAAAATCACACGATTTGGATTGTACGGGACTAAGCCAGTTGCTGAGAAGCTATTCTTGATTGTTTCTGCTTTGAAAGCTTCAATTCGAGCGGTCGGAAAGGCATCGAGGAAGTCTAATTTGTCGATATGGTTCACTCCATTCCGCATCAAAATTTCGACAATTTGACCATACGCGCGCTTCAAAACCGCAAAACAACCTACATCAAGAGGTTGTAAAAGATGGGAAGAGTGCGGTGGCATACAAATCGGTATCACATCGTTTTTATAGCAAATTTCATCAAATTTTGGAGTTAAATGGCTTCCGTGACCGTCGAGAACCAAGAGTCGATATTTTCCCTTTGTCCTTGACAAAGTCGATGGAAGAAAGACCTTTTTAAGCCAGCGAAGGCCAATTTCGTCTGAGGTCCATCCATTTGGGCTAACCTCGAATTGCCAGTCGTTCGGAAGTTCATCAGCCCAGCTTGCGATAAAGACTTTGCCCTTAAAGATAATCATCGGAGGGAGGCTAAATCCAGACGCGCCTGTACACTCAATTGAGGTTACCATTCACTATTTCCAGGCTGTAAAAGAGCACGCCGACCATAATATTCAGCTCTTGTTACAACTTTTGCAGTCGCAGTCAAGCCCATCGCGAAGCCTGTTTCATCAAAGTTATATATATCATCTGGATCGATACCGTTCTCGCAAATTGTTTTTTGAACAAGATTAAACCATTCTCCTATAATTTTTGGATCTTCACACTTCGCGCGTTCATAATTATAGCGTCTCGAGAATTGTGTAGTAAGTTCGGAGTGTCGTTTAACGTAGTTTGTGACCCAATTTTTACCAACGGTCTAAATCGGGGCTGTTCCACGCGTCGCGAGTAAGATATTAGCCATTTTTTGCACTGTTTTAGGTCGTGGTGCCGCTCCTCGGATATCCATAGAAATCACCCATTTCTTTAGTGAATTCTCTTCAATTTCAGTCAATTTGATTTTTTCTGCTTTTCAATAGCCTGGATAGCAAGTAAGATACGTCCCTCTTGATGTGTCAAATTCTGACGATTTTGAGAGCGAATTGGTGGCATGGTGGTTGGTTAAAGAATAATAGACTAAATAATTGACGCGTTTTGGTTAGGGTGTTCCGGTCGCTTGTGAAGTACGTTATGATGGTCTGTTCCGCAATAGACCATCATAAAATCGACATAAGCTTGGCAGGATTCGACCGAGGAAGAGTCGAGAATTTAGCACGCGTCCGTCCGGATTCGGAGCAATTATAATTCCGCATTCCGACGTGCGCTTAATACGTATTAGCCTTTTTTTTTTCGACATACGTTTTACTGGGACGCGGACTTGGGCCCCATCTAAAAAATGGGGAAATGGGGGTGGCGTCTGGCCAGCTTATTACCCTTCGCCAATGGCGTAGTTGCTTTTTCCTTGCTCATTGATCAACGCCTCAAATACCTACTCTAGGGCAATTCCTTTGGACCTAAATGACGTCATGTGGATCAGAGCGCTCCATGTCTCCACAATCTTACCCCGCAAATTTTGTGCTCTCGTAACGAGATACTGTAATGAGATAAGTTGCGCTATGGATCTTTAAATTATGATTTATAATGTCTGAAAAACCAGTCTCTACCCCCCATCCCCAGCTCCTGCTTCATCGCAGACGAAGACCGACCTCGCTGATTACATATTATCTTTTTCACTATGGAGACGATGCGGCGTCGACAACTCCATAGCTGTGATCCTTGTCGCAAAGGCAAACGAGGCTGCGATGCACCGGTTTGAGGCCCTCCTGTATTCAAAGCTTGCTAGATGCTAATATTTCGGGATTTTCTCAGAAAGTTCGAACGGATAGTGGGTTTGGACCTTGTTCCAATTGCAAACGCTGGAAGAAGGAATGCACATTCAACTGGCTTGCCTCAAAGCGTTCCGATACTGAAGAGAGTCGAAAGAAGACAAAGCCATCTGCTGCAGCTCCATCACAGAGCTCGGATACCGACTACTTTGCGCGCTCGCATGATGCAGAGTTGGATGCGATACTGGGCTCTGCGAATTCTTACGCTGCCAACTTGGGAGATATATTCACATTTACCAACACCCAAACTAGCTTTGGACCCTCCTTTCAGCCGGACTGTATGGCTTTCGAAGGGAGATCAAGAAGTGAATGGAGTGACGATCAATCAAACCTTTTCACCTGGTCCTCTGACATTCCAGTCAATGAACAGATAAACACGATGACTTCGAGCTCGAACAACAGCTTCACTGATGTTGGACCTAATTCGGCCTTTGGTGATCTATTCTCACACTCTCTTCAGAACGACCCAACCCTACAAATGGACGCCAAAGATGAGCCGGTCTCATCTCTCACGCCCGCAGAAGCTGCAGAGTGTGAGGAGAGCGGTAGCAACAACTCGTTAGTTCAGCAATACACCTCAACATCGAGACCAGAGGCTCAATGGAGCTTTTGTTTCGCTTCTGATAAAACATCAAAAGAATATGTCCGGTCTACAATGACTCGCAACTTGATCCGAATATATCACGATAGCATGGAGAACGCCCTCTCGTGCTGGCTAACAGAGCACAACTGTCCATATGGCGACTCGCCAGGTAATATTCTTCCGTGCAAACAGAAAGAGGAATGGGCACCGAGCTGGTCGAACAGAATGTGCATTCGAGTCTGTCGGCTAGATCGCGTATCCTCTTCAGTTCGTGGCCGTGCCTTGAGTGCAGAGGAGGACAAAACTGCGGCTCGAGTACTCCATTTAGCAATTATGGCATTTGCCTCCCAATGGACTCAGCATGCTCAGAAGGGAACAGGATCGTCAATTCCAGAAGCGATTGATCAAGACGAAAGATCAATCAGAGAACACGTTTGGAATAAGGCACGACACGCCCTCGAACATACAACTGGAATCCCCTCTTTCCGTGTTATCTTTGCCAACATCATCTTCTCTCTTACACAACGTCCTCTAAACAGCCGACATGATCGATCATTGAGTGAGCTTTTGGAGGCAGACCGTGCGCCAATGTTCTTGGAGAATGCAAATCGGCAACTATATACATTTCGACATAAGCTTACGCGGATTCAAAGGGAGGCACATCCATTGATCCGAGGACAACGACGACAATCAGTATCATCGAGAATACCTGATGGTCTGGGGTTACCACAGCCATTGGACACGTCAGGGGTGGACCCAATCCTCTCCGATCAGGAATACCGAACAACCCTCAGTTTGATGTTCTGGCTGGGAATCATGTTTGATACCCTCAGTGCTGCAATGTATCAACGGCCCCTCGTTGTATCAGATGAAGATAGCCAGATATCCTCGGCATCGCCAACGATGTTTGATTCAGGTAACCACTTTGAGTATGGTGGCTGGGACATTCCTCAAAAAGGAATACCAGAGCAGCAGGATGTATGGGGCGATTTCTTTCTAGGGAATTCAGAGTCTCAACAATCAAATAAGGCTCAGCCTAGATGGCCATGCTACTATGATGAAGCTGCTTCGGTCCTTTCAGATGCCACTCCCGTCAAAGTGCTACTGTACCGCCGTGTCACGCAGCTCCAAACCCTCGTTTATCGAGGCGCCCCAAGCGAGCGTCTTGAAGAAGTCATTCAGAAAACCATCCAGGTGTACAGGCATTGGAATTCCAAATATCAGAAATTCATGCTTGACTGTGTTGCAAACCATGAGCTCCTTCCTCCACGTATCCAATCATGGTATGTCATTCTTGATGGTCATTGGCATCTTTCCATCATGCTGCTGGCAGATGTGATTGAAGGCATTGATCGTGGGAGGATGGGCTCTGACTCCGAGCGTGAAAATCGGGAAGCTAGCAGTTTTGTCTCCACGCTGAAGATGGATCATGCCTTTGCTGTTGGTGCGCTTGCTCGTTCATCGCTACGTGATCGTGAGCCGACGATGAACCGACATTTCCATGACTCTGTTAACGAAGTTGCATTCTTAGTTGAGCCATGGACCGTTGTTCTGATACATTCATTTGCCAAGGCCGGATATAATTCACTCGAATTTCTGAATGCGCCTGGAAAGTACCCCTCATTGATTGGGATGCTCTGCGAAAATTGTGGCTTCTGCATTCGTGCACTTGAATACCTTGGTAGAAAGTCTGACATGGCTACTGTCGTTGCTCGAACGCTGTCCAAGTCTTTGGATACCAAGCTCAATCCGAGAAGCGAGAACTATAGATCCAAAATTTTGACGCCGAACAGCATATCTCCAGATATTGCCTTGTTTGACGATCAGCTCAATGGTAACATTGATCTGCTCGTCGCCCAGTAATGAAAATGTTTATGTACGCGCGCAAAACAAAAATGCCAATACTTTGAGCGGGGAAATTCTACATTGACTAGACAAAGGCCGTCGATTATGCGTCGGTATCTGTCTATTTTTAATCACAATACATGTATATCTCCAAACCATATCCCGGGCAATATCCCAAGACATCTTTCTAGTCATCTTCTAGCCAACCTACTAACTACTTAACCCACCTCGATCTGTAAAGTACTGACCTATTCATGCTGAACCTACCTACAGGTTTCATTGGCCTGGTACAATTTTATTTTCCACACCGCCCCCTGATCAGAAACGGGTTCACTCTTTTAGATACGTTCTATTAATTGCACACTATTTGAAAGAGCCTCCCGATATCTCTCCCACTTCAGGCACCAAATTTATTCCATTGCCTTATAGCCTATGCATCCTGCAGTCCACCACATCGGGTAACCTCAATTGCATCCTACTAACTTATATTAGCTTCTTGAACACCACTCGGATCATGATAATAGAAAATGAAATTTGACTCTCCCGATGTCCTTCTGGCTGCCGAAGCTCACTTTAATTCAATATGAGAAGGTTCTGTTGACAGCAGTGGAAGAATTCTGGCTGACGCCGATGTATCTGCAGCGTCAGCAACATGTCAGTTTGAAGGATTTAAAGCACATAGCTTGAGAAAACCGAGTTCCTCTTGGAAAGGCGCTTAAGGCAGAAACAGAGTTAGATTACCAAATGCCACTGTGTTGGAGTAGGCATACATACGCATGGGATGGTGTTGGTTGGTCTGAAAGATTTTGCCAGTGGTAATATTACGCCCCAGAGGGGGACTTGGCGGGGAAAGTGAAAGGACACTTAGTTTGGGCCGGTGGAAGAAGTTCTCTGAGAAGTATGTAGAAGAAAACCCGCCCCAGATAGTTTAGGGTGGTATTTATATCCCCCTCGCTCGTCGGTAAACGGAGTCCTTGATGCTACTTCACAATACTCAACACGCAGGTAGAGATTTCAGGCATGTGGTGGATTCTAAGGCCTGTTGAAGCACTGTTCAATGTTCAACGGCTCACCGGTCACGAGTACGGGAGATAAAAGCTGGGTTTCCAGTCACCATGGTTGTGAGTTAACGAAATACCCATCGTTGAAGCAACTTCGGGCGAAAGTAATATAGTCGAAGACGCTTGAAAAAGTGCATGCGCCGGTGAGGTTTCAACGGGCAGCCAAGGCCTACATGTCGAGGTCTCTCCATACATGACGTTAATTCACCACGTACATTACGAAGGCCACGATGAGAATTTCAATCAACGATTACTCGGCAGGGGCCAGTGATTATCGGTGTCGTTGTTGACAGGATGCCGTTAGAGAAATAGTTACTGAAGGCCTACTCAAAGCCCCAAAATAGCAATTCAGGAGTGATTGCTCTGGTGAAAGTATGCCTATAGCAACTGGATGTAAACAGTGTTGAATCAACAAGAACATTATCAAGAAAGCCGAGAACCCGTTGTTCAACATGGCGGTTGCTTGCATATTTACGATCTCACAATGGTGTCACCTTAATATAATATTTCTGAAAGACTTGCATCGGCTACAGCGCCCCTCACATATTATTCCATGCTACTAGAACAACCATAAAATTGAATAAGGTGTTCATCCTAGCAGCTTACTGGGAGCGCTGAAGTATACCGCATCATTAGTAGGCTTGGCATTCTATGGATGAAGGAGTAGTGAGGAAATTGGTAACGTGAAGTACTGCTTGTGAAGAGTGCTAATTATCCATGGTGCCGGAGAAAAGTTGCTGTACATAAAGAGGCACAGCAGGAAGTGAAGATCATGAGCTTCACTGCTCAAAGCTGTATCTAGACGGTATGCTGCGAGGGGCAGCGCTTGTATCGCTCCCAGTACCTCCATATCAATTCCTGGGGTCCCTAACGATCTTAGGGGCTTTAATGTCGATCCAGGACTGGAATAGAAAGCACCTGGGAGCGATATTGGCCATTCAATATCTTTTTCCTGCTTGAAAGCCTGATGGTCCCTTATATGGCTTCTGTTGCGGCATTCCGGAGCCTATCGCATCATGAGCAAGAATTGGAGAATCATCCAATAGTATGGAGTAGGAAGAGAATTGCCTCTTGTTTTCTTCTCAGAACATATCAAGACGAGCCGGTGACTCATCTACATATTACGACCCTTCCATCATGTTGAACTGTTTCACTCACACTCTGGTCAAGTTTCCTAACCTTTACCCCAGTTCTGAGAATGATAAGCCCCGCAAGGCGTGTGACCGGCTTGACTTATATGCTGACTGACCTTCGTTTAGACTTCTAGTGAAAAAGACCAGTGTTTATTGTTGATTCCCGATGGGATACAGCACGCTCTCCGTACCAACCAACTTTTTACGACTTGATATATGTAGGAAAGCAACCATTTCCAATATTACGGCCGTGTTCCTGATCTACACTAGTCGCATGTCACAGCAATTTTCCGTATTCCCTTGATATGCACTATTGTGACATTTGGCGTGAGATTGATTTTGGCTAACATTGACTGCAGCTCTAGGGCATACGGCTACTGGGGGAGGCAGCAGGGCATCGTTGCTTCCGTGTCGGTCTTTCAGTTAGACGGTGGTAGAAAAGAAAATATTTTTCGTATCTATATTCTAGATAAAGTGATAAATGGGTTGTATATATACTTCATGATGGCGGCCATGCAAATAAAAATCAAGACACACGACTGACCAATGTGAGCTTATCAGCGAGTCTCCACTATCTGGCGTCAATTTGGGCATCTGGTCGCGTTCGCATCTGTGTTCGTGTTCGTGTCTTCGCAATATATTCTTGAGGCAAGTGTGCAATGCTTGACCTACCTGACATTAAAGATCTGACAAATTTATTATGATGGGAAACGTACCGTTATCATTTCGGAAAAAGGACATTGATCGAATTATGAAATGGAGTATTGACTCCAAATAGCTTTTGTTGATCGATGCAATGCGTTATAATCGGGTATCAGTGAAAACATAAATCACATTGTCCAATGACTATGATGAATCTGTCATGAGGGCTCTCGGCACAGCGTTTCCCCTTAGATTCATCCAACGAGGTATGTAAGAAGTGATAATCCACTTGATAACAAGAACTGTAAATATAATAATTTTTAAAAAGGTTGCACATTTTAAATGATCACTCAGATAATGTATGAGTATAGGTATTCGACATATGATTCAAATCGGTGGAGCGTAGGGGCGCGGAGAAGCCGTAAGACTGAATATGCGTGAAAATTCAAAACGCAAATGAGATAATGCCGGCCGAGCGGATGAGACAAACTGCCTTACCGGAGGTTTTAAAGACACCAGCAGTCCGTAAGGTAATGAGTGGGGTGTCCCGACATCGGAAAACCCTTTCGGGTGAAAGGGGCAGTGCGGTCGATTTTGTGGATGTGCAAACTGACGATCTCAGAAAAGGATCTTGTCGGAAAAAGTGGAGGTCTATTTTACAGCCGCCTTTGGAATGAACATATACATTGCCTACGAACTTGGGGACCTCCTGCGACAGGCCGGGTTCAGCAATATTCAGAAAACAACTTTCAAACTAGGGTACGGAGCAGAAGCTCGCGAGGAGCATTGGAGAGAGCCCTCTGCGGAGATGTGGGTCGATACGTTTCGCAGTCTTGGCCATAAGCTCCCAACTGGGGGGATTCCAGGCGTGGCGAAAAATGCAAGTAGCCGTGCCTTACCCTACGGCCTGGACAAACAAACAAACAAACAATTCATTAACGCCCGGCGGCTGAACCGAAAGGGCAACTATCACTGATCTACTATACATGTCCATCTGTATATGCTGTGTCTCCTGAAAGCCCATACATAAAACCTTATAACATATAACATTTCCAGAAAGCAGTGTCGCAGCGAGTTTCTCGTGGGTTAGTAAGTGGGTTAGTAGGCTGGCTTGAAGGCGCTTCTCCAAGTGTTCAACATCCTATCTTCGGCAGTTGAAGCGCGTCTACCATCTGTAGCACGAGGTGGTGGGTGAGTAGGGTCGGAAGAAGGGGGTGGGGGTTATGTTGATCGATATGTTCAAGTGGCCTCGAGTCGGCCCGTCGAAATGGCGAAACGTATGGAGGCCCGTACTGCCTCTAGGTTTGGCGTCCACTTCTGATCATCAGAAGCCTGTTTTCCGCCCAGGAAGAAGGATATGTTTCCTCGGTGAGTCTGCGTGCATTGTAACATTTCCGTCCGGTGCGCCGTCCACTTCCGACATCGGAAGAGGAAGTGCTCCACGGTCTCTCTTGCTTGTCCGCAATCGCATTGGTCCGTCTCTGCTACATTAATTTGATTGAGATATCCATTAAGTCTAGCCATGCCGGTTCGGAGTTGGGCCAGTACCGTCGCTTCTTTCCACGACAAACGGTCATACAACTGCCGAGTGTGTTTGCCTGGGAGTGCGGCATCCACTCGTTTTGCGTGTCTCCCTACGTTCTCTGGCAGCTTGTTTCTGGGCACTGCTTGGGACCGTGCGATATTCAATGTTGTCGACTTCATCCTCGGGACGCGGTCTTGTGGGAGAGCATCTTCTTGTGTTGCAGTTCTGGCTTGTTCTTTAGCCAGACTTAACAGCTTGTGGTCTTCGCTAGTGGGGATCCAGTGGAATTTGATACGGTTTCCATTCCTCTGCAACCTTCTTATCAACTTGTAAATCTGACAAACAAACTCCTGGCCAGACTGTCGTCGAGGGTTCCTTAGTGTGAGCGCCGCCGCCTTGTTACATGTGAGCAACGTAATCCCGTAGTCTTTGACTCCCACTACCATTTTCAACACATGTGCCATGGCTGCCAGCTCCGCAGAGAACGGATTTTGCTCTGCTCTCGCACCCAATGTGATGGAAAAGGCTTTGAGCTTCAATTTTCGATTTCGAGGAGGCTGTTTCTCGATTGCGACTCCAAATCCCACCAGCTCGTTCCGTGCCGAGCTGCTGACCGCGATCTGCATCAATCCGCCCGCCTCAGTCTGAGGCTCATGTTGTCCATCAACCTTGGCATGGACACGTTCGTCCCAGGGGGGCAACGTAAACGGGTTAATTGTTTCCAGTGTCTCCATGTCGACGTGCTTAAGCGCGTCCGCTACGTGGTACAGCGGCGAGCGATGATATCGTCTGAACTTTCTGATCCGGTCTGTACCCCTGCGCAGCGGGTTGGTTTCAGGCAGGGTATACATGTCCGTCCACATCTTCACGGCCCGTCTCCAGAATCGGCTCCGCGCGGTGGCAATATGGGCCTCCGCCTCCGCTACGCTGGTTGCGACTGTGAGGAATGTCCCCACAATGGCTTGTGCACCCACTCTTTGGACTCGATTGATCGGCCCCATGGCCTTGTCCTTACACGCGTGCATCCAGACATTGGAGGCGTAGTCCACTACCGGAGCGACCGTCGATGTAAACAACTGTCGCGCTGTTGCTGGGGACAGGCCCCGCAGTCGCCGAAGCTCCATCGCTGCCTCCAGGCCCTTGGATGCCGCCCTCGCGATATGTTCCTTGTATTTGAGTCTCGTGTCCATCAACAATAACCCAGGATCTTGACGTGGTCTTTGGGTACAACCAGCTGTCCCTTGATGGTAAACGGCTCATGGTCCGATTTACGCGTCTTGGGAGCAAAGTGTATAATAGCTGTCTTCTCGGCTTCAAAGGTCGCACCGCTTCTCCTTTCCCAGTCGAGTGCTTCATTGATAATTGCTTCAATTCCTTCCCGGTTACTCTGCGCGGTTGGTCCGGTCACCCATGCGGTAAAATCATCCACAAAAGCGACTGCTCCCCCCTGGCTGTCGATCTGTCTAGGGCTGTTGCGAATATTCGAAACCACCGATATTATCGGATATCTTATCGCCGCCGATAATTATCGGCAAGTCTCTTGCCCTGTCGATATGATATCCGATAATTATCGGCAAGGTTCTTGAGCTGCGAATATCTTCATCGCAGATATTCGACGATAAGATAATTATCGGTAGACTCAAGTATCGTCCGAGCTAAGCCAAACCAGGACTATTGGAATCGAATCGGGACTAGCATGCAGACTTTTCTCAGTGGTATTTAGGTAGATTGCTCCAACTTTCCCTTTCTCCACAGCAGCCATGCAGACCCGTGGGAACCGAATAGATTACCTTGCCTTGAATGATGGACCTGAAGACTGGATATCCTGCCCGGACGGGCCGATCCCATCATCCCCACCATTTGACCATAGCCAATCAGCAATTGGTACCATCTTCGATTCCCTTCATGAGTCTTTTGATGAAGTTCTACCTTCAGAGCCTGCCTCGCAGCCGCCAGCCTCGAGCTCGCTAAGCTCAACCCCACGACAAAAGAATGACTGGATGTGGAGGCATCTTGTGATAACAGAATTTCCTGGCGAATGGATGGAGAAAAGAAATCAAAGGAAGATGGACACTGATCGAGAAATTTGCTGTGCTGTCACCGGTGAAGATGGAAGACAGTGCAACTGGTCTACAACAGACTCAAAAAGACATGGCTCTACCACCAATATTCGTCACCATTTGAAAGAGAAGCATGGTGTCCTACCGCCCAATGTCTCTATCCCCGATACATCTTCCAAGACTAACCTTATCAGCCTTTGGGGTAAGAAGAGAAAGCTTACCGTTCAACAAACTCTTGAGAAGAACCTTCTTCGCTGGGTTATTAGCAGCAAGCAACCATTCACAGTTATTGAACCGCCGGCATTTCAGCAATTACTCAAAGACATACCAGGTGTTTCGCTTCCTTTTACCTCTCGCCATACACTTCGAGAGCGTCTTTTGGAAGATTTCAACCTACATCGCATGAGGTTGAAAAATGAGCTTGCAACTACATGTCAAACAATCGCTCTGTCCCTTGACGTGTGGACTAGCAAAAACCATATTCCAATTCTTGGTGTCATTGGCCATTGGCTTACAGAAGAATTTGAATATCGAGAGAGAGTCCTTGAATTCAAAGAGCTCCATGGCCCCCATAGCGGAGAAAACTTAGCCGCGGCTATTCAAGCTCTGCTTATTGAATTGAACCTTGAACGCAAGCTTCTTTCAATTACTGGCGACAATGCTAGTAACAATGAGCGGATGGCAGTACAACCATTCGATAATCTCCAGAAGACATATGGGACCGATTCCCTCTTCTGTGGCTTGGATAGTTACATACGATGCCTAGCTCATATCATCAACCTTATTGTGAAGGATATCCTACAGGCTCTTAAATCAGGGAGTGCAGAAGAAGCTGCTTCTATCTGCAACAACCTCGACAAAGGAGAACACCAGCCGTGTGAGTTTCAGTCTCTCGGACCATTGGCAAAACTTCGAATCCTAGCTTTGTGGATTCAACGGAGTCCACAACGGAGACAATCATGGAATGAGACTTGCGACCGCATGAACCTATCTAATAAGTTCATCGAATATGATGTCGATACACGGTGGAATTCAACCTTTCGTATGCTAGGGGATGCTCTAAAGGTGAAAACTCTTCATTTGAAATTTACTATACTCTAATACCCTCTCTATAGTCAAAGCGTCAGCTTGAGAAGTTCATCTACTATGAGACCAGCTTTATTTCTTTCTCAGCGGAAGACTGGATACGACTTACCCATATTCACAATGTTCTTTCAAAATTCAAGGAATTTACCTTGTTTGTCTCAGAGAAAAAGCCGCAGATTAGTCTTGTGTTACCAATATACTACGAGCTCCACGATTTATTGCATGACGTGGCTGAGCGTAAGGACGACTTTGCAGATCTTGCCGAGGATATCGCAAGAGCCGTTGAGGGAAGTATCAAGAAGTATATGAAGTATTACACCTTCATGGATGCCTCTGATCTATACTATACTGCACTTGTCTTGGACCCTCGTGTGAAAGGAGCTCTCCTCCTAAATGAACTGGGCGAGGAAAACGCCGGGAGGAACATCCTCCAAGCTCTCCGTGATGACCTCCACCGCAGATATCCTGGGACTACTGAGCCCCTGGGTATGACAGAGCTACTCGAGCCTAGTTATAAAAAGCAAAAAGTGGGTAGCCGGATGTTACAAAGACTACAGTCTCAAGATAGTCCTCGATTCTCTGACATTGATCGGTATTTTGATAGCGCTCGGGCTGAAGTAAGTGATATGGAGGATCAAAACTGGCTGTGCGATTGGTGGAAGGTGCATAAAAAGGAATACCCTCGGATGGCTGCTGCTGCCAGGGATTACCTAGCAATCCCGGCTTCTGAAGTCTCAGTCGAGAGACTATTCAATAAAGGAAGAGATGTGCTTGGTGTACGACGATTCTCTATGAAGGGAGAGACGTTGAGAATCTTAATGCTGTTAGATGATGTATATAATTGATGTAATTATTTGACAATGCAGAGATGTGCATAGTCCTATTCATGCCAAACGGAAACCCCGACACCAGCACAGTATATATATATATTGTAGTGGGGAATATGTGAGAGACGTCAAGTAGCGGTGTGACATAAGATAGGGTATACGCAATGTATTTAGTGCTGGCCTTCGCATAGAAAGCAATCCAGACACCTCTTTCTCTTCAAAATAACCTCTAGGTGTTCTCTCTCTATTACCTACTACCCCCAGTGGCCGTTCCTGGTTCGCAGACAGGACTGGCCGGGGCTGTCGCCCCCTCTTTCAATATATATATATGTATGCATGACCAATGTAGAGCATTAGCGTCACTTCCTATAGGTTGTCCTGCTAGTGCAGCGGTTAAGTCAAGAACTGGATTTGCACAGAGAAAAGAGGGGATACAGTGCAGAATCAAATGACGTATTGTTGGTCTTTATGGGTGAAATATGAGAATTAGCAAGCGGTAGAGATATTCGAGACGTGTGTCATTTGAAAAAGACTGCCGATAATTATCTTATCGGCGAATATTCGCGAATATCTTATCGGCGAACTTTCAAGATAGCCGATACGATATGCGATAATTATCGGAAAGACCCTAGAGTTGCCGATACGATAACCGATATGGCTGATTCTTGCGAATATCGTATCTTCAACAGCCCTAGTGGCGAGTTCCATCCGCCAATACCGTTCTTCAAGTTCATTCCAGAGGTCGCGAGATATTTCGAGTCCCGCAACATGAATGCTGATGTGGGGGGACAGGTAACGGAAGATAGTATGGTAGGCCTCGGCTTCGCGGCGCGACCATTCACGGTGGCGCTCGAACGCCTGGACCTCCAATTCGAGGCGCGCTTCGACGGCTCGCTGCCTGACCGCCCCGCTGAGGTGGGGCTCCACTATTCCGCCGTAATAGGTTTGGCGTACTTGAACAGACAGTCGGGACGTTGGAGATCGCCCGACACGACATCCCAGACCTCGCTTTTAGGTAGGAGATCATGAGACGTTTCCAGGTTGCAAAGTTATCGCTTCCTTCCCGTCAAAGGCTCAATGGCCGTAACGGCTCGGTCGGGCGAACCATGGACCAGAGCAGACATAGTTATGATTGCGAAAGCGGGGTAGATATATCATCAATTTCGCTGTTGATGAATCTCAGATGAGTAGAGACGGCACCCGAGATTTTGCTTCCGGGCTCATCACCTATTGTAATTGAGAGGCATGATGTGTTATTGTTTACTCAAAGGGAAACATGAGGCTATATATACAAGGAGAAGATCAAATTGATTGCAAATCAACTTGGTTCTCACACCACCCGCTTGTGCAGTGATCTGTCTCTCCTCCGTCAACCGATCCACAGGCTTTTGCTCTTTCTTATGTCCTTACCCTTACTCAGTCCGCTTTCCCCCTCGTACCCTGCAATTTTCCACGGGCTCTTTTGAAAATAGTACGATAGGTGACGTAGAAGGCATTCATGCTCACGTTACGGCCGTAACTCAGAATAGCAAATAGCGTTGGTGGGCAACTTGGGCTGCTCAGGGTACCTCAGTTCAGGAGCAGAAATACAGATGTGTGCAATCGATGAATCAATCTGGGGCCGTCTGCATCAGAGACATGGGACTCAGAATTTTCAGTCGGTGAAACTCCGGATTAATTGGGCGATCCCAAACGCTGCGGCGCCGATGTTTTCTCAGTCACACTGTGTTGGGTTTGGTCTTACCGGGATGTGGGGCCGTTGTGTGTTCGGACAGAAGCCTGAAGGAGGGGCTCTGATAGTGACGTGGAAACAGAATTCGCCTCAGCTCTAGAAGGCCGTGCGCATTTCCAGAGGTCGGAACGTGCAAGCAACCCTGATACTCTAGGCAAAGAAGTCGACTTTTGTCCACTCCGAAGGAACAATCCAAGAACAAAAGGGCCAAGTCCAATCGCATTCATTTCTGGACCAATTTGCCTTTGCGGAGTCGTCTAATGGGGACCGATAGTCATACGAAGTTTGTCTGGCCAGCTCCCCATGTTTGTCTGAGTCGTTTGCTGAAAATTTCTAATTTTTTGCCAGTATGCAGTAGAAGCGGGAAGTGGTGGCTAGGGTTTTGGGATGATCCCAAATGCAAGGCCCGACTCATGCAGCTTGCACTTCGAAAAAATTGGAATCAAGTCGCGCTTTGACCGTAATTTGGGACATAGAAGCAACTGCTAGCAGAATTCGGAGTTTGCGCCGACCGACTCCGTGGATTATGATGTCTTTGAAAACCGCGATACGCTGGCAGCCACGACCTATGACAGTCTCCAGAGATGAAGTCAATGATCCACGGAGTTCTTTCCAAAATTCTTGGCCATGATCGTCACTCAGAGAAATATTGAGCCCAAAACTCGCGTCTGTTTGTAGCATTTCTTCAGAGCCTGGAAATGTCACTTTGACGATTATAGTGAAAGGATTTCCTTGCCACACTCGAGACGGGGGTTCACATTCGAAAGAAATGATTGGATCGTATGAGACAAATCGTGACATTCCCGCTCCACTCGAAATCATGGGATCTTCTCTCGACATGTTTGAGGGGATAGAATGCGCCTAAGCTCTCGTTGTAGGTCATCGAGAAAGAAATTGCTGGTTCACCTCTCGCTTTATATATTGGCGTGACTCTGTTTCGCATGTCCATTCCAAGTTTTTAGAGTTCTGCCTTGCTGTAAGTCTGATCATGAACGTACTATTGCCCCACCGTTCGAATCAGCCACTATGGCAATCATGTCGCAGATCTTTGCATTCAAGGTACCTTTTTCCATCCCGGGGTTTGCTTGTTACTCTCTGCTTTTCATCTGTGGATGTTCTCTCAAGTATTTTACAAGGGAAGTGACCAAACCAGACTTTGAAGGGGTACAGAGGCTGCCCTATATATGGCCTGAGTATTAATCCTTATGCACAGCTCAAGTTTTAGCATCGGTAGAACTGGTTGGGGAGAGTAAGAATTGTTGAGGGATAGATCTCGTCATAGTACAATGGACATGGATGGCATGGCGTTTAATTGGTGAGTGCTCATCCCAAGAGTATCAAGGAGTTGGGTATACTCAGGCCCGTCCACACTAATCAATTCATGCATGTTAAGGTTAAACCCACAGTTTCTGAATATCGAGACTTTGCTCAGCCATACAAACCCTGTTGTCAGCTTTCGGAGGCCTATGCTGTTCTGCGCTGAGATTGAAGCTTTTGCGATGTCAGATTGTTTTCCCGTGAGATTAACATCACTGACATTGGCCCATGGCAAATACAGGCACAGATTTGTCGATGCGAAAGCTATTGCAGCGAGAAAGGATAACCCAGACAAGTCGAATATACATTTGCAGTGGCTATTGTTATAATATGAGGCTGGTGGAGGGCTGGAACAAAAGCCACACTTTCTGGATTGGTTTCCGGGGTGACTAGAAAACGTAGCAGGTTGCTCTAGAGCCAGCTCGGCCATCCCATCATACAGTATATAAACATCACTGGCGCAAGGATATCCAGTGAACTACGGGAAATGCCTGCGTGTCTCTGACAGAATATTAAAAGCGTACTAAGCGAGGCAAGCAAAGTAGCCGCGCATCACGTCGAGATACAAACCAAGGACGGCGACACAAAACTCGAGGGCGATGAGATCGAAGGCACAAATTTTCAAGCAAAAACTGTCAATTGGTACCTGTGTAATCATGGCCTGTTCGAGCGAGTATCTTCGGAGTGCGTGGTTCTTCATTGACATTCTGATTTGAGATAGTCCTATGGAAGTAATTCCATGCTGATTTGGTAATTCTAAAATAATTACTTGCTGTGAAGGTGCTTTATAGTGAAGAAGGCAGTAGCATAAGTACAAGTCTAGAAAAAACCACACGCAAATAAAGTAATGAAATTTCAAAACAGCGTAACAGTAACAGAAGGGCAGTCCACAATAAACACATTACTTATTCAACACCTTCAGCTGATCAACTAGTGACCATGTGCCAATCAATTCTTGTTACATCTAACAGATATTGCATTTGCAGCATCGGATCCGCTGCGTCGTGTTCATAGGCTTTGCGTGGACGTAATTGTGGTTCTGGGCAGCCTTTCATGTACAGCGTCAGAAATACTATTTTGCCAAATGACCGGACTGATCGAGTATAGGTTTCTTCATTGCTTCATAGGCGAGATTCCGAGAAGTCATCACGGCTTCCATGAACCGGTCTGCCACATCCTGGTCAAAAATATCTTCTGCATACTTAACGATATCGGGGGAAGTAGTGACACGCAGAACATTGTTTTCGTCAAGATAGACCATAGCAAAAGTTTGTGCCATCACCTCCGAGCCCCGTAACTTCAGCAACAGGCTACCATTCGAACTCGCCATTGAAGCGCGCTTATAATCGGTTCTGTACAGGCGGACTCTTCCGAACGCAAACCGTCACTTCAGTTCGAGTTCATGAACAGACTATCGATGTGCTAACGTCAGTATGCCACATCAAAGTAGCCTAAAACCGCATGATGGGTCATATACCTGACGAGTTCCAAGGATCAGATTGCAGCACTCTCCATTGAAGGCGGATGGATAATCTGTGGCGCTCGAACATTCACGAGAAAAAAATTGCCGCCATTCTCCGTATTTCCAATTCGGTCTCCTAGCAGGCAAGGAATGACATGTCACATCGATAGGCAAGTCTAATCAACCTAGCCCTCATGGTGAGACACTAGCATTACTATTCAATGTGATGGGCGAATGAGATGACAGTTACTACATTACTCGCGGTCATCAATGGCTTCGTCCTATAATATGGATGAAAGATGTGACATATTTCTGATGGTTCAAACCAATGACAAGGCTTCTTTCGACAGTTGCAACTTATTATACGCTTTCTGCAAGACAGATGATAGAATTGACAATGAGCTCACACTAGGCATGATTGGTGTGTCTTTATGTCAGGTTCGGTTAGGCGTCGGCAGTAGTTCTATTGGTTTCGGTTCCAGGTTCCCTCGAGCAAGTTGAGAAGCGATCTGCGTTGACCGACATGAAACGGACGCAAAAATGGGATGAACAGGGCAATAGTAATGATGGTTGTTATGGCGCATTGAGCTAGCTCGTATCACACGAGCCCACATGAGTCTGTCAATGCAGGAATGAAAAGGTCTTGTTAAAGAGCTCGACCGATAAGACTCAACCCAGGACGTAGATCTTCACTGCTTTATACACATGTTGTCAATGGTGTTGTCAGAATTATCCATGCGCCATAGATAATAAGCGAAGAATACAGCGGGAGGGGGGATTTAGCTTCATTTGGTCCTTGCTATGCATTTATATATAAAGTTCTTATTTTTGTACGCACCAGACGCTCCCAGTGAGACTATGGATGGTACATGTAATTCCCGACCCAGTGGCGCACCCCAAGACGCTATACTAAATGCGATAAATTACAACTGCATATATATAAAAACAGTGGCTATTTATACAGTCCAGTGAATAGTACCTCATCAATTAAGTCTACCCAGGTCAAGAATAGGGTCTCAAGGAGTTTTCGACTTGGTGAATGTCTGATATATATATATTCTCAGTTATCAACATCTAATCTAATAAAATCATCTTCTATTTAGCCTAGAGCCAGAACATACTGCTCTACATAATAAGAACGCCTATTAGGCTAAGGAAGATGTCAATATATTTATGGCTGTGGAGATATACTCAAAATTTATAATTTTCGCATTAAACATGGTGATTTGGGGTGCGCCCCTTCGGGAATTACGTTACGAAGCAGTAAGTTGATCCCAAAAACAACTTGACACTCTGGCTATATGATAGGCTCTACATTTTATTTGGAATGAAAAAAGAATTGGCATTTTTTGCCACACTATCAAAATATCCAGGTGGCGGTACATAGTGCTCGGTGGCCTAGTCCACTGCTTACTGGATGGGTGCGTTGTTTGGCGTTGATGGTAAAAGGCTCTTTTATTTCACCATTTGAGTCGAGTTCGGCTGTTGCATAGCCGGTGCTCGAGTCGGCGCTAGTGATTGAGGACAATAGTTTCGGCTGTGAGGATCGTACGGTAATGGTCTCGCTCCCAATAGGGGAAAATGATCTTTGTGGTATGCCTTACGCTAATTGTCGGCGACCATTCCTATTTCGGAGTATTTCCGAAAGCATAAGTTCCGTAAACTATTTTTTCAGTTATTAGCCATGCCAGCCTCTATATGCCATTGGCCAGCAGGAATTCTAGCTGATTGAATCCCGACTCCGCACATCATTGCTTCTGACCCGCCGTTGCCCACTGTTTTCTTTCGGGAATTCTTTCAACTTTAATCTTCTCGCTCCTAATCTTTATATTAAAATCTTGGCTGTATCGTAATACTTGAGCGGGGATGACACATTTCATTGCGGACGCTAAAGACGAACGTTTCCGGATCAATATCATTTCAGCCATGTCGTATGTTTATGATGAGGCGGCAGTAAAGAATAGTAGCCGGAATATTGAAAATGCACGTACCGCTCATCCCATCAAGTCACGCCCGCTTTCCACTCGACTGGATACTGAATTTCGGTAAATTACTGTCCAAAATTGCCGATTCCTTCCATTCGCCCGATAACATTGGTCGAGGGAAGCTTTTCTTCGAGGGAGATTAAGTTCGAACTACGTCAGATTCATATCAATGAAAATCCTTGACAGTTGAGAACGTTGCGAAATTTCCTGATAGTCAGAGCCAACTACCTCTTCCTTTCATAACCCAGTAGGCAAAGTAAGCCGTACACTTCTTGATTCCACGATGGATCGCAAGTTAGTCTTGTGGCCCAATCATGGCATGTATTCAATTAAGCCAGCATCTAGGTTCGTGCCAATATTATCATTGCGTACTCGGTGGCAAATCCAGGTCTCATTGATATAGTATATACAAGTTTTCGGATTTTCCCCGTGGTCTGTGGACCGGGGCTGTTTCCTGAAACGTATTAAATACCTCAACTTCAAAAGTTCGGCATAATAAGGTTTACGCAATTTGATGCAAACAACTGGCTGTGCAAAATGACCTTCTAGGATCCGTACAATATTTAAAAAGGCTATTCTCGGTGCGTTACATTCAAGTTGCCTATTTTTTTCTTTGGAAAAATCTCAACGATTCAATATATTTGTCGACTGAGTCTTTATTGCCGGGAAATGAGCTAGCCTTTTTTTTTTACCCATGTCGAGCGTTAGGGTTCGAAGTGTACCTGGCTTTTCGAATATCTCACTTTGTTTCTTTGCGTACTAATCAGATGGAGAAGCAAGTACGGGCCGACAAAGCACAAAGAAAACTGGGATATCAGCGTGCGTCCATTGCTTGCGGTCAGTTCATATACAAAACTCAAATGCATACTCTAATAGTAAATAGTGCATTGTCGAAGACGAAAAATCAGGTGTGTTCTAGAAACAACAGAACCTTCAGGAAGATGCAATTCTTGCGTCCGACTGCAGAAGGATTGCCAATTTTGCTCGTCTGATCAACAGCAGACAGTAGAGCAAGTTTCCAGTTCTAAAATGGCTCTTGAGAATCAGCGAATAAGACACACATTCTCAATGACGGATCCTTCTCCGCAAGAGATTTTGCCGACTACTCATATGGGTGTGTTAAATGGGTCGGATAGTAAAGCTGAATTCTCTTTGAATGCTCATGCGAATTCCATACCGCAGCCTACATCTCACTGGATCCCGACTCAATCGATATCTACAACCAGTAAGTTTCCATTATGGCGACGCGCCAGTGGAACTCCCGGCTGATTTTCAATGAGGTACCGATCGAGTTGCCGACAGCCAGCCACCGTCATGGCAGGAATGTGATTCGCTAACTCGGACCTGGACTTGTGAGAGCGGTGAAGTAACCGGCCAAGTAACAAACGATACGAGGTATGATTATATTAATAACACTTCCGCATATTCCGGCCACATTGAGTCTGAATATATGGTAAAATATTTTCCTTGATTATGGCCTGGAAGTACATATGTATGGTCAACGAGTGTGCGCGAAGATTTGCCTTCGTACTTTCTTTGAAAGGTTGTCCACAGATAACAAGAAAGCCTGATTTACAATAACACAACGTACAATGATTTGCTGCAGAAGCAGTAATGTATCGATGTAAAGTGGAACTCTACTATTTAGCCTAAAAGCTAAAAGTCAACACCAACAATCAAGAGATGGGCGAGTTAAAGTTCAAAGATATTCTCTAGCGCTGAACGCGTGGATACGTCGAGTCCGGCTCCTGGGAGCAATAAAGAAACACCGCGAACCGTTCCTTCCACCGAAGAACATTGGCCATGTGCAATATTGCAAGTAATCGCTTCTATGTCCATGCCCTTGTAGATGGAATGCTCTATAAGGGTATAAGCAGAGAAAAACGCAGCCATGAAGCTACGAACTATGAAAAAGAAAAGCCAGCGCAGCCAGCAAATGTGTTTTCGGTGTGGAGAGGCTAGAAGAGCTAGGCTCGATTCGCTATCAGTGAGTTTTTAGTAGAGCAGGATAGAATCATTTGGTGGCATAGGGCTGCCATGTCACTAATGTGGTTCAGTTTTCCGCTGTTCAGTTAAGGGACCAAAAAGCCGCCCTAAGGATCTCCAAGTATGGTTTGTAATTATGGCACATAATCTGTACCACTGCAATAAGAGAATGGACTACGGGAGGATGGGGAAGACAAACTGTCGGATCTAGGGGACTTGCGTATGAGCTAGTATTCGAGTATGCCTGAAGGACGGTGAATTATTGTCTGGTTAAAGAAAGTATCCGAGCTTGTCAGAGGGAACGTTGTATACACTGGCCTTAGAGAGGCTGAGTGGTAAAGCTAAGGATTCTCTCAGCACCAGGCCTTCAATGGCATTGTCTAATTCTCGCTCGAAAATCTAGAGTCTACATAACACCTGGTAAGGAAAGAAGCTACATCAAAAATGGTCATCGTCATATCTGGGGTGACTGAAGAGAGTGAAGAATGTTCCAATAATTTGCAGCGAGAGTACCATCATAATGACTGTTCTACCACCAATGAATGAATCGTCTCCGTAGAAGACTATGAGTAAGTCATTTTCTGCAACCCCCCCCCCCAGCTGTGTATCCGGTTAACAAATAACAAATAGGGAAAAGGCAACATGAAGACCACAGGACACATACGGGTAGCCACGAAGACGGGATCATAAGCTCGATTCTCATTCCTCACTTCGTATCGATGTGTATGTATGCTTCGAGACCTTACGTTCTCGCCTGTTCGCCCGCATGCATACGAAGGCTAACCAACGCCAGCTTTAGGCGACGTGGTTAACTAAGCGGAGGTATGGCTTTTCTTTGCATTGTCATACCTTGTGACACATCAGTGAATGGCATTCAAACGCGTCGTGTCCTTCTTTAATTGCTTTCTGTTTATTAAAATACAGTGTTAGTTTCAAATAACTACATGAAATTTCAATAAAATCGCTGAACGATACGTTGAGTAATCAAAAAGCTGTAGATGCTGGAAATTATGGGATGAAACCTCATATTTATGCACCTTCTTTAGGTGGACCGCCATTCATTCATGCAAAAGAGGGCAGAGTCAGGTCAAAGGTCCAGATTTTAAATTCAGGTGAGGAACTTGGCGAAGTCCAATTGATATCGTTTTGGGTATTCTGGGTATTTTCTGATTCCGTATTATTTCGCAGGTGCAGTGTGCTGTGAGAAACTTTTTTTTTCTTTTCTTTGTTTTTTTTTTTTTTTTTTTTTTTGGTGGGCCCGCCGCATCTAGTTACCTCGATTTTCACATGCTGGCCATCAAACGATGTCTGCTTCAATTAAACAGACACAGAAATAACAGAGATGACGGCCAGAAATATATCCTCCATCAGCTTATCGGGTTCTTAGTCGACTTTTTGGTTTCATTTTTGATTTTTGATTTCTGACTTCTTATTTTCCCTTACGGCGCTTATGACTACTCCACAGATGGGTATAAGCTTCGTGGCCTGCTTATTTTACATGAACTTCAAAAGGCTTATTTGATTTGCTTCTTGATATTAAAAGGATCAAAAATCACTTTGATAATTCTAATAATTTATCAGAGTTTGAGAGTCTCAAGGGTGCGCAATTCCAATTCCATACCAGCACGGACTCTCTACCAACCTCAAACTGCCCACGTGGATCGTAAAATTAAATTGTGGGTGGGGCAAGTCGAACTAGTCGGATACGATGGCCTACCAAATCTAAGTAAGTCTCATCACTCGATCTTTTTCATGTTGAAGCCGGATTCGCGTTTAGTAAAAACAGGGAAATTGAGGTTTAAGTGGCTTTGATTGGTGCCCTTCTAGTGGACGGGATTGCGTGTGGCGGTGTTCCCCGCATTCCATTTACGCTTGTCGCATATCCCAAAACCTGGTCTCATTCCCTTTCAGGCAAACTGTCGCACCTTAGTTAATTGGTCGCACTGAGACGTGTGACTATCCAACATCTCCCATTTCTCCTTGTCAGGATGTTGTACCAATGTACTAGCTAGCACTGAGAATAATGAGACGATTGGCCAAGGGTGCAGAGCTCAGTTAAGCTACCTTCCGGATTTGTATGTTCGAAATTCTGTATGTTACGACATGGTCCCGACTCATCCATCCAGAATACCGTACAATTAATGGATGAAGGCCGACCTGGAGGATTAGCGTGGTATTCAACCCTCTAGATCCACTTCTAAATTACGTCAACGTCCTTATTTACAAGGATCGCAAGATTTAATTTGTATTCATTGACTTACCTTCCAAAGAGGTTTTAGCAGCCACTCGTGCGTTGACTTAAGCATTCATCTCCCCGAAAATTCTTAAACTGTTTCATAAATTACCCTTCTTCTTCCCCTCGTGCATTGCAACTCTCTATCTAACAGTTTCCACGGAGCTTTCGCTAGTCATTCGTCTAGTGAACGACTGTCGTCGCATGGCTCCAACCAGCAACTACGGCCGATGCTTCAACTGCAGTTGGGAAAGCTGCGGCAAGGTAAGGATCCTGTTGATCCTAGTGAAAATCTCGCGAATGCGCATGAACTCGTCTAAACCTTCAGACTTTCAACCGGAAGTCGGATCTCAGCCGTCATTTCCGTATACATACCAACGAACGCCCTTACCATTGCACTGCGAAAGGGTGTAGCAAAAGGTTTATCCAGCGCAGTGCCTTGAAAGTGCATTGGCGGGTTCATACTGGCGAAAAGCCGCATGTCTGTGGTCATTTCAGATGCCAAAAAGCATTTTCCGACGTAATGGTCTACCGCATAGTTCTTCATCGATGAACGCACTGACACAATCAATAGTCTTCCAGCCTTTCCCGACATCGGAGAGTTCACACAGGTGAGCGTCCTTATATTTGTCAAGAACCTGCATGCGGACGAAGGTCAGAAATGTGAAATGACCATGACAACAACATGTCTAAATATGAGGAATCTGTAGTTTTTGTCGAAAAGCCACGCTCACGAAACACCGACATAATTTTCATCCGACAAGATCCCCAACTGGACTACTATCCGTAGCGTATGAGCGCACTGACGACTTATGTCAACATCCAATTTCTATAAAGAGCTCTACCATTGACAATCAGTATTCGTTTGCAGCGCAAATAGATCCATCAAAGCCCCGATCTTTCAATGGTGTTACCTACTCACCCCAGAGTGCCAACATAAGTTCCGTGGCAACCCAAGACCACAACTCTGCTCCGATCATCAACCAAAATCTGCTTGGCACATTACCGATATATACGGATGCTTCGCAACATCGATATCTACAATACCAATACCTACAGCACCAATACCTACAGCATCAATATCTACAGCAGTACTCATCCGAGCACATTCATCAAGGCTATCAAGGCTCGAACGGTTGACTCACCCAGAGAGAGCTGCGGTCATAGTGGTAATTTATCGCGCGCTATCAAGGAGCCACTTGGCTACTGCTTCTTTAGTTGTCAAGAAATTAAGTGGCGGCCCAAACAAGACAACGTTGGATACATTCATGTCGGCTTCCCAGCACGTCTGATGATATGGATGCCGTTACTGTAGCACATCAGAAATTAGAGGCAGCCAGAAACTTCATTCCACTATGTACCTTCGTTTCCTCTCAGTTATTGCCTACCTCTCCAAGGCCACCGGCATATTTTGAGTGACAATGCATTGATGGGGTAAGAATCCGGTCAGACATCCAAATAATGCCACGTTGGCTCCCCTCTGGGAAGAATACATTAGCAGATGCACTCTCCCGTAATGAATTCCAAGATATTGCTAACATCTGTCCGCACTGGCAGGAACTCTCGGTATTGAACCGCCCGCGTGGTTCTCTTCACGAACTTCTCAGCTCAATACAGGCCACCTAAACTGCTCTGGAACGGACTCAGCGCTAACACGCGTTCCACCTACCTCTCAGTTCAACGCAGTTACGAAAAGCACTGTGCGCTACAAAATCTGTCGGCATGGCCAGCCTCAAAACAATCCTTGATCTCATGGCTTACCTCACGACTCCTTGGCAACGCTAGTCAAAAAGCCGTCAAGCCTGACACCGCGGTCGCTGATCTAGCCGCTCTCCGAGCCTACCATATCGATAACTTCCTCGACGATAAACCTTTTGATAATAAGCACTTTCGACGCCTCATAGACGGTGCGAGAAGACTCAGCCCTATATCTAAAGTTCGAGTCAGAAAGTCAGTTTCGCGTGACGCCATTATGAAACTATCTGCAGGACTAGCCATACTCCCGTCACAGCCTCTGGAGATGACTGCAAATCTTCTGGACGACTTGAACTTCGCAACCGCCTGCCGGGTAGCATTTGCTGGGTTTCCCCGCCTCGGAGAATTCACCTACAAAACTGAAGACCTTAACCAACGTTCAATCTTCTTAGCCACAAAGCTAACGCGCTCTGATGTCCGATTCTCATCCTCGCTAAACCACGCGCAACTGACACTCAAGCGCAGTAAGACAGACCGCCGTCACGAAGGAGTACAAATTATACTTGCAAAGACTGGAGACAGAGCGTGCCCAGTTGGCGCACTTCAGAAGCTGCTGCTCCTTGACCCCCGAGGCCCTGACGCCCCATTGTTCTCCTTCCACAGAAGACCATTTAGTCGCAACAACTTTCTCGCTACCTTATCTACTAAACTGAAGGCGCTCGGTATACAGACAGAGGGCTATTCGGGCCACAGCTTTCGGAAGGGCGCAGCTCAACATGCGCACGATAGTGGGATACTCGACGACCAGATTCAGGTGCTAGGGAGGTCGACCTCGGAGGCATTCAGAGTATACTTTACGACGAATGCATCAGTTCTGTACAGGCTCAACCACCAGTTCCAGACAGGGTCGCCGGCCCCGCTATCCCTGCTACTTCCACCACCGTCCCCTCCACCATCCTAGTTTGGCCCGGGTCATTTGGGCCCTATCTGACGCTTCTGGTCTAAGACCGCAGCGCCAGGTGACCCGTTACGGCCAAACCATAATCTCTCTCCTTCTTCATCTTGACTGCGCGAGGTCACCAATAAAGGCTAGTTATTCCGTGGGTAGGTTCGTTCACCACTCAACTGTTCATTCACGTCTACTGCTCACTGGTCAACTGTCTATTCACGACTCCGCTGTTCATTTACCAGTCCACTGTTCATTCACTGGTCAACTGCTCACCAGTGAAGTGTCTATCTACCACTCAACTGTTCGTTTACCATTCCACTGTTCATTCACTGGTCAACTGTTCACCGGTGAAGTGTCTATCCACCACTCAATTGTTTGCTCACTACTCAAATGATCGTTCACTAACCAATCGTTCACTCGTCACTTAACTGTTCGTTATTTGCTTAACGGTTCCTTCTCTGCAGAACTACCATCGCGCCATAATGTGTGCAGGTGCATCTAACAGGTAAAGATGTCAAGTTGGAGAGGAGTAGTTTACCACTATTCCTCTCTAGGACTAGTGTATACAGCGCCCGCCCGCATTTTCCATGTATTCCCCCTGAAAAGCAGAGATAGTTCTTCAACCAGACATCAATTCACAACCCTTATGATTGGATCGAATCGTACTAGCTCATACGCGTCCGCGCCAGTCAGACAAAAGACTGTGTAGGGGGTGAGGTGGCGGTTCAACCTCCAGACCGCTTTCACCGCTCAGTGATCAACGGAGCAAGTTGTCTTCACACAACCACCACCATCAACTTCAAGGACGGCTTACGTTCGCTCACCGTTGTCACTCACCGTTGTCACTCACCGTCGTCACTCACCATCAACACTCACGTCAACACTCACTACCATGCTCATCAACACACATTTATGTTCGTTCTACGCCTCCATGGCACACGCATTCTATTGCGGCGAGAGGGCTGTCGGACCGCATACTATCAAAGAGAGTTGGTAATACGGCATCCGATAGCGGAAAAATTCAGTCTGAAATTGTGCGATTCTGGTGATTGATTTGTATCTATCTAGGGATCGTCCTATCCTTCGGAATATGAACAAGATGAAGATGTTGCGCAGGTCTTCGCTTCTTCGGATATGTTCGGAATACTCGAAAACTGGTCCCTAGCACCACGGAGAGGTGCCTGCGCGTCGCAAGAGGCATTATTATCGCAGCAATCCCCTGCGGAGCGCACGTTTACAACACAGGGCTCGTTGCTGTGAGGGAGCGCAGGTCTTACATCGAGGGGCTCGTGGCAGCGACAGCCGTGGCCACGGAGATTCAAGCCTGCAGGCAAGAGATGGGAATTTCTGCCAAACGACGCACCTCTGAGTGACCCGCCGCCGGCCTTATTTTGCCAAGAGGGACCGCCATTTCGTTCCATGCAAGGCGACCATCTAGACTCTTCATTTTCTGCGGTGGGTTACATCGGCAACTGTACCAGAACTGGTGAACAGACATTGAATCCATTAACTTAAACGCTACGGTAATTAAATCGCGCAATGCGTCAAGTTGAGCTAAACGGGTTATTGCAAAGTGTTGAAAGAGGGCTCAACGCATTGGCCATGAACATACAATCACCGCGCCTACAGTGATTAAACCAGAGCATGCGATGTGTATGTTGAGGAAAGCGCACTAAAATTAACGGCGTGCATAGACCATTCCTCGTCCTCAGCGAAGCAACTAATGAGATTAGCCTTGTTGAGATGTTGATACTCGATCGTCAACAGAGTATGAAAAATTTCAACTTGAGCGAGAATGGTAACAAGGCTGGGGAGAATAGCTTTTGCAAACGCCAACTGCAGACTTCCCGCTCACTCCTATTTTTTGCACCAACTCTGCATCAAGGCCGAATGTCTATAGTCCAACTCAGTGACCACGCAAGCTGATAACATCCGATCATTTCCTCCGCTAAACCACAATTAAGCCCCCGATGCAGCATGCGCTGTCCCTATCATCCTATTTGGCGATCCCCAAAATCCCTATAGTCCGACAGAAGACACCGCAAAGGACGAGATTTCTCATGAGATAATCCTGCATCCCCCGAGATGAGGCAGCCCGATGGGCAGTGTTAAGGAAGATGCTCCGCACGACTGACCTCGGGGCCAAGATGTGAAGAGAAGCAGTGGCACTCCGGAAAAGTGATACATTGAGAACTGCAACATGGTCATTTCGCAATCCACCGCAGAGTGCATATCAAGAGTCTTGGCTGCGAGCGAGATTTAGCCTGTATGCTAATTAATTTATCAGACTAGACGATCGAATGAACGCGTGTCCTCGAGTCACCGACACTGCCGACACCATCTAGAATTATGCAGGAATTTAGTCAAACAAGCTCGTAGAATATAATTAGTGGCGACCTGGAGGGACTACTACTGACCAGTAACTGTGGAGATGATAGCGAAATTAAAAATGGCTACGACGGAGGGAGAAGGACCGGATGAGCGCCTCAGTGATAATTCCCATTAGGATCAGATTATTGTAATGGATTTCACATCTCTACTAAATTTGTCTCACTTATCTCAGCCATACCTTCATTAAAGACTCTGAGGCGCTAGCGGTTCATTTCCGGTGAGCCGTCTATTTTCCAGAAGAGCAGCCCAATCTTCCATATATGCAAAAATTCAAAGTTGAAAAGTCGAAAAGCCGGTACATCTCGACACTAAAACGTCGCCACTTGCCATTGCATACAAAGTCAACACATACTCTGCTCACTGACAGTGCACTAAGGCGATACCTAATCGTGCTATTCAAAGCGCCCAATCCTCTTGGTTAATCCTCTTGGTTAATCCTCCTAGTCAGAAGGCTTCGTAGAGCGCAGAGAAATCGGAACAGCACCGTCTTCGTCAGTCACGTTCCACAGCAATGAGTAGGTACCCTCGCTTTCAGAGACCTCGCGAATATGAAAGCTGGACGATATGTCATCATTGTCTGACTTGACCATCACCCATTGTCCATATAGGAAGAATGCATCAGTCGTCTCATTAGACAAAGTCTCGGAGGTAAAGCCCATTTGATGGTTGGAAGAGGATGAACTGGGAATGTAGAGGCATTCATCGGACCAGTCAGCCTTCGCTTTGGTGGTGCCGTTAGGGTTGCCAACCCATCCCTTAGAACAGTCTGCTGAGACTGAGGTATCATATTAGATTCTTGGTCTTGTTTGGCGAACACAATCAGGTTTGGCACTTACAGGTCACAGAGGAAGCAGTCGAGCTGGTAGAGTTGGTCGGGTCTCCAATAAATGCTTTTCCTAGCAGAGACCGTTAGCTGGGAGTCAAATATCGCCTTTGATACAATGGAAACATACCTTCGGAATAGAAAAGAGGGAGACCTCCGACTGAATCCCCGTAGGCATAAAGACCAAAGCCCTCATCGCTCTCATCCGTGCTGCGAGGGACGTCCGACGAGGCAGAAGCAGATGCACCAAGGCAAAGAATTGTCATAAAAATTCCAAGTTTGAACATGATGGAAAGTTGGTAACGAAAGATAAGAAAAATAAATGACACGGGAACACCTCTCAAGTGATCTTGTAAAGAGTCTATATAGAATGTATGTGGTGGGACTATGTACTCCGAGTCTAAGCTGTCGCATTTCAGTCAGATGTCGGGTTGGTAGCTTGTGGGTCTTCCAAGGTTATCCAGACAATGGCTGATCACATAGTAATCCATGCATCTAGGTGAACATCTAGATATCTGGTGTCTAGGAATTGTGGGTATGTGTGCGAGCGGGATCCACAATCGTAGGACGCGTAGTGGTTGACGTCTCTGCCGCTATGCGGGTGCCTGGTTCCAACTCTTGAACTTGGATCTTACGGAGTTCAAGTGATAGTGTTTCTTAGTACGGGTTTTATTTTGCACTAAGGCGAATTACCGATGCTAATCGTAGCTTTAATTATCCTAATTGCCGCGTAGGGCTCACCATCCGTAGAAGCATGGATCCTTATTACCCATCTACCGTGCACACTATTCTATTCATTTGGGTAGAATGGAAGAATAGAAGAACAACAAATTCAGTTGAGTAACTATAAAACTCAATATTCAAAAACAAAACAAAGCCAAATAAATTGATGGAGCAGGGAGTTCGTGATCACGCCACGCAATTCGCCACGCAATCTGATGGAATCTGCGAAGCAAACCCGCTCCACAAGCTAACTCTAGGACTTGCTACTCCGCTGAATAATCCGATTGTTTACAACTCCCATTATAATTAGGACTTCTTGGTGAATGTCTCAAAATAGACTCAAATATTTGGAGTGTCTCGGAGTGGAGTTCCACTCAAGGCTTACGATGCACTATGCGTGGAGTAGATCGTGCTCCAATTAAATGGCCTTTATTATGAACTACCCCAATATGTGGGCATGTCGGCTTACTCCCTTGTGAGGATGGCCAAGACTGTCGATCTTCATGACACGGATGAGATGGGATTAATCATGTGTGAGGCATATAGATTTATAAAGATGTGATATCCTACTAGGGCAAGAGACCATACGCCCACACCATTTCGCTCTTTCAATCCGAAAAATAGTCTATTGACTAGACTTGTCCATTCGTTTATGCATTGATATCTATATAATTTCTGGATCTGTGATACTGCGTCTCTACTAGTACGGCTACTGAGGCTCCAACATTGATTCACCATGAAGGTTCTTGGTGTGCTCCTAGCTCTTCTCGGGGTGTCATCTGCAGTATCCACACATAAAAGACACAAGAACCACCATATCAGACAAAAACGAGATGTCTGCTCCGGAAACTCAGCCGATGACAGACAAACTTGGTGCAACTACGATGTGTCTACCAATTACTACGAGGTCGTCCCCGAAACAGGCGTGACAAGAGAATATTATTTTGATATTCAGGAAGTCACCGTCGCCCCGGATGGCTATTCCCGCACAGCCATAGCCGTGAATGGATCTATTCCCGGTCCTACTATCCAGGCTGATTGGGGTGACCATGTCGTGGTGCATGTCACCAACAGCCTGGCATCAGCGAGGAACGGATCAAGTATCCATTTTCATGGAATTCGTCAGAACTACACAAATCCAAATGATGGCGTTGTTTCCATTACTCAGTGCCCGACTGCTCCGGGTACGATGACTACCTATAAGTGGAGAGCTACACAGTACGGAAGCTCATGGTATCATTCTCACATTGGGCTACAAGCCTGGGAGGGCGTTTTTGGTGGTATTCTGATCAATGGGCCAGCTACCGAGAACTATGATGTGGACAAGGGAATGCTGTTTTTGAATGATTGGAGCCACCGGACTGTTGATGAGCTCTACGAAAGTGCCCAGACGGATGGTCCGCCTACATTAGATAACGGCCTGATTAATGGAACTAATGTGTATGGCGCTGACAATTCGACGAGTCAAACTGGATATCGTTTCAACACTTCAGTCTCCGCTGGTACCTCTTATCGCTTTCGCTTGGTGAACGCCGCCATTGACACCATGTTCAAATTCATGATTGACAATCATACACTCACGGTAATCGCTATGGACTTCGTTCCTATCAAGCCTTTTAACACAACCGTCTTGAGCATCGCTATGGGTAAGGGTCCCTTTGCCTTCATTTCATGACCTCTGCTAATTCGGATTCATTCTTATACAGGCCAGCGATACGACGTCATCGTCAATGCAGACCAATCAGATGGAGGTGATAGTTTCTGGATACGTGCGATTCCCCAAGAAGCCTGTTCAGACAACGACAGTGTAGACAACATCAAGGGTATCATGTACTACGGCGATTCAATATCGACACCTACAACAAGCAAGTACAGCTATACCGACAATTGCGACGACATGGACATGTCCGATCTAGTCCCATATCTACAACAAAGCGCATCACTGCCATACTATAACTCGAGCGAGCCTGTAACACTGGGTGAGAACTCCGAGAATCTCTTCCGCTGGAAGATGAACGGCACTTCCATGCAAGTCTACTGGGACAATCCGACCCTCCTTCAAATTTGGAGTAACGACACATCATTTGCACAAGAAAGCGGGGTGATCGAGTTACCACGAGCGAACGAGTGGTCGTACGTTGTCATTGAAACAGCCCTTTCTGTTCCTCACCCTATTCACCTTCATGGACATGATTTTTTTATCCTAGCCCAAGGGACTGGTACATACAGTTCTTCAGATATAACGACCTTGACTAACCCTCCTCGCCGTGATGTGGCGATGCTCCCCGGATCGGGATACTTGGTCGTTGGCTTTAAGACTGATAATCCGGGCGCGTGGCTTATGCATTGCCATATTGGTTGGCACACTGAAGAGGGTTTTGCAATTCAGTTTTTGGAGAGATATGAGGAGGCTCGCGAACTGATCGACTATAGCTCCTTGCATTCTACTTGTAAGGCCTGGGACAAGTACGTGAATACGAGTGGTGTGGAGGAGGAAGACGACGGGATTTAAGATCCAGATAATCAACTTGAAGCACAGAGGTAAAAGGGCCGCCCCGTGCCAGTGCGCTAGCCAATTAATTCAGGCGTGATTAGTGCCTATGCCCAGAGAACATTGAATTGATTTACGCGTCTTCAAGTTTCTATTCCATCTTTCCTTTTCAACCTATCTGTCATCTGCCTTTCAATGTATATACTAGTCTCTTCAGTTTATCTTCATCATGCCGGAATATAGTATTTATTTATTTTCATTCTATATTCCTTTACGCAAACTTGAAGTTTGAAGTCTATAGCCCCCTAGGCGATGGTGATACGTAATAGGTGTCAGTTGAAAGATGAGCTCTTGATTCGGAAGAGCCGATTTTGACAGTATATGTCGGTTCCAAGTTTATTGTAGAAGGAAGTAGGATCCTAACATTGGAATAAAGACTGGACTCTTTCGTCTAGTTACCGACGATATTCAATAGAGATACCAGCGGCAGATACTTATCATCGACATTGATAGTTGTTAGTTCCAAGGTTGTTTATCGATTTTTTGGACTCAAGCGGCGATTATCTCCCGAGGTCGTGATCCCACCCCGGTATTAGCTTTACAAACGGAAGTTTAGTCGGGTGGTGATGATGGAGTCTGATGGATTTAAAGCGCGGTATTGTATCTGTGGACAAGATATTATATTCAGACTCAGGAACAGGCTGAAACTTGAGTATGTAGCAGAAAATCCCTGTAGTTGGGCTGTTGCATTCAAGGTTTTGGACTGATTTAAGATACGGACAAACAGACAAACACCAAGATGTAAGTAGGCAAAGGCATTTTCTTTACCTTGACACAGTCAAGTCCACAAAAGCATGCTAGGCTACCAACGTATTCAGATTGGTGAAATGAGAAAACTGATCTTCGCGTCTTCCCTTTCAATCCCATCCTCTTCACAGTCCCCATCCCATCTTGTTCTTCTCAGCACCTCATCCCTACTTTTCACACATTCCTTTTCATCTGATCTAATATGGCAGACTCAACTGCGGACCTCTCTTCAAGCCGAAACCCCCTGCGACCTCTCCTCGTCGCCCAATTGTTCCGATGAGAGCTTGTATGTGCTTCTCACTCTATTTGACTCAAAGTCCATTAGAGCTAACAAGGACCAAAAGTACGCCATCACGCTCCGCTGTGCGAGCCGTCCACATTCCCATCACAATTCCTGTAGCCAAAGCTGGAACAGAGCCGCAGCCACCTGGATACTTCGCAGAATACGTGATAAATCTGCTTTCTACCCTGGTGCGTGAAAGCGCAAGGCTCTGGAGATCATGCTTGAGATGCCGGCTTGTTGTGATATGAGGCTGGTGCAGATCAGGAATTGAGCCGCACCATCGGAATTAATTCCCGAGATATCTATATGTAGCATCAAGTTAATTGGAAATCAACTTAACCTTCTCGTTGTATATATAGCTTCATGTGTTCCCTCTGAAATAATAACAATCAACCTTCCAATCATCATCTTTAAAGGGAAAAAGTTCATACGTGGATGGGCGCAAGGGTCTTCAAAAGATTGGTATATAGAGCTCAGCGATAATGGATGGACTACGCATGAAATTGGGCTTCGCTGGCTGAAAAATGTCTTTGTTCCCTCGACTTTCTCGAGGACAAAGGGGAAATATCGACTCTTGGTTCTTGATGGTCATGGAAGTCATTTGACTCCAGAATTTGACCAAATCTGCTATCAAAACGATATTATTCCGATTTCTATGCCTGCGCACTCATCGCAACTTTTACAACCTCTTGATGTGGGTTGTTTTGCTGTTTTAAAGCGCGCGTATGGTCGACTTGTTGAAATACGGATGCGGAGAGGTTTTAACCATGTCGATAAGCTTGACTTCCTCGATTCATATCCAGACGCTCGTTTTCAAGAATTTAAACCAGAGATTATCAAAAGCAGCTTCACAGCAGCTGGTTTAGTCCCGCTTGATCCAGATCGAGTTATTTCTAAGCTCAATATTCAGCTTCGAACTCCAACACTAGCAACAAGTCGAGGAAGCGAATCGAGTCGAAATTTCACCCCTAAAACCCCTCGAACACTCAAGCAACTCCATCGACAAGCATCTTCAATTAAGAAGCTCTTAAATCAACTTTCAAAGAGCCCACAAAGCCCATCAAATCGTGCTTTAAACCAGCTTATTAAAGGTTGTGAAATCACAATGCAAAACGCGAAAATTCTTGCACAAGAAAACCATGATTTACGTGCTGCCAACGAGAAGCAGAAGCAGAAAAGGACTCGATCTAGACAGCATGAAGGTTTATATATAGCTGAGCTTGAACAATTGACTCAAATCGCTCCAAAACCTGATTCTCAACTTCAAAATATCGAGTCAACCAGTCAATCACAAGCTCAAGAATCACGACCTCGAGCTCCACCAACGTGCTCAGAATGCAATATTCGAGGTCATAAGAGAATACATTGTCCAAGTTTAGCTAAATAGCTCATATATTCAATATTACGTTGTTTTGGTTGAATTGAATTGATTTAAAATATCAAAATTTGATGGGGTGCGCAGCTCGCTTACCGATTATGTTAGCTCCTGTGACTAACTAGTTAGTTGTCTAACTAATAAATGAGGCACTGGCTTACTAACATACTAAACGAATTCGTCCGCAAGATTCAAGGATAGACTTCAGCTACTCTGTAGCCAGTTGATCAACCATTCCATTCCCAATTTAGCCTTCAGACAATAATCCGTGCATTAGTACCAGCTCATAACATTCGTATGGTGTTCCGAACTGCACAGCTGGCTTACATGCGCAGCTCGCTTACCCACTACGTTAACGTAGACACCGTAATTCACTAGCGAGCGAAACACCCTACCATACACTGTTTTTTGAAAACACTATATTTCCACCACAACACTAGATATTGTTTCATCCTATCTTCTTGGGCACCGGTTGATCCTATGCCCTATATTATTGCATCCAAAGCACCTGAAAACACGCTTAATGGTAGGCTCAGCGCCCTCAATAGTCTGTGGGGAAGCCTTATCTTGGTCGTGCTGAATAGATTCTACACATGTTGGCAATGCCTCATCTATAGATATAGCCTCGCCGACCTTAAAACTTGCTGCCTAGATATCTGCCCATCTGACCGTGTGCGCTTTTGACCCTTCTTCTCGTGAAATTGTCGTAAATCCTTAACTTCTTGTGCTAGAAGCGCTCCGCTATGCATCACCAGTTAGCATCCTTTAATCAATCGATCTAGTGCTCGCTCAGTAAGGCTTCCTGGCGATCGCGAGCGCTTGCGTAGTAGAGCTTTGATACATGATGCTTGCTAAGCAAGCTGCTTGATCGTATGTGCTGTAGTAAGCATGCGGGTCTGATAACAGAAGAGCTATAAATCCAGATAATATGTATGACTCTTGTTCTTACTGTCATACAGTGCCTTGCAAGTACGGCTTTACTGTACCTTGGAAAGTGCCTGTCGCTGTTTTTCATTGACTTTCGCGAATTGAACGGCAGGTATTCAGGGCCAAGGAGAATATCGGGCGTAGACATGGGAGACAAGCTGCAATCATACCGAGGTGTTAACAAAGAAAAGTGTGTGCCAGAGCTATAAGCTTACCTGAGATGATTACCATGTCCATTTCAACCGGGGTCCAAATCTGGATCTTGCGTGTAGTCCACGTAACGTCCCCGGAGGTCAAGTCAAGACTCATCAGATATATGAGACGGATGATAGAAGTAGCTGTGGCACTAGAAGTATATAAACACGACGTGATCAGCTGATCAATCTGAGGTTTTTGTTTTGCGCACCACCCTCTTTCTGTCTCTGTGTATATCTTCTCATGGATGAGTGTAGCACGTACAAGGCTCCCATCAGGAATACGAAGCTGAGGATGATCTTCTGTAACATCCTTAAATTCAATCCCCAAACCACATGGATAGGCACATATAAAATAGCAGCATCGGTTACAATATTGGGAATCGCATTTCCGATAAAGTAAATTCGAGAATCCACGCCACATTTCGCTTTGATTGTCTTGTTCCAGTATCCCTTAAGAGGTATGCACAGCAAACACGATGTTATTATCTGGCGATAGGCATATAGTTAGCTATTATTACGGTGTAAGTTAGGGTTCGGCGGAAGAAGTTTCATTTTGACGCAGTATTGGCTTGACTTACCACGCCAAGTCCCCAGCATGCCACCATGACAGCCAAGACGTAGATTGCGACCCTCACATAATGCTCTATCTTGAACAGCCGCCAATACATGGCTAATATAGAGAACTTGGCAAAGCATACGGTTCCAACGTACAAAAATTGTGCAATAAAGAGACCCTGGAAAAATAGGGTAGATTTACCTGGGGAAGAGACCCAGATGTGGCTTCCCACGCCATTGTTTATCGCTAGAATGTAGGTCGGTTTGCTGATACATTGAAGGCGGGAAGGATACATCCATGATGGACGAAAAAACGACCTACACCAAATACCAGCCATAAAGCAGTGTATAGTTTGCAACACCTAGAAAAACCCCATTTACTCATTCGTTCCTCAGCAAAATGTTTGTTTTTGCTTACCATGGCAGGTATAATAAGCCAGTCATCTAACCAAAATCCGGCCTTGGATATGACTCTCGAGGCGAAGCGAAGACATAGGACGAGTATAGCGAGCGCCCATGTCGAAAAAAGAGATATGACAATTACATTCTGTTGACTCTCTTGAAGGTTGACCCCCGCAGGTGGTGCTGGAATTGACAGCATTTCTTGGGAAAGTATGAAAATATCAATCAAGTCACTACTAGGGATGTGTAAAACTGGACTTCGATTCTCGGAAGTAATGTATTAAAACAGTGGGTTTTTCCAACCCCCCTTGGTGGCAACTCCACATCGGAAAAAATGTGAGGCCCCATTTATGCAAGGTGCATCTGTACGTATATAGCTCCAAATATGGGCAGTTTTGGCCGAGAGAGATCTACTTATATTCTGATATCATTCACGTTCGAAAGCATTGATTGGTAGAGCAAACGATAATCACTACTACCTTGGGATTAGCTCTATTTTCCAGATTCCAAGGCCCATTCCAAATCACATTGCAAGTTTAGGAATTACGAAATTTTGAAACTTCATTGTAACATCCCTAGCATGCACAATACTTGCACAGTCATCTTCGTCGCCTGGCCAGTCTATTGATAGGAAGCGCTCCATTCGAATTTATTGAAGTCGCTGATCAAAAACACTGCTATGTCATGCTTGATCACTTCAAGAGGGATGTCATGGAGAATAAAGACTTTATGGTCATTGTCCGCAACCTTCAAGAACCCTAGACGGATTGGTGAATCAGGCCTGCTAGTCAAAAGCACCTGTAGACGCACGGCAGCTAAATTTTGCAGCTGTAAGAGAAGTCGGAGGATTAGTCGAATTTCACTATCTCCCACGCATCAATCCAATGCGTCAATCACTATCACCCTGGTCTGGAGATAGGAGTTTTGGACCGCTCGAGGCTTTCAAGTGGCTGAAGTAGCAGTTTTTCAAATTGCTCAATCATCGTCTTGGTTATTATCGTGATTTCTTTTCTGAAAGACTGGGTTGACCTGAGGAATGCCGATCGCTAGCTGCCTCTCGATTGTCGGGAAGATTTCCTTGCATTCCATCGCATGGGACTTTTGAAGGACCTCGCCTGTTTAGTGCGTATGGGCCAAAAATAATTCAAAAAGACCTCCAGGTCTCCCTTGTTCCATTTTCTCCAACTTGGTCACTCAACATCTGATCCTCCATAGATCGTTGGGAACTAATTCTAGACATCAGCCAGGATGTGCCTTCTGCGCGATGATCTTGTTGTTAATTTGGCGAATCGAGTCCATATACGCCCCCGGAAGGTGCTGGCTCGTTGTGAGTAATACTGTCGTCCCAACGTCTGCTCCGGGTATAACCAGTCAAGTAGATTTCAAACAATATGTTGGTCGGTTGGCCTGACGTGTCTGGAGCACGTAGGTAAATAGCAACCCAGTAGTATTAAGCGTTTCCATATTATTGCGTAAGGCACTGATTGATAGCAAACAAAGTCCAGTTCTTTTAATCCCCCCATGCCGGAGACGCTTTGCAGGCTGGGCTAAGTTGTCATTTGGCGGTTAGCTCCAAGGCTAATAATGAGGGACTGTTCTCCGCCTATGCCCCTAAATGATGTTACGGTATATCAGAAAAAAACAACAACAAAAGAACAAAAGAAGATGACTTACAATACTGTACTTCGATACCATGTCCCCGCCGAATTGATCGAGTTGTGCAAGTCGGCACACTACCAAATTGATCTCTTCATCAGGAAGCAAAGCTGTCATGTATAAGAAATGGCCAGAAAATTCAGAGTGAGCCGCTCAGGGAAAAATAATTTTTCTCTGTAGACAAGTCTGTTTCCGCAATCCACAGTACAAACCAATAAGCTCGAGAACTAGTTTGATAAGGATGGTGTGGTTGCAAGGAAATGGCTTGAACCGTATCATAAGAAAGCCACAAGGTAGACTAAAGCTGATTTGGATGTTGAACTTCGGTACTTGCTGTTGTGAAAATACTGATCTGTTGATGTATACGCATGCTAGTCTCGTTATTTTGACTTTTGCATAGGTGTTCACATTTCTGATGATCAGGCACACGCCAGGCCATTTATTGGTAACGCGATAGGCCTGAGTGTACGCAGTCAATAATGTCACGACGAGTGGCGACAAATTGATTGTTATTTGAAGTTGACTGAATATTTTATGAAATCTGCCACACCCCTTATAAAAACACATGTGTGCTCGTCCATGACGATTTCCTGGATCTGGTCTTGGCACAACTGGCCCGGGACGCCGTCATCATTGCAGTATCCGGTGCTGGTGTTTCGCGTTTTCTACGGAGCGTCCGCATTATAAATCATCACTACCGGGATGTGATATAATTGTCCCCTGGCGACTGGGTCATATACCGCTGGTCAAATAAAGGGATTTTCGATGGCCATCAATCCTCTTATACAGGATCTTTACCAGTTGCTATAGAGACTACCGATTGGTAACACAGTCTGGGCCACATATATTGATCAGTGCATTAGGGATCTGGGAGTTTTCGATACTACGCGCTCCCTCTACTTTCGTTGCCATGTTGATCGCAAACTTTCTAAGCTAGGCTTCATTAATTTCGTCATCTATATTACCGTACAGGATGGTTTAAAAATCTGAGCAAGATGTCGATTAATTTCGTAACATGCTAAATACATGATGAATGTGAATGATTTGCGTGAAGGTCTACGCAAAAGGTACCGAGCTACTTGACTCTATAATTTCCCCTACCGTGACAGAACCATCACCAAGTATAGGGTCCTTCGTCACTGCGGAAACACTGAAAGCGAACAATTTCTTCATTCGAAACCCAAGCAGCTCTGGGAGAATGTCTCAATCCATTCTCCCTTCTCCAACCCCAAAAACAGCAACAAAGCCTCATAAGCGGTTCCAGCCCACAATACGATCCCTTGTCCCTTCCATGTATAATGGGGACACTCGGGGACAGTCTGGCACCTTGAGAATTGTTTGCCAGCTTTTGCCGTCGCATAAGAGATGTAGCACACATATTGGAATCAACGCGCCGGGTTCCGAAATATTGTCTCCTGTTCCAAACACTTGGGTGGCTCGTAGAACGCGAAATTCTCGTTCACACGCAAAGCAATATTGTGTTTGCACCGATCTGTTCTCGAACACCCGTCTGATTGTTCTCTTGGAGAGGATGGTGGTTCGCCAGGGATGAATCGCGTCGCGCACGTAAAGAACTATTTCCGGAATGTTGATATCCCGATTATCCAGGCTTTTGTAGATAGTTTTCGGGAGGGTGACGGTGAACTTTGCTTTGTCGTAGGCATACCCGGGACGGAGAGACTGAAAGAGGAGGTCTGTGTAGTTTACGAGGTTACCCTGCCGATCATTCGTCACAAGAAGGACATGATGACGGCATAATCTTTACCTTTTCGACGAATGTCCACAATCATAACATCACCGCATTTTAATTTTCACTGTTGAAGGAGTGCCGAGGAAACAACGAGAAGACGTTTCCAAGCGGGTGCTCCTCCCACTGGGATCGTCTGGAGATCTGCCGGGCCCTCCCTAGTGACAAAGAATAAGATTTGTGCAGAAGACGCATGTCCGACCTGGGCACGAGCTACATTCTTTTGATCGCTCTCGACAGAAAGGAAACAATTCTTCTGTGGATTCAAATGTCCACGAGAAAGGTTGGCAGTCCTTCCTTCCGTGAGACCGGGGCACAGTTGCGGTGATTGGCTTACTTTAGGCGTGTCGGACATTGTCCTCGAGTTCCGCTGATATGTTGCTAAGCAAAAATAAAAATAAAAATAAAAATAAAGACCGCATGCTCAGTACGTGCACTTGTTGGTTCCAAATTGCACTGATGCTCATGGGGTTGACGGGCAACATGCCTGAAAAGCTGAGAGGATCGATGTGTCACCCTGACCAGGAATACTGTAGATAATCCCTTAATGGAGAATTCAAGAAAATTTCTGCAAATCACTCTTTTATAAGCCGCAGACCCTGAGAACCATAAGTGCCATTGATTGACCTGCTCCGCCACATACTGATCAGCAAGCCGTACTGGGTTGTGGATATGATTAAACGCTAGGGGAGGGAGGAACATCAATCTCAGGTCTCCGAACTGCATTGATCGCAGTGGGAAATTAACCACAGATCAGTAGACGTGATGTTTGGCAAATAATTTGTTGAATGATCATCACCGAGATAAAATGAGAGTATGCAGCATATGTTCAATACCTAGTCCAGTATTGACTGATTGAATTGACTGATTGAATTGACTGGTTGAATTGACTGATTGAATTGACTGAATGAATTGACTGATTGAATTGACTGATTGAAAGGATGATTGAGCTCAATCATTGCTTCTCAGGCGCAAAGCTAGCGGTACAGTAACGAATAATGTATGGATACGGTTCACTAAGACCGACAGAACATCACAAGGGAAACTGATATTGTCAACTATTTGACTCAGGGAATTCTTATCATCATTCTCCAACCCACGCTCGAAAATCCCATCCATGATGGCACTGCGCTTTATTATGATGAATTGACTTGTATCGATACATTGCATGCTTTGTTGCAACCCTATTCCTCCAAGAATGTGTAGTCGGTGGCTTGGTGAGTTGAAACGTCGAAATATGGGCTATCTGGAATGCTTTCTATCTTTCCCTAGGATAGTCATTCTAATATGAAGATGATTTAGGATCTCGTGTTGGTAAATTACAAGGTTTGGGAGGTAGAATATTCAGTTTTGTTCTTTTTTGTTTTTGAACAAATTCGCATCAATTCGAAGCCTCTCCTATTTCATGTCCAGACAACAATCGAATACATATACCTGTCTAGTGTACCTAAATTCAGAGAATAACCTAGAAAAGGCGAGCTTGCACATAGACCCACGGTTCCACTGATCTACCACCCACTACCTAATCCGATGACGCTCTTGACCAAAAGTCAAAAGACGTTGGAACCCCAGTAACCCTACATTCTTTCTCCTGGAAGTAGCATTCTGGTGACATAATCAAACAAGGTTCGCATCAATGTCTTTGATTATCTTCAGGGATAATATCTCATCGAGTGCGCTAGCACCTGTGGGTATAAATTGTTCGACATATCACTTTAGAAAGGAATGAATTTTGTCAATCATTGATGACCTGTTCAATTATAGCCGCTTATCCATACCGATTGGAACCATGAAGCTCAATCTACTATCTTTTGCTTTCGCGGCAAGCGTTCTTGGTGGAGTCATGGACTCAAATGGCGGCGACGGCACCATCTGCGCGAGTGACCAATGTGTTGTTTGCTCTGGAAATGGCCAAGGCGGGCTCCTAAGTTTAGGAAATATTGCGCCGGGCGCGTTAGGTGACTCTTGCTCCGGCGGCGACGTTTACTGTTGTGATAACCAGGCTGTTCAGGTAAGAAGCATGCTATACCGTCTATATTCACGAAACTAATCATCAATGATTAGAATGGTCTTGCGAATCTCGATTTGAATGTACAATGCAGTCTTAATCACGTTCTTTGAGCGTATTTAGGATCTCATCAAATGAATGCATGCGAGGCATGTGCAAACAATGGATCAAGTTATCATGGCCAAGGGAATAGTTTAATGATGTATTATGAGTTAGGGCTGTATGAAGTGATCCATAATCAATAAATTATCGCTACTTTTCCCTGTGTTGGACCACTAATACCTTCAAAGCACTGCAATGTTTATTCCCATTAGCAACGTTCAGCAGTTTTGAATTATAATGAAACAGATATGATCCAAAGCTCGAGCGCTGGCCGGGCATATCTCTTCAAGTTCCTCCCAAAGTGAATGATATATAGAAGTCATCATCTGGAGACACCTGTAGGATGCCTGAAAGGTAAGCTGGCTATCAGTTGATATACATGTAGTGAGGTCCATGCATGTACACCCAAGGCCCTTTATACTGACCAGTGAGTGTCTCAGCTTGCATCTTCGGTGCGCTGGATGAGTTTTTGGGTCTAACACTTTCTGGAAAGGCTCGAATGGGCATCTCTTATATAAATCGATCGGACACCGCTTGCACATCTGTTGAATCTGTTCACAGTCTTCAAAATAAGCATTATAACATATCAAACTGACCCCTAGCATTGTGACTGCTCTCTGGCTGACGATCAAGTTGACAGCAGATATCGATTGTTCTCCGCCAATCCCCCAAACCAACCCAAACCATCCCTTTGAGGTGAGTGACTCGGGCAGTACGTGAAGCATGCATGAATCCCGGAACCTCTCTGGCTCATTGGGCTAATCTCTGGATATGATTGGCATACCGCCGCCTCGAGAAGCCATGAATGATTTGGAAATAACAAACAATCGATACGGGGTAAGTCCTGGCCATTAAAGATCTACAATGGGTTCCACGACGCCGAGTTACGTGGTATGGTGATAGAGGTATTGGGTTACACGGGAAAGTCCGGCGCGTCGATTCCATAAATTGTCCAATTACCGTATCTTTTAAAATGCATCGGTAGGTTTATATTAGTGGAATGGTGTCGCTTTGGGAGTGATGTAACTCAACTAGACAAACAACTTTGAGGATGGCAATTACTGTACTGTATAGCTACACAGCATACATTGCTGCAAATAGTATTCAGCTTGAGACTAGAAGGTCAATCCGGTACCTCTGTTTAACGAACCCCGTTCCAAACAACACTTCTGCCTCTTCCGTGAACTGTGATTGCGCAGCAGATCAGCGACTATGAAATATCCCGCATGCTCTGCCCACCCCAGGGCTGTGGATCCTCTGTCATCGGTCAAGCTCAAGTCAATATCAGGTTGCCTCAGCAATTCTTTGGTCACCGAGACACACCCAGTGGATGCGGCAAAGAAAACCGCAGTCCCTTGTTGACGACCGCGGGCGTTGATGTAGATTCTGTTTTCTTGTCGGAGGAGAGCGAAAACAACAGGCAACTTGTAGAATACAACAGCGACTTGGAGGGGTGTAGTTCCAGTAGGGCTTTTCTGGTTGACCTTGACTGATTCCAAACGAAGGAGTGCCTCCACTGCGGGAGTGTTGCCTGCGCGGCTTGCGAACCAAAGCGGAGGCACGACCTGTGTTGTCTGGGCATTGATGCACACACCCGGCTGTTCCAATAGTAGAGCAAAGACCTGTAGATTAGGACTTTCGCAGCGCGGGCCAATGGAGTTATCCCATATCTATCAGGTTCATTCAACTTCAAACGATTCAGGCGCAGAAGAAGTTTCATGAGGTCGAAGTGGCCTCGGTTGACAGCGTGCCATAGAGCCGTTCGCCCTCTGCAGTCTGACAGATTCACATCAAGTTCAGGGTGTAGAAGGAGAGACTCAACCATGCGGACAGACTGCTGCCCATCAGGTTTTTTTCACGGCCAACACAAGAGGCGGATCATGTTGTGAGCTTTGGCGGTGAACATTGATTCCCGCGTGCGTCGCCAGCATCTCCACTGCAATATGGTTCTTCTCAAAAATTGCATAATGTAGTGGCGTCCAGCCGAGATGATCCGTGATATTGACGTGCGCTCGACAATCATCCAGCAAAAGATTTAAAATGTAATACTCGCGACGATTGACCGCGTACACCATCGCAGAATGTCCATCCGAGCATCGATCGTTGACATCAATCTCTTGATATTGAAGAAGGCGCTCAACAATAGCAGCGTTTTCGTCAATCACGGCTAGTGATAGCGGGCCTCGGCCGCCAAAGTCGTAAGAGTAGCGAAGATTAGGTTGATATTCGAGTATCAGACCCACGGCCTCTGGGTATTGTAGGTCAATAGCAAGAAGAAGCACATTCTTCCCTGCGTATTCAGAGTCAATATTTAGGTGGTATTCTTCAATGAATCGCGCTGCTATGTCCAATCTTTGGGCCGCCACGGCACGAAAAAGCGGCGGGACTTTATCGACCAAAAGGGAGCGGAAGAGCGCTTCAGTGAAATGATACTGGTTCGGCGACATATCAAGCATAAGTTCAGGATGTGATTCGTTTGGAGGTATCTGCAAATCCAGAACAAAAGCTCTGTTGGAAGTTCGGAAAACATTAGGATCTGTTTTTGCCGTGTCGGGTTGTGTTAGAGGTATTAAGTCGCAGCAGATTGAAAGAGAGATCACCCGGGGTCTCATAGCGCAGCGCACCGTTCCCTTATATGCATAAATTAGATCAGCATACGCCAGTTCTGGAGGACCCAGTCCTTTGACACTTCGGAGAACCCCGGCCAGAAGTCTGCATGTGAAACCAGAGTCCGTGTCTCAAGAACACCACACATGGATCCTCGAAAGCACAAAGTCAGTCCTGGGATCATGATCGAACGTTCTAGGAGCTGTAGCGCTCCTAAAGCCAGTCAAAGGGGTCTTAGTACCAGCTTTCAAGAGCTTGGGACTAGTTTGCGCATGCCGCATTACCGCAGTATAACGGACATTCGTGTGCGCCCTCACCACTAAATCTACATGATGAACCATTTGTAGCGCGGGCGATGGGCTGAACAAATACGGGGCGGCTAGTTCAATAACTTGGATGTGCGGTCAGCGACCAAATAGTATGCCTTTCTGCCCTTTGAGAAACGAAGTGTTGCCGAATGGGGAGCACAGCAGGAATGCAGTCCCCGAACTCTACAATACTGTATTGACAGCCAATGTGGCACGGCTGGAGTCGATCGAGACATCTATAGGGTCGGTAGCAGGTTTTTGAAGCGGCCGCCCTCAACAAGTGAGGGCATATTGAGACACATCTGCTCAATGGACAACACACTCACCGACCTCGGGTTTTAACCTGAAGACAGTATTTAAGGTGGAACGATGGTGATGGCACAGCATATCGACGCGTTGAACTGATGATTCACTGCACATGGGCCACAATCGTTGAAGTGGTGGTCGCTGGATTCAACGTTGAGGCTTGATCAACGCTGGCGCAGCAGATGTACATGCGAAGAATCGATGACAGAGTGTGGTTCTTGAAAAGTACGTATATTGGCTCAACATCCTGTAATTTGTTGTTGACCAGGCCCTCACCTCAGTTAAGGACAGCTCAACCAACCTCACTTTGCGCAAGTATCGTCAAAGCCGCTCAAAATTGGCAACAGACTGACAACATCACTCAGTGGTTGGGTGAGACAGGCGACGACAAGGCAAGTCGAAAATTATAAATACGGTTTCTTCCCCCGGTTTCTGTCAAAACTGTTCACTACTATCTCATTTCAGATGAGCTTTCTTGCCCCAGGATTCGATGTGCCCTCCTACAATAGACCCATTATAAGTTTTTCACCTATGACCCTCTAAGCTCTTCTTATTGCTGACACGCACAGTGCATGTCCCGACCTCTCCACCTACTCAGCTCTTGTCACGCGCGCTGATTTGCTCTACTCGAATATTTTCACGTCCGCCAGACAGACACTGAGTTCTGACTGGGTCCAACTCTTCCGTGAGTCTACCTTTGAGCTGCGCCGAGCCGAGCTAATCATAAGTGTCATTTTCCACCAGTTTACTAGACCATGAGAGCACAAGCAAGGCTTTCTGTAGAGGTATGTCCCTTGCCAGTTCGATATAATCGGAGGCTAGACTGAAACAGCAGATGTGACGACCAGCCAGGTCTGTTTGAATGAACTGGCCCAGGTCAGTGTGACAAGAATCTACACCCACTTGCCAGCAGCGGCCAATGGCCATATCACTTTTTATCTCCAGAACCTGTGAGCACCAGCTTCCTACGTAATTCACGAGCCTCGGGTTTGGTGGACTTGCCCAATGATACTTTACAGGTGGTGCCCCCATGGAGGCCCCAGCGTCTCAATCCTGTTCGATGTACCCCGCCAGATTCAAAATACCACCCCCAGGGCTATGAGCGCGTCGTCATCTTGACTCATACAAATTTCGATGAGGATCTCAGAGTAAGACTAAATGCGCACGCCGCCACGACCGCTGGAGTAGCGATTTGTGTGGCTGGTTGCTCGCGAGCAACGAGGTATGTCAGCTCGAGGCTTTTGCCCAACGACCATTTTGTCAACCGTCGGCCCTGATCTCAGCTGAGGGTTAGACCAGAAGCGATTTTCCTGACTTGGAGGAAGTATCCGTTGGGTCGAAAATCGGAGGTCTGGCCGGTCCGCGCCAAGACTATCTGCATTATCAGTATAGTGCCCCGTTCAAGTGAGACGAAAATTGGACAAGGTAGCGAATGGAAAGACTGTAAGTAACCCTCCGTATATCCCCGCTCATGCTGACATATCTTGAAAGATCCTTTACGGAGTGGCCTAAGCCGGATCATTTCGGCGAGACATCAGGCGACCCTTTCATCGTGTCTTGTACGCGCCTGGCAGCCTCAATGGCTTCGTCGAGAGGCGATGGATGTTTTGCTGCGGGCACCGTTCCGATGTGTCCATATCAGCCGGAACCACGAACCCTCCCATCACAATCAGCCATCTTCGACCACAATGACAGCCCTAGTCGAGAGCACCAGCTAACACGATTCTTTTGAGACTCGTCGAGGTGACCGTACGACCAGCATCCCAATCATGATGAGAGAGTAGAGTTCTCAGTCTGATGGGCTTGTGGGCCAAGGGCCTCTGTAACGGTGTGATTTCAAGCCCTACTGCGGAGGCCATAAGGAAAAAGAGCCCAAAAGGCCCTAATCCGATGCGTGGACGATTCTCACGGCGGGCATCCACCGTGGAACATGTACCAGTCTGATCAGGTGTATAATCAACTCGCAAACGTACCGCAAGGCTCGCCGAGCTCTACTTTTACTGTTGTAATTCAGAGGAAGATTGATTATTTTTATTTTAAAGGGAACACATGAAGCTATATATACAATGAGAAGATCAAGTTGATTTCCAATCAACTTGACTCTTCGTATACATACTTCGGAATTAATTCCGATGGTTCGGCTTGGTTCCTGATCTGCACCAGCCGCATATCACAACAATATTCAATCCGCAATGTCAGGCTCATATTTCTTGTTCTGATCACCTCACCTGTGGGTGACTCAACGTTGATTCACCGAAAAGCGCCTACAATTTCATCCTTAGAAATCATGCACCTTTTTTTGCTAGCCTTGCTTTAGTGCTGTGTTGGTTGTGTTGAGCTGTGGGTCTGTCCTTCTAGACTGCAGAAAGCGAGTTCGTGCTCGACCCGTCAACCCGTTGAAGCTTGGCCACACGTCAACACTCAATTTCCGAGCTTGCGACTAACAACACACACCAAGTGTTTTTTATTATTTTTCTTTTGAAATTATTTTTCTGATGACTATACGTGCTACAATATTCCATCTGTCGGATTTCTGAGGCGTTCAGCGAAAGGGAAAGAGGTGTCTGATTGAAACATATATCCTCAGCAAGCGTTGATCTCTGGCCCTCAACATCGTGAGGCTTGATCGGTTTTCCTAACTGACTATCCTTATTATTGGATGTATAGTCAACAGTCTGTTGAAAAGTAAACCAACTCTAGTCACACTTGACTACTTCGATTGACTGTTGTGGTGATGGTAAAACCCAGCCCATAAACACCTGCGTCTGCATCGTCTATAAGAGACACTAAGGATCGATTGAAATTGTATTGACCAGACCCATGACTTTCTCGACAAAATGGATCCCCTGAACAGCTCGCTACACCAGGAAAAATAAGGAGATCAGCAGTCCATAAATTGCCCATCCTTTGTGAGAAAGACAAATCACAGGAAAGTTCTGACCATGTCTCATTGGTAATTGAACCAATTCGGCTTCAAACGCTTTTTCTGACCATTGCAGCCTTCCCCTTCGCAACAGGAAGCAGAAACAAGACACACCGTGGCGAACGAGCCGCTTCAACCTATTCTGAAGGTGCTAGCAGACCTCGAGCGCGACGATCCCAAGTTCGCCTTTCCAGCAGCTCGACTTGTTGAGCTCTATCGACGCCTATGGGAGTTGTGCGCGTCCAAACACATCGATGGCGAGAAGCTAGAGCAGAGCAATAAGATCTTGAAGGAGGCTGGTACGAACCTGAGAAAAGAGAGTGACGGTCTTCAACTTCGCCACGACAAGCAGCTATCCCGGCTGCGCTTTTTCGAGCAGGCCCTGGAATTATCCCGGGAGAGGCTGATTAGCGTCCTCGATTACTGGAATCACCCTTCAATACTCAATCTGACAAGGTTGCTGGACAATGAAAGAGGAAGGTGATGGACTGTCCCTCGGGGCGATGTGCCCTATGTTATCAGTTTAGAAATACTACAGTTGACTTGGCAAAATCACAAAGAGTTACCAACTAGGATTGAGGATTCATAAAGATAAGGACAAGGAATATCATTCGATTCAATTTATGCTCAATGCTAAGTGTTGGCGAATAATTTCACGTCTTCTGGTCGGCAAGAGAGTTCTATCCAAACTGCCTCACGACGTATCCAAACCAGCTCGTGTACATATTAATCAACAAACATTGTTGGTTTGGCTCTGGTGTGAGGGTCTCACGTATCTTTAGATGAGGATCGTATCTTCCAAATGAATAATCACTAGTGAAAGAACTATAGTCGACTCTAGATACAAGACGTAGCGCGAGGAAGCAAAAGATAGAGAGCTTCCTCGCGTTCAGGGGAACCCAGATAGGCTATGTGGGTCCACATCCTCCACTCACTGTATATACCTCATGTCAATCTCTGACAATCCTTCTTGAGGTTTCAGGAGCAACAAAGTTCCTAGGGCTGGCTTCGACGATCCTAGAGCCGATCGGGCCGCGTTTGTAACCATAATTCTCTTATATACCGATGAAGAACCTTCAGGTGTGGTTCCACGCGAAATGATGCCATTTCTTTTAGCCAACTGCTTCTGGAGTCTCAAGCTGTTCCCAGGGTCAACAACGGGGTTCTCAATATCGATTTTGGATTTTACGCAGTACGCTCTTTGGGATAGTAGATTAATCTAATAGCATCTATCTACGTACATGATTCTTCAGATTGATGTTACTAGTGGAGTCAGCTCTGCGAGGCTTGGTCAGGTTTGGAATTACAGACGAATTAATCAATTAGCAAATTAAGTGTAAATCAAGTAATAAAATAAAGAATCAAAAGAAAAAGGATTCTGATTTCTTTATGTTTCTTATTTATAATTCTCTTTAAAGATTTCATTTCAATTGTAGACTAACATTACTAATACTTCGATCACACAGATCTGATATCCATCAATACCATCTCGACAAGTCAAGGTATCACTCACGGCCTCGCGGTCGGCTATTCTCCAATCTTGTCGATCGTCGAAGCGGGGCAGTGCTACTGACATTCCGTGTCAGCCGTGCTGACCGACGAGGTTGTTCGCGCCGTGCTGGTGCGCGGGGTGACCGAGCAATGCGG